CGCGCGCGCGCGCGCGCGCGCGCGCTCGCGCGCGCGTGAGTGATATATATATATATATATATATATATATATATATATATACACACTCTGTTTGTGCGCGCGCGCGCGCGCGCGCGCGCGAGAGCGAGAGAGAGAGAGAATGTATGTCTCTCTCTCTCTCTCTCAATCCCCCCCCCCCCCTCTCTATATATATATATATATATATATATATTTTTTCTTATATGCACAAGCGATATAGCTCGCGCGCGGTGTATATATATATATAGCGAGAGCGAGCGCGCGCGCGCGTGTGTGTGTCTTTTTTTTTTCTCTCGCGCTATATATATATATATATATATATATATATATATATATATATATATATATATATATATATATATATATATATATATATATATATATATATATATCAAACAGACAACAGGGAATGCATAAGATAATAACAAGACTGCATCATAAGTGAACAAAATGGTAATCATTTTTCATATTCATTTTCTGCCCATTCCATTTATCTTGGTTATAATGATGAAAGAAGCTGAATATTTACATATATATTGGGGATGTGGTACGTGGCATACTTCAAATAGTGACAGCTGTCCTAATAATATTTTCATCTAACACGGTTTCCTGCAAATGATAAAACGTGCATAGAAAGAATTTGGGTATTTAGATGCATATACATATATCATTCCATCATAAAGTGACATGATGATATTATATATATATATATATATGGGCAAATCATAGCTTTGTTGAACAAAGACTTATGTTAAGTGGTACTACCTTTTCCATCGAAAAATATTGGAATTTTCGGAATTCAGAATAAAAAATATTGTTTCAGAATTGAATATTTTCGGATAAGAATCAATAGGAGTCGAAATATATATAACACTTTGCACCCTTGAAACAAATTAATAGCATTTTGCATCCTCGAAACACAATATTTCATGCATAATGCACCCCAGATGAATTTTTAAAGCTAATAAAAGTAATTTAATATTTTTAGTGATTTTCTTTTAGGATGTCGAACGTCAAATCATTTTTTTTATTCATCAACCATATTTTTGAAACTATAAAGTGCAAAAATAAAAATACATTTCATCAACATATTTAAAAAAAAAATTATCACAAAAAAATATTTTATTAAATAAAATCCTTCAGCTATTTCGTTATCAAGTTAACTGAAAATCATATTTTCTTCCAAATATTTCTACATAATATTTCCACCAGTTTCAATTAAAGATCCATCAATTGAATAGTTGAGTAATAAAAATTTATCTTATTTTATTTTGTAAGAAAATATTTTTTTTTTTTCAGTAATTCGGTGTGATTTTCATTTTTGCGCACTTTGTGTGCTCGAAATCAGGTTGAAGGTTGAAAAAAGTAACAATTTAATTTGTTATTTTGAACCACGGAAAAAAAAACCCACTAAAAAAAGAAATTTTCTTTATTATTCAATTCAAGGTGCATTGTGAGTGATTTATTGTATTTAGATGGTGCAAAGTTGGATTAAGCCACATATATATATATATATATATATATATATATATATATATATATATATATATATATATATATATATATATATATATATATATATATATATATATATATATATATATATATATATATATATATATATATATATATATATATATATATATATATATGTATATATCACACATATATGGTGGTGGGGGGGTGGGGTGTTAACTAACAAGGAAATAGACATATGAGAGGCAGATAAGTTTATGGACATCATTCTTTCATTCTGTTTGGTGCAAAGTTGTAAATATACGTCATTGTTTCTAGATGTTGTATCTGTATGGAGTAAAATTGATTGATTTCATCTTTCAGAAAAAGAAAAAGGAAAAAAAGAAATAAATTGATTGGTTTATCATTAGTTTTTATATTTCGAAATTTCAAGTTCCGCGTGATTACTCAGGCTTCTGCCGCGTGGACAATTGTTGTCGAACAAATGCTACGGGATAAATCTTGGTTTTTCCAAATACAATTTGGAAAGATAAAATCATGTAACTGAAAACGAGTTTTTTCCATCATTATTTGATTGAGGAATAATAGAAGTAATGAACATTGTTCTTCTTTCAAAATCATAATCATAATTTACATGTAATAAGTAAAAATTGAATGTCCTAGGTTGGTAGAATCAAAGATGCAATCATTGTTCGGATAATTCTCAAGAACACTTGTCCGGAAATTACTCGAAAATGAATGACGAGTTCCAATTTTAGACTACTTTGCATGCTATGACTGTTTTGGGAAAAATAATATTTGCTAAGCTTTTTGTTTAGGTTGTGTTTTCGTTTTATTTTGGGGAAAGATGTTTTTGGAGAAAATTTTGAACATAAGGTAATTTTTATTTGTATTTTGAGAAACAATTTATGCTGTAAGTAATAAAATTATGTTTAAATGTGTTGGGAGTTGGAACAACGTATTTGTTTGTATTTTAGTGAAAACAGTTTTTATAGCCGCAGTTAAACTGAAAATTTTAAAACAAATAGTTTCATTTCAGGGAAAGAATGAATAAATGATTTTTTTTTGAAAGAGAATGAATAAACGATATTTTTTTTTTTTGGAGTAAATTCAAGTCCATAAAATTTTAAAACAAATAGTTTTTTTTGAAAGAGAATGAATAAACCATTTTTTAATTTTTTTTTGGAGTAAATTCAAGTCCATTACAAGGGAAAGTAGGGGAGGGGGGACTCGAACCCTAGACCGTTACCCTATTGATAAAGTCTACCAATTCTCTTAATGAGGGTTGGTTTAATGAATAAACGATTTAAGTTTATCGTTTTGCTTCCTTTTTTGATAATTTTTTTTAATAAAATTTAAAACCAATACAATTAAGGATCAACCAAATTCTATTAATTTAACAAAATATTAATTTATTAAAATATTATTTAAGCATGTTGTCCTCGAGTCGGGGTCGAAAAATATATTATTTAAACGAGGTTATTAATTTATTAATTTATGAGTATTAATTGATCAAGGTTCTACTATTTGCAAGCTTGGAGAAGGAAGGAGATCCTCTGTTCATTTGAATGCCTTCTCAATTTTATTTTATTTTCTTAATTCAAAAGATAATGTGAATCGAAGTAGTATGTTTTCGGATTCATAGAGCATCGACTACATCAAGACTTGGAAATTATCATTGAGACGCACAAGTTTTTAGACGAATTCACCCATACTTCATCAAATTATGAAACAACTAGCCGTTCGAAACCAAATGAACAATGTACTAAAACATCATATCATACATTAATTAAGGTAAGAAGTCGATTCGATCAACCAACAGAACCTCTAAAGGGGAATGTATCCAAGAAGCATAAAACAGAATCCAGACAACATAACGAAAGATAATAGATATTCCTAGGAATCATAAAAACTAAACACCAAGAGTCGAGTAGACATGACCGGGGAACAAGACAAAACAAACCGTTTGAGGAACCCCAATAACGAACTCAGTACTTGGGAGGTGGCTGTTGTGTAGGAAGCAGACCAAAGCGCTTCTTCAAAAGAAACCTCTGCCTCGAGAATTTATCATCGGGAGAGAACCGAGCTGAATTGAACAAAAACAAATACATAAAGTAATTAATTAACATTCTTAATATTATATATGATTAAAGGAATTATCACAGGAGCAAATACAACAGCATATAAGCAAGTATCACTATTCTACTTCTTAATAATTTCCTTTTTTCTTTTTTTTCGCAGAACTCAAAGAACACGTAAATACGGAGTCTGTTGAAAAACATAAACCTCACTTTTACTAATCTATGTGAATATCGAGCCCCCAACAAATTCTTGAAGTAGAAAGAAACATCAAAGAGAATGGATAATATCAAAGAAAGAAATCTTAATTTTTTATTATGTTTGAATTTTTTTTGAACAAAAGATTCCCCATCACTAATAACATTCTCCCAATCACTCGAAACTATTCCTTAGTCAGTCATCAAAGTCAAGCAATTGGAAGCTACAATTAATGTACAGACAACATTGATTCAGAAAATTACCAGGATGAGCCGACTGTGTGGCCGAACCAACTGGTGATTCCTTCTGCAGAGACAAAGGCAAAATTGTTAAAGAAAGTTCATAATAAAGCGGTGGCTAAAATTTGGAAATCCCATATCAGAGAAATGCCCAAGAAAATAAAGATAACGAATTTAGGATAGAGTTTATTCAACTCAAAATTTACAAAAACTACCACATTAATCTCGATTAAAGGTGAGAGAAGCTTGAAAAAACACTAAATGGCATACACTCAACAACTAAATAAAAATAAAAAGAGAGATTTGTGAATCCCAGCAGGAAGGAACAATTAAATCTCATGTCAGGTTTCGAAGACAATCGGGTTCAAAACCGGAGGAGCTATCGAGCAATTCTCAGAATTTAGCTAATAATTTGATATTGAATAGCACTACAGAAACATAAATTTTATATCTACACTGATTAAAAATTTAATTTAAAAAATAAAAATAAAAATCGAGCAAGAAAAAACCTTTGTGGTGTAAACTTTGTCGCCGTTATCGTTGATGTAAAATTGGAGATACATCTTTGCAAAATCCGCCTGCAAAACCAGTTGAATCAGAAACACGGCAGGGTTTTGAGAAAGAAACTACAAACAATCTAGAATAATAATTCCGAATTTCATCAATAGTGTAAAAAAAAACAGGTTATTCGATTGTGAAACTCACCTCTGGCTGAACTCCGATGCTTTTTGACTGGAAGGCTTCAGCTTTATCTTAAACCCTAATAAAGAGATCGATTAGGGTTCGGCAATAAAAACCCCTTAGGTCGGGGGTGAAATAGTGTTATTAGTGAAATTGTAAGGGCATAAAGGTCAATGTTTTCTTTTAGCGGGCTACCCGACCCATCTACTACTTGTCCGACCCGTATTACCAGTTTATGACAATTAATTCTTTGAATTATTTACGGTAAATTACAATCACCCCTGATGTATAGTCAATTTACGAAAAAACTTCTCTTGTTTGGATAATTATATCTACCCCTCAATTATGATTTTTTCTTACACCTCCACACTTATGGTGTCAAATTCAACATAATCATCTAGATTTCGTGGAATGTGCTCTAGTTTGTACTCGTTTTGTGTAAAAATACAGTTTCTGATGCACCACAATCTGATATATACATACAAGCCAAAAAACACATCTTATGAGCATCTTGCTTCAAAATGTGCAGTTCAAATGTGATAAAATGGGTACAAAAGTGATAATATTCCATGTAATCTCGAAGATTCCACTAAATTTGAAACCGCAAGGATTGTCGTGTAAGAAGACTTATAGTTGAGGAGTGGTTGTAATTTATCCATCCATAGAACTAGATGGGGTGAAAATTGGACGAAACGAAACACCTAATTAGTCTTTTCGAAAAAGAAAAAAAAATCATGGAATCTAAATTTGAAAAGTCTCGATGTTTTGAAAATCCTATTAGATTGTGGTTTCGGTTATGTTACAAAAATTGCAGAAAAAAACTTTTGATAATATTCGGATTTGTTTAGCTAGTAAAACAATTGAGAGAGAGAGAGATTGCGGCATAAAAAGAGATTGGGAAGTGAAGAACTGGTTATTAATAATTAATGAGATGGCCAAAAAAACCATGTTCACAAACACAGGAAATGAGGATCGAACTCTATTTCTACCGATTTAACGTGACTATTTCGACTTTTAGAGACAAATGTGGCTAGTCGAGTCGCAATTTCGCCAAACGCGATGTAGAATAGGCAACGATCCTCTGCTTTGGGGAGAAGAGGTAATATTTTTTACCCCTCTTGACTATACCAAAGGGAAAATATATACCTTTTTTAACCAGAAGCCCCCTCAATGAAATTGCTTAAACACAACGTGCAAAAGAACGTAGCTTTTCTCGACACTTGCACCTACATCGATCCAAAAAAAAATATTAAAATAAAAAATTATGTGGGATGTACATCAAAAGTGTGATCCTGTGTGGTTATTATGTTAAGCAAAAATCAAGAATCCTAATCAGCGAGAATCTCATAGAATGTCATTGATCTCCATATTCCGGCTTCAAAACCCAATAGGATCCGCTCGGGTTTTTCTCCAACGTAGCTATCTCCTTGAGAAGATTCTTAAACAAAGGCAAATCCTTTGAGGGTATCTTATCTTTAAAGTGATCCACTATACTCGATGAACTCGTGTTTCCACCTCTTCGCTGAATAAACGTACATATCTGACGAATCAAAAGTTCCGGTTGTACCCCTCCTGAGCTGCTAGACGTTCTTCTAGAAGGCCCAGCCGAAGAAGATAACCCTTCTCCTCCCCCATTGGAGGAGGGCCCACCCAACACAAACTGATGCTCAAGCCCATCACTGGCTGCACTCTGTCGGTTCCCTTTGATCCTGGCTAACAACTCAGCCGATGATAATGCTTTACCAGATGATGCTCCAGCTGAAAGTCCATTTAGCCGCCTTGTATTATTATTATTATCATTATTTGGAATCTCGTCTGATTGTCTTGTACTACTAGTTGAAGTGCCGGCCAATTGAGGATTGATGGTGGAGCCGAATTTCCTTCTCACGGATGACGGTGCACCGGCGGCTCCCGATTTGCCTGTCCAGGTTGGAACGCTGATGCTTTCTCGGCTGCGGAGCATTCTTGACTGACGCAGAGCTTCTGCGGCTCTTTGTGCAACTTGTGAGGCATGCTCCTCGAGCTTTATCTTCTCTTCGTCATTAGCATTCATGATTGCGTCGTGATTCACTGCGCTCTGTAAAAATCAATCACGGTATTTTCGTATCAGTAACTGATTCGAGGAAGTACTGGGAAATGAAACAATTCGTACGAGTAGAGCATTCAATTCCATATGGTTTTCAAGAAACTGTTAAGGAACGAATGTAAATGAGCAAGTTTGGTTCTTGCTAAACATCAAAGAAATCGAAATGTACTTTTTTCCTTCGCTCTATTTTCCATTGCATGGTCTGGATAGGTTCTTCGCCTACCTACTAAAATTAATATATTTCATGCCCACCCCACAAACATGTATTTCAAACTACGAACATGCAAAACTACTGAAAACACCAAAAAGCAGGCAAGTCAAACAAAATTTCAGCAGCAACTGAATTTTAATTATAATATAACAAATGACTGAAGCAATTAGGAACTCACATGAATCCCGTGGGCATCAAAGAGATTCTGCAAAATGTTTGTTTCTTCGTCCACCTTGTTATCAGTATTATTGGTTTTTTCCTCGTCCATACTTTCTGTTTCAGTTGCAGAAAAAACGGTGCTTGATGTGCTAGGATTCACGTGTTCTGGTGCATCCTGCTTACCCTTGCGATCCCCGACAACGTTAACTGCATCAGATAACTGACCGAAAATACTAGATGTTTCAGTAGAGCCCCCATGGCCATCATCATTTAATGTGAAAAGGTCCTTCATATCACGGGCTTTGAAGAATCTTCTCTGCTGTGGATTCTTCAATATCTTATCCGTAAGGAAATGTTTATATATCTGTCTCTGATAAACCTTCTCTTCAATAGTTCCACGGGTAATCAATCTATAAATTGTTACATCCTTTTTCTGACCAATACGCCACGCACGCTCTCGAGCCTACCTTAAACCATAAGAAAAGATGCAGATTTGTTACAACTACGTGCAACTGCAAAGGAAATAAACTCTTTTCCTCTCTCAAAATCCAAATCCAAAATAAATAAAATAACAAACAAGCAATCCAGATAAACTCCCCGGGCGGAATATTGGAGCAAAAAAACAGTACAAACTTTAGAATGTTATCTCAAGAAAAATGTCTACTGAATTTAAAACAAGGCACACTGCAAACCTGCATATCAGTTGAGGGATTCCAGTCAGGGTCAAAAATGATCACCCTGTTAGCACCAATTAAGTTTGTCCCCAGTCCACCAACCTTGGTCGTCAAAATAAAAATGAACACTTCATCTGAATTATTAAACTCGTCTATGAGAGCCATTCTTTGTTTGACTGGAGTCTGACCATCCATTCTCCTGTAACTATAGCCAACAGCAACCAGAAAATTCTCCATAATATCAAGCATCTGTTGTGTTTGTGAAAAAAGAAGAACACGGTGCCCCTGCTCCTTCCACACATTAAGCACTTCAGCGACAACTGTCATTTTCCCACTGCGTTTGAGGTTCCCATAATCTGGATTCCCGTGAGAGTGTTCTCTCTCGAGGAGGTCAGGGTGGTTGCAAATTTTACGCATAACATCAATTCCGTATAAAGAGTTCCTACTTCCATCAAAAATTTGTTCAACCTCCGAGCTGGCAAGAAAAGCACGGTACACAGATCGCTGCTCTGGAGTAAGACTGCAGAAAAGGACATGTTCGGTCTTCTTTGGAAGCTGAGCATCTACATCGACCTTCATTCGACGAAGGAGGTAAGGCATGATCATGTCACGTAGGACGACAGCACATCTGCACAAATTTGATTTAGCCAGGTAGAAACTAATAGTTAGAGAGCGAAAGTTGATTATGAAAGTAAAGATTACAATACGGGCGGCAGCTTAATTTTAAAACAATACTTTCAATATATGATCACAAAAATCAAGATATGGCATTCCAAGTATTAAGACCCTCATGCAAAGGCCATTCTTCTCTGTTTCCTTTAAAAAAATTAATAGCCTCCACCTAGTCTAGATTATGTTTCTACTCCAACAGATTGGATTTTTCATCTGCTAATTCCTACAACTTGTCAAATTTTAGAATGCAAATGTTCATATTGATTGAACAAAGCACCTAACTCGTGAATAAAAATATATAATATCAGGTCAAAACACGCTAAATGAACCTGTAAGCAGTGGAAACTTGTAGAGGAGTTGCATTAGCATAACCACCGACAGATATTGGAACAGCAAATTCAGCCTCAAATACGGGCAGCACACCCAACTTTCCAGGGAATACAAAATCAAATAAAGACCATAGTTCAGAAAGCTTGTTCTGAATTGGCGCACCAGTCATTATTATGCGATGAACAGTCTGCAATTGTTTGCAGACGAGAGTAATTTCAGCATTTGGATTTCGAATTCGATGTCCTTCATCCAAAACTGCATATCCCCATTCAATATCAAGCAATTTGTCACCCTGCAGGCGGAGTTGCTCATACGTGGTTATTAGTAGTCCAGATTCTGATCTCAAAACACGGTTTATCAAAGAATCCCACTTGGTGTTTTTAGAAGATGGTTTTTCTTCACAATCACTGTCAGTAAAATCTTCACTATCACAGTCACTGTCATCTGATTTTGAACGCTTTTTCCTACTGGATGGTTCCTGAACAGAATCATGTAATAACTCCACATGAAAGCCCGGGTACCATTTATTAGCTTCTCGCTTCCACTGCCGCAGGAGTGTAACTGGACAGATAATGATGCTTGGTTTGTACATACCACTTGAATGCAATGATCCAAGGAAAGCTAAAATCTGTATAGTTTTACCAAGACCCATTTCATCTCCAATAATTCCACCAGCTCTTTGACAATGAAGTTCCCATAACCATTGTACACCAACCTTCTGATACTCAAATAGTTTGCTAAAAATTGTTTCTGGGATTTTCAATCCCCCCTCAAGGGTCACGAAATCAGACCCTTCTTCATCTGCATCCTCTACATCTTCAAGGCTATCATCTTCATTACTGGAGGTCTTCCCATCTTCATAAGATAAGCAAGTACAGCTATCAGTAAATTATCAATGTAAGGTAAAAATCACACAAAAAAAAAGTTTTTTAAACATGAGAACGAAAACATGGAGAAAGGTATTTTAGACCATGTGAAACAGTATGACGACAGAAGTGCTTCACTTGTGCTTCTCTAGCTAAATTTCAGCATTAGAAAAATACGAGGCATAAAATAGATGTTCTGACATACCACTTTCGTCCAGCCCTTCATCCTCACGGGAGACCAACCTCCTCCATTTCTTCCCAGGTTGAGGCCTTCTCTTCTTCTTCTTTTGATCTTTGTCTTTAGCAGATTCCATTTCAAGGGACCGAGGGATCTTCAATGGTTTTCTTAGACGTTGAAAAGGGATGCTGGGTGCATCAAGTCTCGGTATTGATTCGGGATCAAGCATCTTGGTCGAGGGGCGTGCTTTTGAAGCCTCAGACATTAACCGAGAAACTCTAGCTATGCTTGATGAGGCAAGATCATTGTTTTCCACTACATCGTGTCTTCTCGATGACCCTGGTTCTTGAATACGACGTTCATAGCCTTTAAGCTTGTGAAAGGGAGTAAAAATTCCTTTTCGAACCAACTCATCTCTTTCCTAGAACATGAACAATGTTTTGTTAGCTATTGTATAAATACACATCATCTTTGCACAAACGACAAGAGTAGAAAGAAAATCACTTACAGTTTCCACAAATCCTGCAGATGCTGCATTTAGAACAGCATCAAAATCATCATCTTCGTCCAAGGAAACTCTCTTAAGCCGTTTATTTTGATTATGGCTTGTTTTATCAACTCCTTTCAACCTTCTCTTGGATTTGGGTTCTTCCTTAATGAGATCTCTTATCAACCTGTCCTGTTTGCTGTTCTCGGCAGAATCTGAGATTTCTTTCTCAAGATGAACTCTTGTTTTTATCAGGCTTTTTAAACGGTCTGCAGCAAGAGCATGCTGAAGGTTCAAATCATTTGGAGATGAATGAATGCCATTTCTTTCCACTCCGTCATTTTCCTCTTCTATTTTGACCTCGCCATCAGCCTCATCTCCCTTATAGTTGTCGAACTGTTCCACAGCAGATTTGACAGCATCTATTTCAAGTTTAACTGCCCTCAATTTGCTAACCAAGTCTGCTTTTCCATTACTAGAAGATGTTTCATTGTTCTTTGTTCTGTCCAGAGTTTCCTCCTCTCTGCCTCCAGCATCTTTATTATTGTCTCCAGCATTTTTTCTTGCCTATCCAGATAAAGACTGCGTAGTTAATACATATAGACACACAAAAAGAAGAAAGCAGAAAACCACAAAGGATCCAACTAAATGCATAAATTTAGAAGCGACAAAAAGATAGTACCCCTTGATTTTCAGGAAGTTCAAACTACCACAATAACGATCTCAACGTTACCGTGACCAACAAATACAGTTTGATTAGTGAAGCAACCACAATTCTATCGGCTGCATATTTTAGCTTATTCTAATACTATTTTTCATGATTTCCTATATAATTATCCCCTCGAAACTACGGTCTGACTCTGCTATCTGAATTCAGGAGTAGAAGATATGGGCAAAAATGAATTTAGAAACAAGAAACACATAAATGTCATATGACTAATATTATACTGCTACAGAACGATCTAAAGAGCTACTTCAGATCTTGAGAACAAATTATTGTAAAGCAGTTTGCAATATACTCGAGTGAGGAGAATTCTGCCATCAGAATACTATCGATAGACATAATCACATAAAAGACTTGGCATTATATGCAATACAAAACAGCTGAGTGCAACGCCATTACAATCAACAAAAAACTAAACAGATACAGCGGAAAGGAAGAAAGAGCTTAAGATACGCAAATACAACCTTCTCCAAAATATCGCGTTCGATGTCTTCAGGATTAGCAGATGTGACACCTAAAGCGCTCAGTAAAACCCTATCCTCTTCCTCTTCATCCATTGGACTGAATCACTTGCTAGATCGACAAATTGCCACCTGCCATTACAAGATTTGTGCATCAATTCACATAACTTGATTTTCACATGGAGTAATTATAGTGCAGGTTAAAGCAAAACTCAATTTGGCTGCTCTAATAGTTTATAGATTTGCAAGCCGAAGCAAAATCGACACACTCCCCGTGGATTTCAATAAAATTATTCACACACACACCGTTATGCAAATGCAATTTAACAGAACTGTAAATGCTGAAAACACAGAAACCTACAATCCAAATAACTGATAACACCATGCAATCATCGAACTGCAACTAATCGTTGAAGAAAATATAAAACCGTTGAGTACTCAACGAATTCTCAATCATTTGTATCAATTCAATTTGCGAAGCACAAATATTACTGGAACTCCACCTGGTTTTTGACGAAATTAAACTGCCCCCAAAAACCAATACCTAATTTGTAGGAAAATCGAAAAGATACTTACGATTTTCAGGAGAGAATCATTGCAGATTTGGCAATTGAATATGCGATTTATCTTTGTGTTTTTCTCTCTCGACAAGGACAGCTGAAGAGGTTTATTTGGGCAAGGAATCGATCAGCGCAGACACGAAAGCCTGCATATGCATATTTGTGACTTCTCCATTATTTATTTATTTTCTTTCCTTTTATTCCTCAATTTTTACCCTCGTGCCACAAACTTGGGGTTCTACTTATATTTATATATATATATATTATTAAAAAATAAAAGATAGATTATTAGTTAGAGGTCCTCAAAATTATTTGGTAAGGACATTACACATTTTTTCGAGTGATATGGGCGCTGAATACAGAATAGACAAGTTTACTTTTTTCGTGCAGTGTTTGAAATCGCAGCCTGACTAGCAACAAATTTTGGAAGACTAGAATTTAAAAATACATGAATATGCGCACTCGATAGCATATAGAACTTACTTAGAGAACTTAGGATGACGTCGAAGAACTTACTTAAAGAGCTTAGATTGAGCATAGTCAGTACATGAATAGATATACTCCACGGAGGATTACACACACATGAAAAATATATATTGGAGAAACTACAATGAGAACTTAGTTATGAAGCTTAGACAGAGTATTATACAAAAATGAAAAATATACAGTGGATAGTATAAGGATAGCTCAGTTACGGAGTTTAGTAATGTTCAGTGGCCCTTTTCCATGGAATGCTTGCATATTCACGATCACATCTTCCCAAAATCACGTAGCTAATCAAAGTGAACCTGCAACTATCGTTCATATCTTCCAAATGTACATTTACAACCGCAAATTTGCTTTTCCAACGACTGTTGTGTGTGAATTTGTGTGTGTGCGAGTGTGTGATTGAGTATGTGTATGATAGTAGATTAATATTCGATGACGACAACGATATGACAATGGTGGCGGGGGTGAAGACGATGGTTGCGAGATGGGAAAAGACGATGATGGTGCATCGAAAGTATTGTTGAATCTAAAATATAAAAGAAAAGGGAAGAGGAAAAGAGTGGATGAAGTGGGGCAGAAAAAAAACCAGGCGATTCAGTCTGAAAAAGATAGAGAACTCTTAGCAAATTAACAAAATTCGTTCATCTCAATTTGAAAGGAACCTACGAAGAGTATTCAGCAAATCGCACCTATAAAATAAACAAAAGTATAATACTCCTTTTAGTACATTTGACTACTAAAGATGTTAGTACCTTTAAAGTGATAAATTATTAAATTATTTCAGATGTGTTCTTTAGTGATTTAATTCATATTATGAATTAATATGTTATAGTTTTATTATAAAACAATCCATGTTAATAACCTATGTTATGAAAATATTTATACCTTAAATAATAAATTTTGGCATTTAAAAATATACTTTCAACTATAATTACTTTGAAAATATTCAATACAAAACATAATTTATTTACTTATTTAATCGGGTTTTATTCCGATTGAGCCGAAATGACCACAAACTGGGCTCACAAAATTTCGAACCTAGTAAAATAACTTTCAAATGACAATATCTTGAAACAACTAAGATAAAATTGGGCCGAACTATCGAGCTTCAAATAACTACCACTAATCTACATATATTTATTTTTAATTTTATTTTAAAGATTTTATTTGAGAGTCCTAACCGTACCTAACTGTTATCCGAATGATAAGAATTAGGGGCAGTTTGGTCTTTTCAGATCCGACCACACCCCACCCCACCCCACCCCTACGCCTACAATACAACCAGCCTCTCTCTCCTCTCTCGCTCATCTCACTTGCTTTTCCTCACGCGCACACAGGGAAGAAATTCCCGTTTCTCCCTGAACTCTCTCCCTCTCTCTCTCTCTCTCTCTCTCTCTCTCTCTCTCTCTCTCTCTTGTTCGTCTTTCCCTCAATTTTGCGGGGATTTGTCCCCACGTTATTATTCCTCAGCATCAAAATTCTGATTAATCCAACTGTTGTTCCGCATGTATGATACGCATACCAGATTTTAATCGGTGGTTTTTGGGCTTGATCAAATAATATCACGAGGGATCGGCGATTAGTTCGTCAATTTTTGTGTTTTTTTCAATAGGATGTGCGTAGTTCGGGAATAGAAGGATACGTAATTATAGAATTATTTTAGTATTTCTTGGATCTGCGAGAACCCTATTTTGGCTAGTATATCGTATTTTATTGAGCGATTTAGTGTGATCAGCGGTTGATATTTGGGATTTAGGTTAAAATCGAAGGAATTCTTATAGTTGGGGATTGTTTGATTCAGCATATTGCCATGGATCATATTGTGGGTGGAAAATTCAAGCTTGGAAGGAAAATTGGGAGTGGTTCTTTCGGTGAACTTTATTTGGGTATTGCTTTTTGTTTCATTACTTTGTATTACTGTTGAGGTACTGGTGCATTTTCTTTTTCTTTTTTTTCATAAAAGAACTAAGTTTTTCCTCTCGATTTATTTTTGTAGGTGTGAACATACAGAACGGAGAAGAAGTAGCTATTAAGCTGGTATGCTTGCCAATTACAATCTAATCTTTGACCTCTCCATTTATTGTATGTAGTTGGAAGCCAAACAATCGTTTCAATTGATCTATATCCCATCCTTGTATATTTAGTCAGCTCATCACACTATCCATTCTGTCATCGTTTTTGTTTGTTATGCATGGACTAATGTTTACTTTGTCTACTTACCTTATCATTTTAGTTGGAACCCCGTTGGTAAAAATTGAGAATGCTTGAAATGCGTATTAGTGGAACCATTAAAAGAATCTCTCCCTATATGAAGTACATCAGTAAAAAGAAAAAAAAGTGTATTAGTAAGTCTATTTAGCAGATGATACCGTTCTAAACTCTTCGTAGAGTGAACTCTTTCGACTATGATTTTCATCAAGTCTTACAACGTGGTTTGTTGGTGGCCCTGCTAATAACTTTGTTAGATTTCTGACATTTTTTTGCAGCTCCCTTCGTTATGAAACACTTGTGTTTCTGTGCGACACATAAGTCTGTTTTGAATTTCTTTAATTAAACAAAGTTGACAGCATATGTTCCCCCATTCTATTTCTCTACTATAATATAGCATCATCCTCGTAAGATATTTATTCTCTTTTACATATGCAATTGACAGGAATCAGTTAAGACAAAATACCCTCAACTTCACTATGAGTCAAAAATTTATATGCTTCTACAAGGAGGAAGTAAGTTACTCTATCTTTCTACACACAAAAAGAGAGATTTCATATTTCACATCAAGTTGGTTAATTTAATTGCATTCTGATTTCTCTTAATCTATTGGTTTTTGAGACGTTCAGCCTATTAAGTTTGTTTGGATAATTTTGAATTATTGTGGAACCCAAATCCACAAATTGTTGTTTGTACTAATTTTTCAAGTGTTATGATCCTGATAGTTATTGAGATTAAACTCTTATGATTTTACAATACTCTATGCGCGCTACCTTGTTAAAGCATAGTCGAATCATAATCCAAGCAAATTCTCTAAAGAATGGGAGTAAAATCCTTAATATATGCAAATCTAAGATTTTATAGGGATTTGCTTTTGGACCAGAATTGGGTTAGGGGTTTTATATATACTAGTAATACACCCGTGCGATGCACGGTGCATATAGTAATAATTGTTTTGTCATAATGTAATATAATTGAATACATAGTGAAAAAATAATTCTAACAAATGTAGAAAAAAGTATGGTTTTTTTTTTATTGTGAATAAAATGAAAAGAAAATATATGGAGTGAATATTAGTAGTGATAGTTAAAATAAATATGATGAACATTTTTCAATATTTTCAATGATATTAGAAAGTGATATGAAATAAAACAAACAGTTATATCTTGAACTTAAAATACATATTATGTCCTAACCAAATGATACAACACTTTCTTCAAAGTATGCTATTCAATTTTACAACATATGTAAAATCTTGTGATTTTACAATTAGGTTTTACAGTCCCCTCCTAACTTTACTTAAAATTCTGATTTTGACTACCATTTTTATTATTATTTAAGCCCACCTATTGTAAAAGGAATTTGGAATTCTTAGCCCCATCATTCGTCAGCTCTAAATAATTCCATACAAATGCAATATTTGGTTTTATGATTGGGTTATTGATATTTTTTGTACGAACTTAAATTAACGATGGCCCACAGATTTATCATTTACTATTTACCTATTCTTACGTATATGAGTAATCATTGAATATAGAGTTAAAACTTGCTTAATATCTTGAGGCATGATATACTGGATCTTCACTTGTCATGATCATAAGGTGAATCCTTATTCAAAATTTTCTGCTTCTAAGCGTTTTGTGTATGGCGTGGGTTGGGGTGGGATTTGATCTTCTGAATTTGAATGCTTTCTGTTGACTTGATTTATTTATTATAATAGAAAATTTTGTTTGGATGTCTCTGAATTTAAGGTGATTCCTTTGACTGCATATTGTAAAATGTTGTAAGATAATGTCTTTGTAGAAATTACTCTCTTCTGGAAGATGATTTATATCTATGAATTAACGCTCCGTTGTTTTTTGTTATTATATAGTGGGCATTCCCAGCTTGAAATGGTTCGGGGTTGAGAGTGAATATAATGTCATGGTCATAGACCTTCTGGGACCGAGTCTGGAAGATCTATTTAACTACTGTAACAGGAAGTTCACCTTGAAAACAGTATTAATGCTTGCAGATCAATTAGTAAGTAGTTTGGATATCTGTAGAATTTATTTCTGAGGTTGTGATTTTACTTACCATAGCTATAATTAAAATATTTAATTTATGATTTACATTTAGATTAACAGAGTTGAATACACGCACTCAAAAGGATTTCTGCACCGTGATATAAAACCCGACAATTTTTTGATGGGCTTGGGGCGCAAAGCGAATCAGGCATGTCATTCTCTCATTCTAAGGCGTCGTCTTACTTAGATGTACTACACATAATTTTTGTCATTTGATTTTCTTTATCTTGTGCTTGGATGTCGTTAGCCTCTTGGTGCTCATTTGATTTCTTCTTTCCTAAATCCATAAGTATTATAGATGGATAACAGACGTACTACTAAAAAAAACACATATCGTCAACTCCTCTTTTAGAAGATTCTTATCTTAATTAACTAATTGTCATTGTCACAGCCTCGGCCTATATCGGCTCCCAGTTTCTTTCTATATTTCCAAAACCACATACCGGAAATATCCACCACCTACTACCCACTAACCAGAACTCTTTATTCTTTATTACAGAAAACGAAGAGACGTAATGTGAATTGAAGTATCTTAATCACTTTAGTACTAATTGGTTTCCATTTTTAAATTTGAATAAACCTCTTTTCTACTTATGTTGGAATCTTTTGATGTAACTGTGAGGGTTTTGAGCAGTAATGCTTTCATTGATGAAATATGACTATCTTGGTTTCTTGCATGAATAATCAGAAGTTCTTGAAAGACTAAATAATGATGTCAAGAATAAATATTTTTAAAGTGATAGCTAGGATTGGTATATTGACATCCAATATAATGGTGGTAGGTTATGCATATACAGGAGGTGTTTCAGGTTTTGCCATTTTGGCATACATTATTTGAACTTCAGCTGATTTTGACATGAGTTAACCTTGCATCACATTTAAGAATGAGAGAAGGACAATGCATCTTAGATAAACTTTTTTAAGTCCGGTAGATACTTAAATGCAATATTGTCACTGTGTAGTGCCTATAGTACCTCATCTCTTGGCTTGTTTCCTATTTTCTTTTATCTTTGGGGAATTTGGTGAATGTTTTCCTACTATTCATTGGTAGAATTTCCTTCATGAGGACCTTTTAGGGGCACCAACTTAATTCTCATTCTTATTGGTGTAAATGTTTTGCATGACAGTGGCACCTGTTGTATTTATGCAGGTTTATATCATTGACTATGGTCTTGCTAAGAAATATAGGGATCTCCAGACTCATAAGCACATACCCTACAGGTATCTTCTCTTTATGTAATGATTACGTCTAAGTTACTTAGTACCTAAGTAATCAAAATCGGGATTTAAGTAAACTTCAAAGGGAATTGTGAAATCGTTATCGTAAAAATGGATCGTATAATCAAGATTTTACATATCTTGTAAACTTAAATAGCATGCCAAATTTTATATGCCTCCACATATGTAAAACGTGTCCCAACATATATAAAAAAAATGTGTTTTTTGGTGTCCATTGATTATAGATTAGTTCTTGGTCGTTGTTGTTTATTATTTGTGCTACGGTTGAATCTTTCCTCAAAATTCAGAGATAGTCGTGTTATAACTTGAATGGAAGAAAATGTGCAGTAGAGTACTGAAAATGGTTGAACTTTACTTGGGCTCACTTGTTTGGAAGAAAAAAAATGAGTTTGGTCCAACAAAGGGATTCATAGCCCAATTATGATCCCAATTTTTAATTATTTAAACGATTTTACTACCCTCTACCTTGTTAAATCCAAGTAGAACCCTAATCCAAGAAAAAATCTTGACGTTTAAGAATTTAAGTTGTTGAGATAATATATGTGCGTTTATTGCAAGTCAGTTCTTGACTTCAATAAAATTCTTGGGTAAAAAGCTCTTAAAATTTTGTCTCAGGGAAAACAAGAATCTCACGGGTACCGCTCGCTATGCCAGTGTCAATACACACCTTGGAGTTGGTGAGTGATGTGTCACGGTCACTGGAGTTGTTTTGCTTCTGTGTAACGTGCTTTCTTAGAGGGTGATCTATTATTTTTCCCTTAACATGTTTGTGATTTGCATATGCTGACAGAGCAAAGCCGAAGGGATGATTTGGAATCTCTTGGTTATGTCCTAATGTATTTTCTGAGAGGAAGGTTGGTGGGATTCTATCCTATCCCCCTACCCTTTATGTTTGTTGGCATTTTTCCTATTTCTTTTTGGATTTTCATCTGAAATTTATTCTTTGATTTTTGTGTTCCCTTATTCTATCTTTTCTTTTTATTTCAGCCTCCCTTGGCAAGGACTTAAAGCTGGTACCAAAAAGCAGAAATACGACAAAATCAGTGAGAAGAAAATGTTGACTCCTGTCGAGGTAAATAAAATGTGCCATATTCGCATGCTTGGTAGTGGGTGTCCTTGTTTGAAATATATGTTTTCCCGTGCTCAAAAAGCTGGGTTACGAGAGTTCTGATATCTTTACACCGCTAGTTATTTCCAAGGAGAAATTTATTACAAGATATACGGGTCAAAGTTTGCTTGCTTCAGAAAAAAATAATGGAGTACTTTGGTTCTTCAGGGCGCACTTGTGTATTCATGCCTAATTTGCATGTCTTCAAATAAGTGAAGAAATATAAAAAATGTATGAACGAAAAAGATTTTCCCTGAAGTGTATTTTGTACTTGATGACTGAAGAAATAGACTCAACTTTAAAAAAAATATATCATTCTTATCTGTTCTAACTTCCTGTCCTAGAACTTACTGCATTACTTGCTGATAAGTCGCAGAAAGTTCACAAATGAGCAATTGTAACAGGTACTGTGCAAATCATGTCCATCTGAGTTCATATCATATTTTCACTATTGCCGATCGTTAAGATTTGAGGATAAGCCAGATTATTCTTACTTGAAGAGGCTCTTCAGAGACTTGTTTTCTCGTGAAGGTACTGGATGGTTATCTAATTGGGCTTTCCTAATTTAGGTTGTCTATGCTCTGGATATTTTCTTAGTATCCCAACATTTTTTGAGTTCGTTGGTAATTAAGTTTCTTCTGGAGCATCTTGTATTTCAGCTTGGAATTGCAATATTCATGCAGGTTACCAACTTGACCATGTGTTTGATTGGACTATATTGAAGTATCCCCAAATTGGTTCGAGTTCCAGACCAAGGGTTAGTGTTTGCATATTTGTGCTCCTACCTAGTTTTCTGATGGTTTAAATTATTAATTGGTGTATATTCTTTCAGAATCCAACTGTCAATGCTGTTGCCGGAACCTCTGGTGACCGACCAAGAAGAACATCAGGTATATCTCTGGCCAAAAATAGCACCTAAATTTCCTCTTATCTGCTTGCATCCGATATTTGGATTGATAATAGCCTAGCTAGTTGCTTTACAAGCTTCTTGTACAGCTATGAGATTGAAATTTGAATGTGTAAGTGCCTTTGTAGAGGCAAACTTGTAAAATAGTTCTGGCTATTGCAATTTCTGGTAAATTTACTCGTGTAAGTTACTAGACCAGCATACATGGTAGTAGAAGATGACCACTTCATTGAGTGTCAACCTTCTAGCTCTTTTGTTCAATAGAAAGAAGGTTTACATCTCCTCTAATACGGGACATTCTAAATCCTTGAATCAAATTGAAAAGACGTTGTGAAGATGTTAAATATTCAGAAGTCAGATAGGCTAGTATGTGTACAAAAAAAAAAAAAAAAAACCATGTCTTAAATACGAAAAACTGAGGTTTGTAGTTTTTTAAATAATGTGGTTGATTAAGAATATCTGAGGAAAATCTTTGATTACCCGTATCAATTTGTAGTTTTTCATTTTTCTCTATGCTCTTATTTGGTTGCTGTTTTTGTAAAGTGGGTCAAGATCTTAGAGAGAGATTCTCGGGCGCAGTTGAAGCTTTTTCAAGAAGAAACACTTCAGCTTCTGGTCGGCCCGTTGAACATCCCAGACATAGGACATTAGAAGATGTCCCTGCTTCCAAGGATGTGGTATTTTCCTCTTTTACATTCTCGTCCTTTTCTGTTACGAGCTCTATGTATGTGTGCGAAAATTGGATGTGCAATTATCGTCATTTTGTCGTGATTACACATTTAAAAGTAAATTTCTTGTGGGACAAAAGTTGAATTATGTGCCATCTTTGCAGCAACTCGATTCAGAAAGAATCCGCAGTTCACGAAATGGCAGTTCTTCAAAGAGACCAGCTGTTGCAAGTAGCAGGCCAAGCTCGTCCGGTGAGGCTACTGATGGTCGTTCTAGTAGAATGGTGTCTAGCACTGGTCGTTTATCTACCACACAAAGAATCCAACCTGGCATTCTCGAGCCTAAGCCCTCTTCATTTTCACGTACTGCAATTACTACTGCTAAAGGTACTTCTCGTGATGACCCCCTACGAAGCTTCGAGTTCCTTTCAATCAAGAAGTAAACGGAGGACGGTCTCTTGCATTAAAAAAAGTCCCGTGTGAAGTAGACAAATACACCATCTATTTTAAGGAAAATCTTCTTGGCGTTGTCTTATCTTTGCTCTTGTAAATGTGAAGTTTGCCGTACTTATACCACAATTGGCTTCGACTTTTTTTCTTTTTCTTTTTCTTTTTTTGCTTAGAGTTATTTCTCTTGGACGCGTTGCAATGCTCATCTGAAGGAATTTGATGGGCTCTATATACACGCGGGAGTTTTTTTTTCCCTCCATTTTTACGAGACAATGGTAGATGTAATAATGCTATCTGTTTATGGCACCACGCAAGTGATACCGAATAGGAGTATACTAAATATGAAATACCTAATTGATTTCATGACCATATATAGTGCGAGTTCTTTTTGTTTTTGATATCTCGTGTTTGAATTACTTTTCCATTTGAATCACTTACAACGGATCTAAAAGATTTTACCAGAAACAGCCACGAACATGAAGACAGATGTTATCGTCAACAGTGAATATCAGAAAATGAAATTAAAATTCAACAAATCTGATCCAGAAGTTAATTGCATTAATCGAAAAATGTTGTGTAACAATTAATAGACAAATTCCAGAAGTAATAGCAAGGGAAGTGATAACTATATACAAAAAGTATAAATGTAGGAGAGAATTTGAAACTGAATTTCGTAGCAGAAACAAGAGTCGATGATGATATGTTTAAAGCTCAAGGATTTCTAAGGGCTGATAACCTCTTCTCCAGTTCATCCATGCTTGAACTAAATGATCACAAGTACAAATTTAATATTATATTAAAAAATAATAAAATAAATAAAAGTAAGCAACAAAAACTGGTTAATAAAGATATACCTGCTAGCATCCTCAGTGTTCTTCCCAGCAATTTTCCCTTTGGGAGCAGCTGACAACTGTCAAGATTCCACAAATCAAAATTAAATTTCCGCACAAAAAAAAAAACAATAATTTCTCAGCTAATCAGTTTTTCCAAGAATTTTTTTTACTAACCTGTGAGGCAACATCCACACCAATTTCGTCCAGCACCTGGAAACATATATTCATAAACTAGTAAATGCACGGTGGATAAAATGCACAATGTGCGAGAAAACGAGACATACAAGTTACAAATCCGAATCTCTCATACCAATTGTGTAAGGATTTTCAGATGGTTCTTCGGAAAAAGGTGGGTATTTTCAACAGAACTTGGCAAATTTCCTTATCGGCTATATAATTTACTCCATAGGTGGCATGTAAAAACAATTTTTGCAAATTTTGTATTTCTATTATTAGTTAATCGAATTCTTGTTTCTAGTGGGGCTCACTCCACAACTGAGCATGAGGACCAGAGTAGAAGCTTTTGTAAATTATATTACTCTTGTTTACCCAAAGCATTAATAACACAACAGAGAACTTCAGTTAACACAAGTACTTTAATTCCTCAAGAAACTTGGTTCTAAGTTGCCACTTAAATCAACGTATTTCATCTGAACTCATTGAAAATAAATCAGATATACTCTCGGCAATTCTAACACTAATTTTCCACTAAAAGTAAAAACTTACCTGATTTGTCAAATCTTCGGTTTCATCTTCAGCCTCATCGTTATCGAGAGCATCATCTATGGCATCTGACATCATTTCAGTCTGCACGGAGGATATTATAAGTGAACTTAGCACATAAGAAGGCATGGTAGTTTGTCGAAATGCATTGTACAAACTTACAGTCATATCCATTTGCGCTGATTGCCTCTGAAAGTCCTGCATAACCTTTGCCTGCTTTATAGGGTCCATTTGCTGCAAGTAAATGCAATTCAAGGTAAACAAAAAATAAAAATAAAAAATTGCAATTCATGTATAATTTCCCCCTCTCTCTCGGAAGCACTCCAAAAAGAGAAAACAAATAACAAGGGGAATACATTTATATATTTTCTATCATTAGTAAATCTATCTTATAGAGATGTGATGATGTAACCTTATTCATTGCTGCCATAGCTTTACTTGCACCTTTCATACCGACAGCTACAGAAGTTTGGGCAGACATAGCCTGCAAAAGGATATCCCTAGTTATGAGCTATTCTGAAGCGAACCATAGCGAACGAAACAAGAAAACATCTTATTTTGAGTGTAATAATCTCATTATGTACCTGGGTGTGAACCGATATACCTCTCATCTGAGCTCGACTACCTTGTAAGTTGGCTATTTGTTGCCGAAGCCTGATCAATTGACGTGCAAGAACTTTTGTTGCTGCCTGAAAAAATGAAGGGAGAACGTACAATATCGTTAATACTCGCTAGAGCTTATTTGTTACGTAAATTTTAACTGTCCTGCCCACCTCATTCCCTGTTTTCGCAGTTCTTTTTATCTCAGCAACGAGTTTCTTTTCCTGCATAACAAACAATAAAGTGTACAAATATAAGCACAAGAGAAAGATAAACTGAACCAAAGAAAGGAAAAATAAAAAACGAAACTTTGACATACCTCTAACTGTAATGTATTAATTTCCCTTTCTATACCTGAACCAAAATCACAGACCAAATAATGTACACGAGTTAGTATCAGTTCCGGGTCAAGCAAGCATGTCAAAAATGGAGTTGAACTTTTGCTTCATGTGATATATAAATACTACTTGTTCACTATTTGCATGAAACCAAAGTTCCAGGGTAGCATATTTTAAAAACTCGGTGCTTCATTAGCCGCTCCTACAACAATTTATATTAAAGAAACTAATTTTGCACTGAAATGAAACGAGAATTAAGATCCTAAGATATTAGACGTATATTAAACCTAAAGGAACACAAATACGACACAAGCATGTAGGTACACACATGCATAGCATTCAAACGTAGGTAAAGAGAAAAGCAAGAAGATAATGATTGGGCCTTTAGTCATGCATCTCTTATATGAAATGGTGAGGACAAAAAAAAATCTCATCTTTTCCCGATTATCGAACTTTAATTTTTCTGTGAGAGACTAACATGCCCAATAACACACTGTAAAATTAGTTCTGCCTGCTTCTATACCTAAGGGCACTGAATTACCATAGATAAAATTCATGATCTCCATCATCTTGCAGGCATTAGTATTATAACACATCCATCTCCATGAACTGATAGTATTTTCAAATTAAGCCGTAAGGAAGCAGAATTATCCCCACATAAACCTAATCTAAAGAAATGTACAGTAAATTCAATTTGGGGAAAATCAAAAGAAAGCCAAATAAGAACTAGTAGTACATAAATGTAAAATACGTTAAAAGGAAAAACCTCTAGTGGCATTGGTCATTTCTCGCTTACTCTCCCGAAGTGCCTCTGCAAAAAAGAAAAATAAAAATTGAAGAACATTGCACGCACAATCCAAAAATAAAATCGAAATTAAAGATCACAAGTCAACGAACGGACAATTGAACAAGAATTCACACGATAAAAATGGCTGATTTACGAGAAATTAATTGGGGGAATAAAAAAAGAGTTTATCATAGTGCGAATCATGAATACATGAATCAATCAAAGATAAAAAAAAAAGGGGGAGAGAGAACAAATAAACCTTTGGCGGTAGGTTTTTTGGAGAAGAAGTTCATATTTGGATGTACTACTACACAGAGAAAACTCAGAATGTGAGGGATGGATTCCGTATACCGACGCCGTATATGTGTATGTATAATCGCGGTGAAGATACACTGCGACGAAGGTCTGAAGATATGCAGCGGTTTCTCTCTCTACCTTTTTTTATTTATTTATTTATTTTATATTCTTTTTTATTAAGTTGAAAAAGACTAAAATAGTCCTACTTCGGTGGTGCAAAGTTAAGTCAATTAGTCATAATTTAAACAAATCTTTTCGTTGCTTTAATATGCAATTAAAAATGAAAGGAACACATGAGTTTGTCGCTAGGTATTTGACCAAATAGGATCGTCCAGTTCCTATAGAACATATCACTAAAATTCCCCTAGAGGGGAATAAGGCTAAGCGGAGCGAAAATGGTTTTCCATGAGATGCAAAATGCAAAAGTATTGAAGTTTGTGAATAAGTGATCATCTCATGATACCTGTCTTTCTGCTAAACAAGATGTATTGAACTCATAATTCAATAGATACCTCAGTCTACGATACATAAATGGGATAAAATCGGGTTTTTATAGGCTACGCTGTAAGAAATAAGACTTTAACGACCTAGTATTTTAAAAAAATGAGTCATTTTGCAAATTATGGAAGTTTTAAAATCTTGATATCTTTCGAATACAGTTTGAATCAATACATTTGGGTTTTACATTGAAGAGTTGAAATCAATAGAACGTACACTACTACTTGCGTATAACTTCGACACCTTAATATATAATTTTTCTTCACGCTATAGGTCAATTTGTTGATGCAATTTGAATCAAACACATTTTGGTTTCAATCGAGTGATTTTTGGAAAAGCAGCGACAATTTGCCCCTGGCTCAACCAAATAAACTCCATAGAAAAATAAAGATCACTACAAAAACCAAGATCACAACAAATTAGAGAAAAATAACTTCCAAGCAAGTCCAAATGGTAAATACGAAAAATTCAAAGACATTTCCATTCTGTAAACAAATTCAAGAAAAGGATCTGCATAAACAAAGTTCCAAAATCCTACAAAATCTTGACAAAATCAGAAACTATAATAATCAAACAGGGGTCTCTTTCTTAAGCTTCGCAAGCTCCTGTCGAACAACACCGGCCCTCTGCAATCGTCATCAAAAAAACAAAACAAAAAATTAGCCTCTGATAGATTAAGAACCACATACTATTTTGTCTAAATCAATCATTAGAGTTACAATGTTTTCGAAAAGTTCAATGTTTTCCAAGAATGTCATCTCAATTAATAATAATAATAATTAAATAAAAACTTATTTATGAAGCACAAGAAAAAACAAGAATGAAATAAGTATACGTACCTTGATCTTTGCAAGCATCAATTTAAAGCGGTCGAAGTCATTTAGAGCAGCCCTTCTCTTCTGAACAATCAACTTCCTGCCCCATGAGCTCTTTTCCCACTTCCCTTTAACATCTGCCAAAAAACAGTCGTAAAATTTTCAATACAGATACAACTGAAAACAAATGACGACAAGGTTTCCAAGATTCGAGCACCGACCGGCAGCCTCCATGGCAGCTACAAGAGTCTTCTTCTTCGGCGATCTTTTGATGTCAATCTTGATGTCTGTAAGAGAAAGCCTCTTGAAGTTCATCTGACTCCTCACCATGTCCGGGGAATCCACTAGAGCCTGTGATTGCGGCACCGAATCATAAATTGCATCAAACAAACACGAATGTTTGACCGCACAATCAATAATGAAAAACCAGATCATGTCATTTAATTAATTCGTAAAACCATTAACAAAAATGGTATCAATTAAATGCAAATCTAATGACCAGATGGGTTTTTGCCGTGCCCAAACAACAACGAATACAACGCCTACAAAGCGAGTATGCGTAAGAACGCCAAAATGCAGGTGAGGCTGTGCAACAAATTAATCATTTGCAATATCCCATTTCTTAATTCAGCACTCAAACCCTAATACACGAGTGACAGCTGTACTCTTATTCATTATATCGAATATAAAAAAATCATTGTCAGCAAACACAGAGCAAAGATCAAACAAAAAACCTAAATCTAAATTCAATTCTAAGTATTAAAAAATAAAACTTTCAAGCTACGAGATTGATTCCAACTCAGTGAGATTAAACATACAAAGATTGAGTTAACCAGACAAATTAAAAAAAGCTGAATAAAAATGCAACAAAATTACTTGTCGAGCTGAAACAAAAATGGCGTACCCGGTTCTGGTCGATGACGTCAACGATGACGACAAGCTTTCCATAGTCCTTTCCGTAGTTGACGAGGGCTACCCTCCCGATCTCAACGTACCTCTTGAACGGCTGCAACAAACAAAGCACAAATCCGTATAAAAATTAAATAACACCATTTTTAATGAAAGTTTAGATAGAAATGATTTTAGGGCTCACCATTTTCGGAGAAAGATGCAGCAGAGTGCGAGCTGTGTGAGAGAGGTGGCGGAGAATGTGAGAAGAAGAGAAATTGTGAAGGTTAAATATTCAGGGTTAGGGTTTTGGAATTGAATTTGGGCTAATGGGCCTTGGGCCGGTCCGTTTCAATTGCAGCTGTATGGGCTGGACCGGGTTTTTATTAGCTTTTCTATAGTCTTATTAAAATATCACTTTTGATATTACTACTCATTACAACATAATTTTGTTTTTTATATATTTGATTATATAATTTCTTTAAATGGTTATCTAAACATAAATAATAATAATAATAATTTGGGTTTCCACCTGGTGCCTGACACGAATAACCCATTTTTCAATTTGCAATTCCAATCCTAAGACATTAATTAATGTCAATTACTCATATTCATATTGAAGATATAACATTGCAAGTTTAATAATCAATAATTTTAAATAATAAAAAGGACGAGGTGTCACGATCTGCCTAATTTTGTTCAAGTCTAATTTTTGGCATTTGGCCAAAGCTTCTCAATGAAATAAAAAAAAACGAGCCAAGAAGTTAAGACTAAGCCTAAGTAGACCAGTACTAAGTAGGAACTTGTCACTAAGTACTAAAAATTTCTAAGAGGTCACTAGAAACATATTGCTTTTATTTTAAATGTAATTAGAATATGGGAAGTTCTATAGAGTCACTCTTAATCGTAGTATTAAATTAATCACACCATCAATTATGGAGGTAAAGTACTATAAATACAAGTTAAATTTCATTTGTAAACCAACCAAGTAAACTTGTATATTATATAAAGCCCATATGTACAATATATTAAAACAAAAAAGTCCTGACGTATACCCATTTTTCTAAATATGCTTAGTGCCTCTAAAATCTCAAAACCGACTTATCCCAGAATGATATTTCGAATGAGACGCGATTTATTTCTTCAGATTCATGTTGCCATTGAAGCTCATTAATTCTATTTTAAGCAGAGAAGAAATATTGTTGGGACTCTCAATTAGTCATGCATTTAAAAGATGACAATGTCAACGAGAAAACATGCGACCACCAGACGCTATTCATGAATATGTGCACACCGGAGATAGCATTGTTATTGGATCAATTCGGGACATATTTTGCTGGTCATTATAGAAGGTCACCTAATAATGAAGACATATTTTAGTTATTAGGGATGTGCGTTGGTTGGGTTGGTTAAAAACCAGCTATAAAACCAACCCAACCCATTCAACCAATTTTGGCCAATATTGGAAACCGTTATCGACCCAATTTACATGGGTGAGTTGGTGATGGTTGAAAACTAATTTAGTGGGTCGGTTGATGGGTCATCCATTTAAATATTTTTTAATTTTATTTAATATTTTATTAGTTGTTACAACACTATATTTTTATAAATTAAATATAACTAGTTCAACAATATTCAAATAAAAAATTCAAAACATTACTGGTCATATATATTGCAATTACACATAAGTAGTATCACTCTCAAATCCTAACTTTTCTGCATTCAAAGAAACTCGAGTTACAAAATCTCTATGATTTTTTTCAGTTTCTTAATGCTAGTGTGAGTTTTATATACATGAGCATCATCGATCTCTGCCATGCACGTGAGGTAGTTAGCCAAATCACAGAATCTTCCCAAAGCCACGGGGTGCCCCCTTAGTTAGTTTGGATGACTATACAAGGTAGACTAGACTTTTTGGTTTTACCTTCATGTTTTGTAATTGTGTAAGGACCAACCTCTTTTTTGGGATAGAGAAAATGTAATGTGATTATGAATGTGTGTATCTTACTTTATAATATGATTATCAAAGATAAAATATACATCAATTTCATAGAGTACTATGATTAACTTGAAACAACTGAAAAAATAAATATCTCACGCGAGCCTATTTCCAAGTTGATGGAGTTTTTTGAATTCATAATTGTATCCGAATTAAGTAGAGAAATTCATTCTCAACTCCAGTCACATCTCGTTCAACACTTGTGGCAAAAATATGAAATCAATAGGAATTTATGTTTTACATTTTACATTAAAGTAAAGTTTGTTGTTTTCAAATTGGCCATTTATGTTTTCTTTTAAATTAGAAATGTATTGTTATTTATGCATGTCATCAAATCAAGCATAAGAAATAATTCATAAATCAATTACTGCATAAGATGTAAAGCATAGATCAAAACATTAAGGTAATGATCATTAATTAAATATGTACCTTAATTATCTAAGTGTCAAAAGAGTGAACAATAGAAATAATGCAATTTCAAATAAAATAATAAGAAATCAATTATTTCACTTTGTCATGTTCAACGTACGTTAAAGTACTGTGCTAGCACAATAAGTTATAACAACAATTTATTAAGTTATTCTCTGTTTATTGTAATCAAAACATATACTAACAAAATATTGTGTTACAAACTTTTTGATGGTTAGTCCACTTCAATCTTGTGAATTATTAATCTCTTATATTCTATATTAACTTTCAAAACAATCTTATATGTATTATATTTATATCAAAATCAACACATCATATCGAATACTATGAAAATATATATAAGATCATGCATATAATATGCAAATCTTCGTAAATGACTAAAAATAATATTTTTTTTTGTCAAATCTCACTTCAAGAGGAAACTGGAATTGAAATTTGAATTAAAACTACACGAGATAAGTAAAACACACTAGGCTAATTAACCACGTGTGACAGGCTCGACCTAACGACCGTTGACGAGGGAATTTGAACTCGATTCAATCGACACAAACTCACCTCCTCCAGTCAAAGCTTTTGCCAATATTTAACGAATACTATAATGGATTTTAGGTTACAACTTATAAGCTAAATTATAGCTCATCTGTTGGAGCAAGAACTTATAACAACCCTTGGTTTGTCTTGACCACACCACCATTTTGGTTACTATTATTATATTACTCCCAAAATTTCCAACCCAAAAAAATTTAATGGTCTTTTTGGCTTTTGCTTTTAACAACCAACAATTCATTCCCCCCACTCAAATTAAAATAAACCATTTTTCTTTTTTCTCTGCCGTAATATCATTTATTCCTAAATTAATTGCTTTTTTTCTTTAAAAAATAAAAATAAAGAAAGAAAATAGAGTGAACCAGCCAGAGGAAATTCAGATATCATATTTGATTAGAGCCTCTCTCTCTCTAGAATCATAACAATCCATATAACAAGAGAGCTCCACAGATTGAGGCTCTGTTCCTCTTCAATATTCATTTTTTATTTTTTTTTTATTTTGCATGGATGAATTTTAGGCAAGTTTTGCTCAGAAAAATAAAATAAAAATAGTTTTGTAATTAATTAGTACGTACGTATAAAGACCATGACGAACAAGATGAAAGGCCTTCTCAAAGGCCTCAGATACATTTCCCAGATATTTGGTCTCTCTCTCCCTCTTTCTCTTATGTTCTGACTTCTCTCTCTAAGCTCGAAATTAAGTTGTTTTTCGAAAATATTTATCGAGTTCGTTACGTTATTTTTGGATGCATGCATGCAGATGAAGAGAAAGAACAAGAAATGCAGATTGGTTTACCCACAGATGTAAAGCATGTGGCTCATATTGGATGGGATGGACCGGCCGCTGATTCACCCGGCTGGGTTCGTACCACAAAATCTCTATTATGTTCTCAATATAATTAATTATTATTTTCTTTTTCAAATCTCTTCATTTCTAGATTAATTTTTTTTTTTTTCAAATCTAAAAAAAATATATATATAAATATATATTAATAAAATGTGCAGATGAACGACATAAACTCGTCATCAGGATTACACTCGGCACCATTAGGCCCCCATGGGGACCCTAAAGACAATTCTCAGATCAAATGGGTTTCTGAAGGTTTGCAATTTCTATTTCTTTTCTTTTGCTATGCAAATAAATAATGCAATTAATTAATTGGAAAATAAAATAAGGAATTTTTTTTTCCTCTCAAAGAATTCAAATTTTGGCACTAGTAGAAAAATGGGTTTTTACTACGACTATTGACCGTAGTAAAAAAATACCAAATTCGTAGTAAAAAGAGTACTTTTGTTATGAATTCCCTCCCAGCTGATACGGGTGTGACAACAACTTTGCTATGGTAAATGGCCGTGGTAAATATTTTTTTTTTATTACGGCAAATCCTAACATTTACTACGACTTCCAGATTGTCGTGTAGTAAAATGTACCTTTTGTAATGACATTTTAATGCAGCAAACAAATTCGTAGTAAAAAAAGCTATTTTCCTCAAAATACAAAAGTAAGGGGAGCGACATGATCTGAACCCTAAAATTATATTGATCATTTAATTTTTGTATATAAATAACGACGTATACAACTCTCCTAACGAGGGTTGATTAAATTATTATCGACATAAATTGCAGATTCAAAGCGAAGCAGCAGCCAGAAAGCAACAAGTAACAATGACTCGTCGTCACCGAAGAAGAAAGATCCGTCCACAAAACCAAGGCAATCAAGAAAGCACCAATCGAAGGAGTTGAACAAGCAAGATTCGACCATGCATGCAACAACAAGTACTTCTTCGTCGTCGCCCCCAAGAGGCTTGCCAGATATTCCAAAGAAAACGCGTAGAAAAAAGTCAAAGGAATCGGTCAATGGGGGCGGATCCACTAGGTCGCGAACCAAAGGAACAACTTCTAGTAATAATAATGGCGGCACAACTGAAAACTCGGAGCCTGCTCCGAGTATAGATGGTGATGAAGACCAGAGGGAAAATAGAGTAACCCTAAGAGAGTAAATATTTGATTTTTTTAAGCTTTTCTTTGGTTTTTTTTCTTTTTTCTTTTTTCTTTTTTTTTTCGCCCTAAATTTTAGTTTTTTGGCCTAGTTAGCTAGTAAGGTGCTCAGCAATCAAGGGCCTTTTGTTTTGTTTTCTTTTTTTGTTTTAAATTGATGATGTGATTCCGTAGGATACGTCAATGATGAATTGTTCATATTACTTACGTTTTTCGATTGTTCAATGGCAGAGCCCGAATTTTAGTTTTGCGTTGGTCAAATATACAACATATATATATTTTTAGAGGCAACAATACTACATTATTCGAAATTAATCTAATTGATCACGAATCTTCAACTCCAAGTAAGGCGCGGAAATACAGGCACTAGCTAGGTGTCTCGACGCCGGGGTTGCCCGAGTGATCGCACTCCGATGTTCGATCAAGTACTCATCGACCGACTGATAATCTAAAGAGAACAAAAAGCTATAAGAAGGCGCACAAATAACACTTATCTTTGAAATGATGAGTGAACTCTCTATCTAAAGTGTTTTATGATGGTTAATTTTTGTAAACTTGAAAATGAGGCTTTTCTCTCTTCAAAATTAAATAAAATAAATGAGGCTTTTTGTATTAGTCATTTGTTAAATAAATTATTTTGCTCTCATTGGCCAATTAATAATTTATTCACACCATCTATAAAATACTTATTTTTTTTAGAAGCCATGGGCCGCCATGGGTAAGAGTGATAAATGAGCTGAGTCGACTTAATAATAGTTCGAACTCGAGCCCAGGTATTTCGAGCTCGAGCCCAAGTCCGATTATAGATGTTCGACAACTCATGAGCTTCTTATATATTTATTTATTATTTAAATGATAAAAATAATATTAAATAAATACATATAAAAAACTAAAAATATATTTTTACAATTTATTTTTATTTTTATAGTCATATAAATTATTTATACTAATAAAATAAAGTAATATTAATATTAAAAAAGAAACTAATAATTAATAAAATGAGCTGAGCTCGAACTCGATATATGAACCCACTTGAGCTTGAGCCTAGAAAATGAAAGCTTAATGAGCTCGCAAAATTGGACACAACCTTGAACTTGAGCCTGAAAATTCTGATGAGTTCGACTCGTTCACACCCTTAGTCATGGATTCCATGAGGTTATTTTGGCCTCACCCTTGTATAAGATGTCATCATAAATGAGTTTGCCTTAGAATTTACCAAAAAAATGATTATTTATTTTGGTGGTTTTTAATGTGGTTGTGTTAAGTAAGAATAAAATTGAATGAACCCATTTTTAATATATAAAAAAAAATCAGATACAAAATAATAATTTTAATCCTATTTCAATAATCATTATTTTAGAAAATGAAATGCAAAAAAAATTGGTTCAAAATCAACCTATGATTTTAGAAAATGCATAAGATATTTTGCTATAATAAGAGGGTGTTTGGCTAAGCTTATAAGATGTTAAAAGAAGCTTATAAGATGTTTTAGAGCTTATAAGCTCTTCCAAAGTGTTTGGTAAATTTTTAGAAAAAGATCTTAATTTTTTTTTTAAATAAGCTGTTGGAGAGCAAATAAGATTTTTTTAAATAAGTACCTCTACCCCACCTTTTTATTTAAGATCTTTTAACGAGTAAAAATAGGAAATAAGCCCATTATCCAAACACTCTAAAAATTAATCATAAAAATAAGATGTAACAGCTTATCAGCTCATAAAACATCTTATCAGACGTAAGAGCTTTTCAGCTGTTTAAATAAGCTTAGCCAAACACCTTTTAAGTGTACTCTCTCTTAGGAATAGTATTTTGCCCCAACCCAATGGCTCTCTTGCCCGAAAAGATATGGGCTAGGGATGGGGATTGATAGAAGAATTTGAGTGGGTACGAGAATGGGTATATATATGCCGACCTCATAGACCCGCCCCGCATATACTATTCATATATACTTATTAATTACTTATGTTAAAATGTGATGCATCTTTAATTTATGGGATTTTATGACATTTGATGTTAAATATCACTTTGTCAATTAGTTTGTTGAAATAAGTCTGTAACAGATTGTATTTTCATTAATAAAAACTACAAAATAATAAATAATAAATAATAAGCAATTAATTTAGGGATTTTACGGGACGGGTTCGGGGATGTCAATTCATAAAATTATGGATTTTGATGGGGATAATTAGGGCTGACAATCGGCCATATGAGTCGAGTTTGATTAGCTCAAGCTCACATACGATTGGGCTTCGTTACTATAGGCAGGGGCGGAACTAGGATGAAAATATAGGGGGACTAGCTAAAATTTTGGGGTTCGTGGCAGCGCCTCGAAATTCTTTTTAGGTTCACCAGACACTGCAAAAATAAGTTTATATTGATATGTTTTAATTAAAATGTCATATATATTATAATTTTATCATATGTTAACCATGACAAAAAATCTAAATTAATTCAAATTATTCTAATAATGGTTTGTACTTAATATTTTAGGGATTCATGGCATCGTCTCATATTAATTTTTAAAGTTATTGATAAATAAAAATTCAAAAATATATAAATATTCATAAATCTTATCTCAAATAATACAAGTTTTCACCATTTTATTTTATATTTTTATATTAAATATGATATATATATATATATATATATATATATATATATATATATATATATATATATATATATATATGGAAAAGAAAAAAAAATTAAGGATTAAGATACATATTTGAAAAAACTTTAGGAGGGCCAAAAGTAATATTCAAAAAATACAGTGCCAAAATACCTAAAAAAAAAAATCATTTCCTAATCTTGGGGGGTCAACAGCCCCCAACCCCTTGTAAGTTCCACCTATGACTATAGGCTCAATCTCATATAATATCGTGCCTCATTAGTATAGGTCACAAACTCGGCTCATGTATATTTTCGAGTTTCGGGTTTGTATCGAGCCTCAATACTGTAGAACTATAATGAATAATTTTTCTTAATGAAAAACAAGTGATAAACAATTGAATCTAATCCAAAGAAATCCAAAATTATCTTTACAAGTTATTAGAAAAACTAAGAACATAACGGGAAGAAATAAAAAAAAATTCTTATCCTTTATTATTGGAAATATTTATATTCTCAAATTTCGGTGATAAATTTCAGTAATTAAGTTTGGATGGATATATTGCATTTAATTCCTATTTTATCCATTGTTACCGCCACCACTGAATTCCTTTCATTTTTTACTTTTTTCTTTATTTGTAAAATAAAATAACTTTATACGGTTATACAATTGTAAGTTGTAACTTGAATGTTGAGTAATATCATTAAAATAATAAATAGATTATATATTTTATTATTAACCTAACTAGCATTTTTCCCCGTGCGATGCACGGGATATTATTTGAAAAGTGAAAAAAATAATAAATTTAATATATAATAAGAAAATATAGTGCATAGTAAAATTTAATAATGTAGTATTATTTATATTATATATAACATTAGTTTTTTTTAAATATTGCATATCAAGATTTATAATTCAAATATATAGATTAAGATTTAACAAATCGAATTTCTATCTTTATCTCTTAAGATTTGAGATATATTGATGAAAAATAGGAGATTGATAATTGTCGAAATTATAATAAAAAAATTAGTATAAAAATATATTAAAAATAAATAATTACAGAAACACCATTAGGGTTTTTTAGATTTTATATATATATTTTAATACCAAAGATTAAGAATATCAATTGTTGTGTTTGAAATATATAATGACTGTATATACTCATGCGATGCACGGATAACATTTTCAAATGAAAATGTTAATTAGTTTAATACATTATAATAACAATTATAATAAAATTTATTAATGATATCGATAACAACATCAACATTTATACATATTTAATAATATAAACTCATTAAGAAAAACTATATAAACTTAATGGTGAATCATTAAATAAATGAAGCATATTTTTTATTAGAAAAAATAGGTTGAAAAATAATAATAATAATCAAAAAAATATAGATGTAGTGGATAAGGCTGAAAAATAATGATAATAATTTAAAAAATATAGATGTAGTGAATTATGATTGTGTTAGCCGAAATTTGGTGTTAAAATAATTAGAAAAAAATTGCTGCAAAATAGGAAATAAAAAAATATATTTACACAAATTAATTTATTTTTACAAATATTTCTTAGGTTACCTTAGCGTGTCTTTCTTTTATATATAAGATAGGTCGGACGTTACTCAAGTTGTAGTAAAATGACGCAAATTCGGCCGAACTCGGCTGAACTCACTAAAAATTAAACTTGACACAAATATAAGTGGTGCTAGGACGGAGATTGCAAAACCGCCCTATTCATATTTACGTAATATTAGTAATGTTCAATAATACTCCCTCTGTTCCATAATAACTGTCTCTTTTTTAAAATATTTTTGTTCCATATTATCTGTCACTTTACATTTCCAATACTGCATTAAATGCATTTTTTCCTATTTTAACCTTATTAATTCAACTATAAATATTAACTCTCTCCTATCACATCATTAAATAATCAAGGTTATTTTAGTCTTTCTAATGTATTTTACCTAAAATCAAGACACATTTATTAAGTTTCTTAATACTTGTGCAAAGCCAAAAACGACAGTTAATATGGAACGGAGGGAGTATCTGTTAAAAAACATGAAAAGATTCCATTTATAGTAATATTTTCCGAGTTCTGACCCACAAACCAATTGACCACGAAAAGTGAATTACACATCTACCCTCAGTGGTCCCCTCGTAATTACAACGACATGTCGACATCCACTAGGATTTTCCTTTTTATTTATTTATTTATTATTATTTATTTGAATTAACATCCACTAGGAGTCAAGTTGCAGGATTTAACTAAAGAAAGAAATTCCAATTCCCCAATTCATCACTTTCTTTCTTTTTTTGAAACTATTTATTTACGCGGGTTTATCAAATCCCCAATTCTTGGGGAATAAGTCAAATCGGAGGAAACTCAATCCCGCACACACAAAAGTGTGTACTGTGTGCTCCGATGGCGATGGCTGGTTTGTACAGGCGTATTTTGCCTTCTCCTCCGGCAATTGATTTTGCTTCTTCCGAAGGCAAGGTAATTATTCCCATCGTCTTCTTCTTCTTCTTCTTCTTCTTCTTCTTCTTCTTCTTCTTTATTTATTATTATTTCGGTGATTTGCTTTTGGTATATTTTTTATTTTCAAAATTTCTGATTTTTTTGGGGGCAGGGGTTGGATCGTGGGGGGTAAGTAAGTTTCTTGGCTGCTGTATTTTTTTAAAATAAATAATTCAGTTATTCTGCTTGAGATGTTTCTTCTTTGTATATCATATTGTTGAGATTACTTAATATGCCGTGGTTTTCTGTTAGCAGAAATTGGTTATTGTTACTATTCATTTCTATTAGCTCGAGAAATTAAGCCGCTCATCGCATAAACGGATTAATAATTAGCACTTAGCATGGGGGGTCTTGTTGTAGATTAAAATTGTTTATGGAAACTGTTTTTTTTTTCAGTTCATTGATGTTTTTATTTTGTTGTCTGACACGGCAGAAACTGTTCACTGAGGCCATTCACAATGGAACCATGGAAGGATTTTTCAAGCTGATCTCTTATTTCCAGACACAATCTGAGCCTGCTTACTGCGGTTTGGCTAGCCTTTCGATGGTTTTGAATGCCCTTGCTATCGACCCTGGTAGAAAATGGAAAGGTTATTGAAGTTAACACTTTCATTTATGAATGCTTTAGCTAGTAGTTTAAACACTTCCATTGATATTTCAAGAGACATTGCCGAGCACTATGTTAAACTACCTTGGAGAGTTCTCTTTGTGTGTGAACGTGAAGTTCTGGGAATGTCCATTAGCTTATTATGTTAGCTTTACTCATTGCATCTCCTTCATTATTTTGTATCTCGTTAATTTTTAATTAGGACTTGAGTTGATTTGTGAGTTGTGTCGGAAGTAGTGATTTAGTATCCCAATTTGACTGTGAAATTCAAAATAGCCCATTGACTGTGAGATTTTGAAATTTATTGTCGGAAGAATGTCAAAGTTGGGGTAAAAAAGAGTTTATTTGTATATTGTTTTTAGTCAAGTTTGTGTTTCAATTTTCATGCATTCATCAAAATTTAACTCTTAATTTCGTGAATCTTACTTGTGTTGAGAACTATGGAATACTTAAATCCTTTCGAATTCCAATTTATTTGAACGAGTAAATTCGTCCTGCAAAGATTTAATTTTCTGATTAGAAGGATGTGAAACTCCAACCTTTTTAGACATGTTTGACGGTTTTGCAATAAACTAGGAAAAGGAGTAGGGGCAGAGGAGGGGTTTGGTGCATGTCGTGTATTGCATAGTTCGTTATTTTGTTAATAAGTTTTTGTAACCAAATTTATTTTCATTTTTTGAGCTTCTTAATATGGAATTCACTTTTGTTTTTCCCAAACTATGTTTCTCTATCACGAGCTTATTGAAATTAAATACAGGTCCTTGGAGATGGTTTGATGAAAATATGTTAGATTGCTGTGAGCCTCTGGAAAAGGTTAAGGATAAAGGTATTCCATTTGGAAAAGTTGTATGCTTGGCGCACTGTGCTGGAGCTAATGTTGAAGCTTTTCGCACAAATCAGAGTACCATAGAGGATTTCCGGAAATATGTCATGGCGTGTTCCTCTTCAGATGACTGCCATGTGATCTCATCATATAACAGAGGAACATTTTACCAGGTTGAGACCTATTTTTTCTTTCTTGCTCGTACAATCATTTTCTTTAAGACTGTGTTTTCTTTGATTGTCCCAGTGATATACGATTCATCTGTCTATTCATCTGTTTGATATAAGTAAAACTCTACTAGAAGTGTTTCGAGCTTTTCGTGTTTCCACTCTTCATCTTGCTAAAAGGAATACCGAATATGTCATGGAACAACCACCATAGAATTTTTCTCCTTTGATTTACTTTTTCTACTTTTCCATTAAAAATATCAATAGAGGTGGTAGTGTTTCCCGATTCCCTGTGTTGTAGGACACGTTGCTTGGTTTAGAGGATAAAAGATGTATGAAAAACAGAAAAAAAGTATCCTAGTATGTGGTGTTACACTCTTGGGTTCATATCGTATCTGCGTCTTGTAGTTGTTAGTTTAGCTTATTCTGATTAATAAATTAAGCAGCAATGAGAACATTTGTAATCACTCTACCATCTTGCAGAGCTTCATTCTCAGGAAAACATGAGGTTATTCATGAAGTTTCTAACTTTTATTTTTCCTTTGGCATTCATTTCTGAATTTTGACTCACTTGATATGCTTTTGGCATAGATGTCTAACTTTCTGATCCTCTTTCGATTTGTCAATCTTCGAAATTGGGAGTTTTGTTTGAATTTACTATTCTAAACTACATTCTGTTTCTGATAGCTATGTAAATGATATATCTCTTTCTGGTTCCCCCTTTATCCAGTGTTGATGAATTGAATGATATACGTAACAGACAGGAACAGGTCATTTTTCACCTATTGGTGGATATCATGCCGAAGGGGATATGGCACTGATTCTAGATGTTGCAAGGTTTAAATATCCTCCTCACTGGGTTCCGCTTGGTCTTCTTTGGGAAGCTATGGATACTGTTGACGAATCAACTGGACTACACCGAGGGTATGTACACCTTCATTTCTTTGTGCTCCTCTGATTCTGTGATTATCTATGATTGCCTCTGATTATTATATTCATTTTATTTATTAAATCAAGTCACCATCTTATCGGTAATTCCTTGTGTTTATCTTTGTAAGAGGCCAAAGCTGCATACACAGACATGCCTAAACATTTGCTTCTAAAGTAAATAATTTTCTAATAACAAGCTTTTCTGGACTATTTAAAAGTCCATAATATATGTATTGGTATGAGTGATGCCAATTCTTCTTTCTATGTACTGTTGTGATGATAGGATATCCTTGTGTTGTAATTTATTTTGCTGAGGTAAGCCTTGATCTTACTGGAAGCTTATTTTGAAATAAGATATCTTTACGTCTGTATATCTGTGTAGGCAATGTTTTGAAGTGGAGAAAACATTATATTTTTGTTGTTGAAGATGCACGTGCTTCCTAATTTTTATTTACAATGGTCGTTGTAATTTTCAGGTTCATGCTCGTGTCTAGGCGCCAGAGAGCACCAGCCTTGCTTTACACCCTGGTACGGTCAATATTATTATGGTTTATTCCTTTACAGGGAGTGATTAGGATAATGACATAAACTACCCTTGAGATTTTGTCTTTTACAAAAGATCTATCTAAGTCTAGGTACTGCAAAGGTCACACTGACTTTTTTTTCATTCATATGAACAATTAATCCGTATCTTATTGCTTCTAAATACATGGTATTAAGTGTTTGGTCACGTGCAACTGATTTTACCCAGCAACTCCATTTCATTGACACCCTGGTACTGTTTGACAGAGCTGCAAACATGAGAGTTGGATCACAACTGCAAAATATCTGATGGACGACGTTCCAACGCTATTAAGTTCAGACGATATGAAGAATGTCGAGAACGTATTATCAGCCGTCTTCACATCCCTGCCCTCTGATTTTGCAGAGTTCATCAAGTGGGTGGCTGAGATTCGTAGAAAAGAAGACGGTGATCAAGTTTTAAGCGAAGAAGAGAAAGGAAGGCTTACCAGCAAGGTAAAAACTCAAAAAACTCAAAAAAAGAAAAACCTTTAATCTAGATTTTCCGTGCACATCTATTCTTGTCTCTCAACCAAAAGTGTTTGTTGAAATTTTTCAGGAGGACGTGTTGAAACAAGTGCAAGAAACTGGGCTTTACAAGCACGTGACTGATATTTTATCTTCAGAAAAATTTGTTTGCCAGGTTAAACAAACATCGGGTGACCGAGATAGTTTGTCTAATATAGCTGCTAGTGTATGCTGCCAAGGGGCGGGAATTTTGACCGGGAAATCTGGCTTGTCGGATAGGTTTTGCTGTAGGGAAACATGCGTGAGATGTTATAGAGCTATGAATGGGGACAAGCCTGTTACAGTAGTTTCTGGAACAGTGGTCAATGGTAATGGAGAGCAAGGAGTTGACATGTTAGTCCCTGTATCTCAAACAGAGCTTAGCTGCTGCATTTCTGGCTCGTGCGGTATGCACCCGGCTAGCAATGACATATTGACCGCACTTTTACTGGCATTGCCCTCACAGACATGGTCCGGTATTAAAGACGAAAAGGTTTTGGAGGCAATTTCTGGCTTAGTTTCGACAGATGCACTTCCTCCATTACTTCAGGAAGAGGTATGCATGCATGCATATTTATTTTCACAAAACTTCATGATCGTAGTTGACTTTATTTTCTCGATTATTATAACTCAGTTTTTTTACTTTTTTTTTTTTTTATGGATGTGGTCAGATTTTGCATTTGCGAGGCCAACTACTTATGCTCAAGAGATGCAAAGATAACAAGGTAGAAGATGATTTAGGTGCTCCCCTAATTTAACTATTTTTTTTCCTTCAGTTGAATACTGTTGTGGTCGTGTACTTATCGAAGTTTTTATAAATGTCTTATGGAATACAAGTTCTCAATGAACGAGAACATTTTTTAAGGCGACACAGAGCAAAACATTTCCTTTCCATGTTATAGGTTTCACATGAAGTCATTTCCTTAGGCAAGACTTTTCCGAACAATGAAGGAATGTTCTTCCAGCGATTGAGTTCCTATTCAAAACAGAATTCGAAAAATTCTCGTGTAATAACTTCTTGTTCTATCAACGTACTGTCATTGCCTCACCGTGGAGTCTTCTCTCCGGGAATCATCGGACCTTGTAAGGAAAACAATTCTAGGATTGCATATCCGAAAAGCAGTTCTATGATTGCATGTCCGAGAAGTGCATTATATAACAAGCAGAGTATGTGCTTAAGGATACCACGCTGTTCGAAATTAATAATTTAATTTCGACTTCTTGAGTCGAGGGGTGGGGGGTGTGGTGGGGTGTTAGTATATACAATACACATACATGATTCTTGGTCCTCAAATATGTTGTTTATATTGATTAGTTGAGTACATCATTGCGAGTGGAAACTTTTGCCCCTTTTTTATGGTAATCAATAAGACTTTAAACTTGCGAAAATTGTATTTATTTACATCTTCTAGATGCTAGCTATACTTGATGACCCATTGTTGGGTAGTTTTCTACATTTCGTTTACACACAAACACACACACACACATGTACATAAATGCATGTGTGGAGAAAAATATGATGGATTCATACACATGATATAATTCACTGAAGTTCACCGAGTATAAAAACCATAAATTGCCCATGGGGATAGAAGGCGAACTCGAACGAAACCAAAATGCTGTACGACTCTAAACCAACAATTTAATGAAGTATTCTCCATGAATGAATGGAGGCTGATTGAAACAAAAGTTGAGATTGTTTTCTTTATATGAAATCAAGAACAATTTAAATTTTCTCCATGTAACAATGGAGATTATCAGCTTCTTTCTGCTGAAACTCTCTAACTTTGCGTCTCAACTGACGATAAACAAATGAGACTTTATCCCAAAAAATAAAATCAAGGGGAAAAAGGATTGGCCGAAAGGCAGTTTAGACCAAAAATAGACGATAACATGTTTAGCTAGCTGAGGCTTTAACTGCTTTCTCAGCTGCATCATCCAGATCTTCAGCAGTAATCAACGTCAAACCACTTTCCTGTTATCACCAAAAAATTCCGAACGATTTATCACCTTGTTATAAGATTAGATATCAAATAAAATTTTCCTCTGAAATTCAGATTCACCTTCAGAATCCTCTTTCCTTGGTCAACGTTTGTGCCTTCAAGACGAACAACCACAGGTACTTTGAGTTGAACCTTAAACACGAGTCCAATAAAGTTTTAATTAGGGCAGGCTCTTATCAAATGCAGAAACTACGAATATTTCAGTAACTGTTAGTTAATAATAAAAAAACGAAAAGGAGAGGAAGAAAGAAGGAAAATATGTGGACAAAGTTGTGCATCATAATTTTTAGCTTCACTGTCATGGTTTAGATTTTACAGAAACTTGTAACATTAAAATGAGAGAATAACTCGAATTTAATGAAGAATTGGCTGTGCATGGGAAGTGGAGTCACATTTTTATAATAAAGGAAGAAGAAAAAACGCTCAATAAACCCCAATCAATGCAGACATCGCATACCTGTTTAGCAGCATTAACAATCCCAGCGGCTATTACATCACACTTCATTATTCCACCAAAAATATTCACAAGAATAGCCTTCACTTTCTCATCTGAAGTCAAAATCTTGAAAGCCTCCACAACCTGTAACCATATTCAGCTACGTATAAACACAACAAATACTCCAACATAAACGATAGAGAAGGCAAGCATGAAGCTCTGTTGTAATAAAGAAGTTATCTATACTCTCATGATAACGAGAGTAGTGTATTAAACCATAGATGTCAACCATAACGCGACAACATCATGAAGAAAAACAAAAGTCAAGAGTTACCTGGCCTTCAGAAGCATTTCCACCAACATCAAGAAAATTGGCCGGAGTTCCTCCATGTAACTTAATTATATCCATCGTAGCCATGGCCAATCCAGCACCATTCACCATACAACCAATTTCTCCATCTAAACCAATATAGTTTAAGTCGGCCTTTGCTGCAGTAACCTGAAAATGTTTAGAAAATGCAATATTAAAAGAAGTAAACACTTGATATATCAATTTGGAACTCAAGTATATCAATGGCCATTTACCTCACGAGGATCTTCTTGTGTTGGATCCCGAAGAGCAAATATTTCTTTTTGCCGGAATGCAGCATTGTCATCAAAGTTGAACTTTGCATCAGCTGCTACCAACTGATTATCAGATGTCTCAGCAATTGGATTGATCTGTAAAAACATTAAAACCATAGTAAGATGCAATAAGAGTTTATGCAGAGGTGGATTTTAATTGTAGAAACCTGTAAACTAATCACGCAATCACCTCCAACATTGTGCAGTCACATTTGCAGAAAAGTTCATATAATTTCTTCACTTGTTCCATGCAAGAATTTCTATCAGCCACCTTAGGAGACAACCCATCAACTACCTTGGCAGCATCCTCATCGGTAATCCCAGTAAAAACATCAATAGGTACCTGGGCTCAGGAAACAATGAAATATTTGAACCCTGAATCAGATTCCGAAAGAAAGTTTCCAGCATCAAAAGCAAGATATCAGGCTATCAGCATATAAAAATTGTTACCTTTACAATCAATTCTGGGTGTTTCTCAGCAAGATCTTCAATACTGGTTCCTCCAGTTTTACAAGCAATGATAAGCTGCAAAATGTTCGAAGTAAATTAAGTGCCAGCAGAAAAGATACATTCATTAATAAATGCATAGATCCAATTCTGTTGCAAAAGCTCATGGTAGCTTAGTAATAGATGATGATATTCCGCAAATTACTAATATGTAGGGACTTTGATTGGCAACTTATTATCTTATACTTTACCCAGTGACTGACTGCAAAGCACTATTCAAACACAAATATTATGAGGAAAGGTTTAATAATTTAATTTACATGAATCCACGTGCCATCAATTTTCAAGATAACTAATTTTATGGCCCAATTCTGTTTGGCAAAAATCCTGTCTAGTGAGTCATGATAACAATCTTTTCAGCCAGGCGAAGTAGATAGGTTTTGGTCTCGACTTACTAAAAGAATCACATCAGACAAAGAACTCCATATAGCACATCATAAATCAGTACATTGGAAACATAGCAAAACTTAATCAGTTGCATATATATGCCATAAATAGCTCTTATCGCAATTCATTAGTCAGGGCTTATTCTGCAAATTCATCATAGAAGAGCAAAACATTGGAAAAGCCTCGTATGTGTTTTTTTTTATTTCTTTTGCAACTGTAGAATCATGGTCAAACATCAAACAGCTTCAAGAAAGGTCACCATTAAAGTCATTTATAAAAAAAGGTCTCCCAATAAATAAGTCCATGTTTAAGGAATTTTGTTATACTAAGGAAAACATAGGCAAATTTGTGTCAGATAAATCTTACTAGTTCATGTAAAGACGAAAGGCTGCAATGTGATTATTTCAAGAAAAAACATGATCCAATTATTGAATACGTAATTCTTGCATTGTTCACTTGGTATAAGTTAAATGAAAACACAATAATTTCACACAAGATAAATGTTAACAATACACAGCAGAATTATCTGAGGCTACATGATGGGATAGCAAATCAGATACAGTCACCATATCGGCCATGATACAAGTAATGAGCGATTCTAGACAAAATTCATCAAATAGCGCAAGCCATATATGCTCATGATACATGCCACATTTGAATTCAAATAAAATGAAAACTTTGGTCAACTATCAAAATTCTGTAGAATGCACATTAGTTAATAATCTTTAGGAACTTACAGGACCAGCAGATTTGCGATCAAGAGTAATTGCAAAGTACATCTCATTGACAAGCGACATCTTCTCACACAAATAAACCTGCAACCATAATACCATGAACCTATCAATACAATGAAGCGCTAGAACATGACACAAAGGATATGAGAAACAAAGAATATATGCAACAACGCCAAACGATTTACTTGTCTCACATATTTTACGAATAAATATCAAATATTATCCAAGCACTAAGCAGAAAATGGATCCAATAACTTATGGGAGATGGGGCTAGCGAATTTATGTTTAACATGTATTGGAAGCATACAAGTCTAGTTGCTAAAGGCACCTATTTAAAACATTTTAGAGACGGTAATCTTTACATACACTAACATATCAGCAAGTCTTAGGAGGAAAAAGTAATAGCAAAAGTGACTTAATTTCAAGTATGGTTACTCAGTTAAAAAGTCTTAACTACCATAATTCTTTCGACAATTTGTTCCTCTTTTGTTCTTGAAGAAGATCAAAATACTAGTTCAAAGTAGATACAATAATTAACAGGAAAGAAAATTTGCCATTATTAGTGAAGGAACTTGAACTACAATCATTTATATTCACAGTAATGTAAGCCAATCCTCATATTTAATGATGAGAAGAACATCAAACACCAATAGGGGATTTAAAATCACATCTCAGCATGAAATACATATGTGGAGCACAAGTGATTGCCATCCCACTAATATGATGATTTTGCATGTCGGGCAAGACTGTCTAAGCCTATTTGTTGCAAACATAATAAATAATCAATTCCAAACCTTGCTGACAACTTTTCCTTGGGGCCCAGTTTGTTTGGTAACAAGTATCTGTCCAAGCATTTTACCTGTAACAACAAAAATAAAACATTAAAAATTACATCAGTTCTTTCACGGATAAAAAAATGAGAAAAAAATGCGCTGCCGTTGAGTTAAAATTCTTCTCCCGTCCACAAGCCATTACATATTTCAAGTAAAAACCAGGTTCTTAAATGCATCATTATGAAAATGCATAAGGTTGCCAATCGTACCAGCTATATCCTCAACCTGATCAGCCTTCACAATGTGTACACCGCCTTGGAGACCAGTCTTGAACGTACCAAGCCCTCGTCCACCAGCAAGGATTTGTGACTTCACCACCACCTGCATCATGAGAATCCTAAGTCTTTGCCCCACCAAAAAGAAATTCTAATAACAAATTAACTTTCTTAAAAAAAAAAAAAATTAACAAATTAACTACATATTACGAATGTTTTGCCTGAATTATTACCTCACTCTGGTTGACGAATTGATCTTGCAACGCCTTCTTGACTTCATCAAGAGAACCAACAACCACACCTCTTGGAACATTGATTCCATGCTTGCCCATTAATTCAGCCCCCTTGCATTAATAGACAGTTTACACATGTGTTGAATTAGAAGCAATTCTCATCCAATTTTTTTTTTTTTTTTAAATTATCACATTTATAAAATGATCTGGAGTAAAACAAATAAATGAATTAGATCAGATTACAATTTTGAATAGAATCCACTGCGGAATCAAAATATGCAAATGTAAGATATGATTCTAAGGTTGCTTAGGATACACGACCCACACGCGTATATATGCCTCAAAATATTCATGTGTATGATCGAATACCTGATACTCGTGGATGTTGAGGCGGCGGAGCTGTTGCTGCTGCCATTTTCCGGCGACGGAAAGAGAGCGACCGGCGAGCTTTCCCAGCAATCCTCTCACCATTTTCTTTCTTCAGAATCCTTTTGACCTAGATCGAACTGCGATAAAAACTGTAGGCAGAGAGCGGTAAAAGCGGATGCGCCGGAGGAAAGAGAGTGAGCAACGTCGGAGAAGAAAGAGCAGACCCTAATTACACTTCAATTTTTGTTTTTCTACTTTTCAAACCTTATTTTCCACTTCCATAAACGTGATGGTTTTACTATTTTATCCTTTTCTTTTCTGCTGATTTTGTCCTCTTTTTATTTAGTGTAAATTGCATTTAACCCCACATGATTTGAGCTTTTTGCACATGATTCCTTTGTACTTTTAATATAAGCACATAACCCCCTCTATGGTATTTCATTTGGTAAATAATCATGATCATTAGGAAGAATTTTTTTTTGATAGTAGAAGGAGGTTATGTGCTTATATTGCTATATTAAAAGTTCAAACGACAAGAGTAAGTGTTATTTGACATTTTTGTTTATTTAGGGGTTTTAAAGCGTAAATCTCTTTTGCTAGTTTCATACACGGTTCAGTCCCCAATACGATACTTTAGACATTGCACTCCCCTTTTTTAAGTTTCGCTTACAGTTAGCTCCATGCATGCCCTAAAATGTCTTGAATGACCTTAACTTTATATCAGATTATAACTACACTTCATTTTCATTAAAAAAACGTTACTAGTCATAAAAATGTGCTCTAACGAAACACGTTGCAATACTTATTTATTTATTTCCCTCAAAACGATTTTCAATGTTTTTTTCGTGAAACAAAGTTTTCCAAAGATGGTTCGAACAAACATTTTTGAAAAAATGTGTTTTACAATATTTTCGGACATCAACAACTTTATATTTGTATTCTTTTGTTTTGAAATCACTATAAGTCAGAGCGTTCTGTATTCTCGCGATAGCAACTTTATATTTGTTTCTGTTGCGTACCCTATTTTTAAGGTTCGATTTCTTGTTCTTAACAAATAGTAAAGTTGTTGAAAATTAGTTAGACCACAATTTTAAAACCTAACATTACAGTAAAATTTATTCTTTCGTTGTTGGAGTTTGATAATTCCTTTTTTTTCTTCAATTCGCACGATTTGAAGGAATTTTGCAGTGGGGTACTGTATTTCAACAATTTGGTATGTTGGTAGAGATTTATTTGTTCTGGTTCATTCAATATTTCATTTCTAGAGTATGAGTGTTTATATTTTTTGGCCGTAATGAATGCATTTACATAGCACTGTATAATTTTGCAAGTTGTTCTAATAGTATGAGTGTTATTTGATATTTTTAATGTGTGTAGAGTACAATACTTTTACTGATTCTTTACTATCGCGTTGTTGTTAACTAAAATCGTATACGAACGAAGACAACATCGTGTTTTGTTTGTTGCTGGCACTTGCTGCAGAGATGGAACCCAAGAAGGAAACTTCTAAATACTCGATTCTCGCCATATTGCTTCACAAAAGTAATGCATTCTATTAAGCAAAAGATGGGGGCTCTGCAGTTTAATGCCCTAAAGTCAAATATGTTTAAGTACTTCCTTAACATGCAAAAATTGGGTCATAGTTTACCAAGGTGTAATATCTGTTGAAAAGATATCTTCAAGAATCAAACGAGTTCGTATTTGGGGAAGATTAAAAAAACATAGTACGGGTCTCATTTTCTCGGAGGAGTTTTAGATAATGCTGGAATTGCACCACGAGGGGCACTATGTTGACATAAATTTGATGAATGAATCTTCGTCCACTATTAGTCACCTATGTAGTGGAGCAATCTCAGGCTCCGAACATAACAAAATTGCTAAAGAGTTGGACAAATATACAGGAGATAATGATTGCGTGGATGACTTTTGTAGGTTATACACACCGTGTGTTTGTAATTGTCTTTATTCCAAATCCTAGCAAGACATGTCCGAAGTTTGTATTACAAGGTCAAATGGAGCCGGAAGTTAAGTTCCACACGATCGGAATAGTTTGGTCTGATTTTGGGTAAATTAGTACTCCCTTTCCTATTAACGAAGACTCTCAGAGCAAGCACATACTTTTCGCTCTCCAAGAGGGCTCTGAGTATCGGCTCAAGCTAACATTCTCCGTTCTTCATAACATCGTTTCTGGCTTGGCTTACAAGAATACTGTTTGGAAGGGCGGGATTCAAGGTTTGTAATCCAATTTTCGAATTTTGTTTATAAGAAATGAAAACATTGATGATTCTAGTCGTCGAAATTTTGTTACGACGATTTCAAGAAATGTTTGATGATGTAAACATGTGTTCGTTCTTATGTTAAAGGAAACCATGACTGATGATGAGAGTTTGTGGCGGTGCTTAACGATTATTGTCTAGTATGACCAATTAATAAGTCGAACAAGGTTCACATTTTCTTTTTTCCCATCACACTTTCATTTGGTTCGGGATTGCAGTCGATCAAAACAGAGGGATGTTAGGAACTTTTGTTCCTCAACGAGAACCGTATGTACACACCTTAGAGGAAGAGACCGCTCCGTCTGGGGTGCTTGCACGAAGTGTCTACACAGCTATACTAAAGGTGTTTATTTTTTGCGTTTTAATTGATTTATTTTTTATTTGTTCGTTTTAAATGGAAACGTAGTATTCGTTTGTTCTAAATGGAGAAATGAATTATTAATAATTAGTCCAATCCTATCGTTGTTTTAGTTTGTGTTAATGTCACTTGCGCAGTTCGAGGACGATGACAAAAAGCGCCACATGGAGCTAAATTACTCGTTCGAGATACGAAAGAGACGCTAGCCTACTCTCACATACTTAGTAGTTGTTTCTCCATATGTTTTTACATGCGAAGGAAAGGAACAGTTTATTTTCTTCTAAATGTATCCGTTGCTTCTTTTATGCATGAGACATCGGTCGATCTTTAAAACTGAAATATATGGATTTATTCACGTGCTAGCTTTAGAATATGAATTACTACTGTGGGCAAGGTTTCCATCGTCCCCGTATTCTTTGAAGAGATACAAGAATATGATATCAGCCAAGTAATACACGTATGAGCTGAATAACTTATCGTAAATCTCAAGGGAAACTGTGAAATTACACCGATTAATTTGTGTTGAATAAGATTATATTATATGATGAACTAGAGTGTTTGCTATGCAAAATACGATCGTCAAAATTTACCAAGTCACTCACTGAATTAAGAAGTCAAAAGCGCTTCCTCTTCCTCTTCGAGTCTTTTCAACCATTTCAATCCAAGGTTGCAACCTGCAGTGGCAGCAATTTCAAACTGTTCTCTTGCCAGCTCAATTGGGGTGTACTCCGGGCTTTCAATGTTCTTCCTCGATTTTCTCTTCGGAAATGCTTTCTGATTGAATTTGGTTAATGATTCTGGAAGTTCAACACCTAAGACAATTTATAATGGAAATGTTAAAAACCTGATGAGTGAACAAGGAACCTTAACAATGATTATGAGCCACACACACACACACACACACAAACACACACACACACACATATATATATATATATATATATATATATATATATATATATATATATATATATATATATATATATACGATTCTACATCAAGATTTATCCACGTCGGCCCCAATTTGTAGGAAGTAACAATCACAAACCAAAAGATCCAAAATAGTTCGACTCCTTTCGCCAAATTTTGCCCGCGATAGGATAAGGTGCAATCATATTTATAACTAACAAGCCATCACTAAAATTCCTAAACCAACATATATAAACTTCCAAATTGCCCGAAAATATTGAAAACAACGGATCACAGTCTTCCATGGGAAACAAAAAAAAACTAACCTTTAAGAAGCAGAGATCCATAAGCTATGGCAGCACCTGCATGGCCCTGCATGAAATCAAGGCGAGGAAGTAAATTTAACGCAGAGTTTCTCAATATAAAAATAACTCTTAGTTCCAAAAGAATCAGTCAAAAAACGTAACCTTGTTTCTTGAAAACGAAAAGCAGTGAAATTTCGATAAATCACAGGCTTACCTTCTCAGATGCCCTATGGAAACACCATATTGCAGAGGGAATATCTTTGTTCACACATTCCCCGGTCAAATATACGGCTCCTAAGAGGTAGAGAGCACCGGGATGCAACTAGAACATGAATAGTTCTGTTAAGGTTTCACAACATTTGTCCCAACAAGACAGTAAGAATGCATGAAAACACGTTCTTCTATGCATATCTTGTACAGAATAGATTACCTGGTCAACTGCCTTCTCCAGATAATAGAATGCTTGCTGATCAGATTGCACATAACCATTCTGAAAATATATAAAACAAAAATATCAAGAGAAGACAAATTCATCTCTTCCGATCGAGATAAAGAACGGAACACAAATGTTAGTATGGTCATGAAATTTTATACCCTCAACTGTAGTTGCGAATAAAGTTAACATTTCTACTAAGGAAAGATATTCAAATTATTAATTTAAAAGATTTTACACTAACGTCTTTCCAAGCTCAGTATCTTTCCGTACAACCAAGCTTCAGGTGACATTTTTATACGTCCTAGGAAATTCAAAGGGAAGATGATGCAGTGTGAAAATAGACCAAGTAGTATGACTAATCAATATACTTGAAAGTTGAAACACGGACACAGCCTATAAGTAACATTGCAGATGAAATTCCTGCCACTTTAGAAATCTTGGAGCTCCCAGACAGGCAAAAAAGGTTAAGTTACGACGGTTAACCTGAGAATTTATATTCCTCATAATCTGAAAAACAGGCAACCAGAAGTCTATAAGCTCAATATAGGCAACTTCTTGAGAACTCGTAAACGTTTTGAATTGACAGGCCATATCTAGGGAAACAATTATCTTCAGGTCAAGAGCTTCTCGTAGGAAAGAAAGACAAGCTTTGGATTGGATAGGACATAATATGTATTAGCCAGATAATCTTGCCAAATTTGGATATTTATGGATACATAATATAGTTTTGAAACCGCGTATGGTCTTATACCGTTCAAGGGATCATTTATATATCTATTTGTGCAGCAAAAGATATATTAGCGTCAGTTTATACTCTCAATTGAAGATTTTGGATTGAAACTCTCATTTAAACAGACATGAGCCAATAAAGTAGTGCAAAACATAGGTAATTCAATGAAGGCAAGAGGTCCACTAAGTTTCTTGAACTTATACGGTATGAACCTTGATTAATTTCTAGACTGGAGCTGTGGTTTCAAACTGCATAAAATCCCTTACCGCACTATTCTTCTCCTCTTATTCGAGAACTAGTCTAGTAAAAAGAATATCAACAGCAATTAAGAAGTTAATATTTTTGGTTTATTACAAAAGTCTAACCTCAGCTCTTAGGTTGCAACCGAGTTCATACTGTGCCTCCGGATCACCCATCTCAGCAGCTTCCACTAGCAAAGCAGCCCCACTGTTATGAAAATTAAGCGTAGATGAATGTATCGAGTTCAGAAAAGCACTGAATAATACTGAAAAAAATACATTTCTGCCAAATCACAACCAAAGTCCAAAAACATATTCCAGCAAACATATTTTAGCAGATGACAGAGAGATAATCAAGGCGAAGTATGAAAGATAGTATCAGTTGAAGATGAAAAAGAAAAGAGACATAAAATACACGCAAAGACGCACACAATGTAAGGGGAAACAGTACGTGACAATTAAACCCTACTACAAAGATCTAGTTAAAACAGTCATGTTCCTTACACAGCTTTATTTGCACCAGGGACATGGTACTTGAGATGCAATTTGGATAGCCAATATCTAGCATGAGTATTCGAGTTGTCAGCTTCAAGCGCCAACTCAAAAAATTCTTTCGCTTTCTGAAAACATGAACCAAAAGAAAGTGTTACCTGATGAATAGGTTTCAATTTGTTTCAACTAAAGCAAGATTTCCTTTTAAATATACTACCACAATCCCACCAAATATGAGGTGAGCATTATATCCAATAGCCCCCATCTTAGTTTCAAGAAACGTTTCAATAAACGTAACACAGAATAATCAATAATGCTTCCACACAGGATAAGAATATATATTTGATTTCTCCTTTCATATTTAAGCATGAACATTACCCTAAGTGGACCGAGGAGACGCTTGTCTTTAAGTTCGCAATAGTCAATAACTCTATCAACTTCCTTCAAAGTGCTAAAACCTTTGGCTACAAACTCCATTGCCATCTTATTCCTACTATGCATTCCTCGCTGCGATAGGAAGCAAAGGAAAGGCGTGTAAGAACAGAACAAGAAAAAGATCTAACAAAGTCATGAAAGCGTATTGAAATATAAATAGGACATATTTCAATTAAAAAAAAAAGATAATATTTGGACTATAATAAACGAACTCACCCATGTAATAAACTGGGAAAAAGCAGCATCGACAGTGCTTTTCTTAACAGCTGTATTCTGCAAGAATGCTCTTACCATTTCTCTCCCTATCTGTGTCGAAACTACACCTAAGCACCTAAAACAAAAGAAAATGAAAATATGTATTACTTCTGTACTATGAAGCAGTGGATAAAGAAGGCTTCCTTTCTGATGTTTATAAATCCAGAGAAAACAAAATGGACATGCTAATCCACAAGCAACAAAAGTGATTACATAATTTCCATTTGCACATGATTATTGGGTAATAAATCTATCAAACCAGGTTGGATTATGATCGATATGGGTAAACTTATATCTGCTCTTTGATGGTAATATTAGATTTTGGAAGGACCTAATCTGGTAAAATAAACGACACTTCCATTACATTGCACACAGCTAACTTCCTTCAATTAATTGACAATTTTAGAACTACCACACAGCTTGTACATCAAAAAATTGAATAGCAACATAATTCGGATTTTATGGCGATTGAACTCGAATCCAAGAAACTGAGAATCCAAAAAGTATGCGATAATTTTCGACAGGAATTTTACCGTTGAAATCTAAGAATAACAGAGAAAAAAGGTGGAAGAATTGGAAAGGAGGAGGTATGGGTTTGGTCTAGCTAGTTGAGGACATCATTCATGGACTTTATTAGCTTACTTCACATTTCCCATGGACATGTGTTGAATTCACAAAAAGTTCAGGGAGTGTTATTTCCTAGACATGGAATCAAAGTACTGAATCAACGGCAATCGTGCTGAAACTGCCTTATTCTTGGTTCTCTTTTGATACACAAGTCACAACCGATTCTTCTAATTGGGAATCATGCAAATCATTCAGAACAATATATTAACACTTGCTTGTATAAAGTTACGGAACTAATACTGTATGTTGACTCCAATTACAGACCAGTGCATACACATAATCCCAACGTAAATATTTGATTCCAGCCACCATGTGGTTTAAATGACAGCATTCTTAATTGCAGAAAACAAGTCAGTAAACTGACTATATAACAAGCTTTCTCACTTTTTATATCTTCTACAGAAACGCAATGAACAAAATATACATACACAAATCAGCATATGCAGACACCTTGTTAAAAGTTCAAATATATCACGTTTCATAAATATGAATGCAATTATAAGAAAAATCACTAATTTCTTATTCCGAACATTAAATCTAATGGTATAAACTCCAGTATCTAATGCAGTAGCTTCTCCAACTAAAATAGCTCAATTAGTGAAACCAATTACATCACTAGTTTTTTTTACCAATAACCTGATATACTGATTTTGAATCAGGATACATTTAATTTACCAGTATCATCAACAATAAACCAAAATAAATTATTTTAGCATATCTTCATTTTTGTACCATCCTACTTATTCTAACACAAAAAGGAGTGAAAATGGAGACGAAGGAAGGATTTTCAGAAACAGAATTATCTCCATTAATCATGAAAATGGCAAAAACGTAGACGTATAAATTATTAATGAAACTAAGCTCTGGATCACAATAAAAAAAAATGGCACAGTATAAATATTGGGACCCTACCTTTACTATATGCCGCCGCCGCCGCCGCTGAACAGCTGGCGGTGAGGATTCAGGAGGATGAAATTTGGGGGTGTGAAACAGATAGGCGAGAGCTGAGGCCTGAGAGATGTTACTGTTGGTAATTGCGTGCACTTTGAAGAAGAGGAGAAATGTGTGGTTTAATCGGCAAAATTACAGTTTTGGCTCCTATATTATACTTCTTTTCGATTTTGGTCCTTAAAAGTTTTTATGCCATGAAATTGGTCCTCAAATAACCAGTTTTTTTACATTTTCAATCGGATTTTTGGCACTCTGCACCCTTGAATTACACTCTTTTGGCACTTTGCACCCTTAAATTGCAAAATTGGCAGATTGTACCCTTTAACCATAAATTGTTTGGCACTTTGCATCTCAAATCACTTTTTCCTTAGAAAAATTATCTGCAACTTGCTGAAAACCTGGAAGATGGACAAATTTGTAATTCTCTAATTATCTATTCATCTCCCCCCCAATTCTTAATCATCGTTCCACCATTTTTATCTTTTGTCCTTTTAATCAAAAAATCATAAATTCTTCTTACCCTAATATGTAAATTCTGAACTAAAACTCAAGAATGACCGGAATACATAGACAAGAGTCCGATAACACACCTTTAGAAGATCAAGTTTTATTCCATTGTAATGCTATTTTTTTAATCATTTTTCAGATTCAGGCTATTCAATGGGAGCACAAAATTCCTCCCTTCATGAAATTAATAGGCACAACCTCTCTGCCACCAAATAAACCTTCCAGTAGTCTTATTTTGTCATGCGACCATTCAAAAAAAATTGAGGGCTCGACCTAAAATTTCCGGTTACATTATTTTTCAAACTCAAAAGAAAAAAAAGTTGATTTACTGTTAATATTTAGTGTTTATACTAATTTATTACTGAAAGAAATGGCTAAAAAGATTTTATGACTTTCTATTAAAGGGATGAAAGATAATAATGTTGGAAGGGTGATTAACAATTGGGGAAAAAGGATAAATAATAAGAAAATTATGAATTTACCCATTTTTCAAGGTTTCCAACAAGTTGCAGGTAAGTTTTCTAAGCCAAAAGTGATTTGGGGTGCAAAGTGCCAAACAATTTATGTTTAAAGGGTGCAATCTGCCAATTTTGCAATTTAAGGATACGAAGTGCCAAAATGGTATAATTCAAGGTTGCAAAATGCCAAAAACCCTTTTCAATCTGCGGTTTGAAATTGTTGTTAAGTTGGATGGAAAAAGTCACAAGGCATGTGATAATGCACTTCAACCCCCATTTTACCTATATTATTTATTTAGCCCTAATATCATATTTTTGCTTGCAATTTTGTCTAAAGAAAATAAAATTGGATAAATCTACTAAAAAGGTAAAATAACATAAATAACCTTGGAGGAATTTTAGTAATTGGTACATTATATTTTATTTAAAAATATTATATATGTCTTTATCTTATATTTTTTAATCCGAATATAAAAAAAACAAAATTGAAGAAATACTCATACAAGCCGTGAGTGAAACACGCGATCTACTCATAAGGATTTTATTGTCTTGGACTAAAAAATATAGGGGTAAATGTTAATATTTTTAACACGGGTACTTTTTGATAGTTAGACCTATAATATGGGTGTCGCTTGAAAAAAAAAAAACTCATATTTGAGATGAACAAAAAGTATTGAAAGAAGAAGACGAAGAAGGAATCAGGAGAGTGAGAAACACTCATAGGGTTTTTGCAAATTATTTTAAGGACATTTTACGCAACAGGAGTACCAATTGGTACTCACATTTTTTTCTTTTTCCGTGCAAAATTGTAGGAATATATAAAATTGGGGCTAAATCATAGAAAAAAATTAAAAATGGGGTTGAAATAGCATGTTCACGTGCTTCCACGTGCTTTTTCTATCCAAACTAATGTCAAAATCAAACGATGGACTAAAAGTGTAAATAAAATTGTTATTTGAGGACCAATTTCGTGACAAAAAAAATTTAAGAACCAAAATCATAAAAGGTGTAGATATACGAACCAAAACTTCATTTCTTTAAGTTTTTGTATAATTTGTATAATTTGTATAATTCCCATTTAATACTAAGTATAATTTGTATTGGTAAAATTACAGACTTCATTTCTTTAAGTTTGTACCAATTTTATATTTGCTCCCTCATATTTTAATAATTATGCACTTTTAGTAATTTTCGACGTTAGCCCATCAGTCAAGGCAGTAATGAGCACACGCTTGATTCCGTTAGCACTTACGAAAAATTGACGGAAATGATTAAAATTGTTGAATTTTTGAAGGATGAATTACACCTATTCCCCTGAGGTATATTAAAATAACTTTAAGGTCCATGTGATATTGGTAATTGCAGCCACACCCCTGAAACAATTACTGAAGCCAAGATTTCATGTCCTGGGGACCGATATGAACTATATTTGTTTTTTTTTTCCGTGAGGCCGTTAATGCTACCATAGACGAAAATTATTAATCTTATATAAAATAATAAGAATTTAAGAAATATTTAGGAGAGTCATGTCAGCCCCTAACTCTATATTGTCTTCAACACTGCCTGAAATTAATAGTTCGTTAGAACCCTTACGTAATAACTTATCCAATGCATTATTCCGCTAGAGTTTTTAACAATGTTTTAAGGGGTAATTGTAATTACCGGTACTAGATGGACCTTAAAGTTATTTTAACATATCTCATAAGTGTAGGTGTAATTTACCCAATTTTTAAAATACGAGGAACCAAATATATTTTCTATGAACATGGGGGATTAAATGTGAAATCGATACAAATTTGAAGAATGAAAACTATATTTTTCCATTTTATATTTTACATTGTTCATTTTTCTTTCTCTTTTCCGAAATAAATACTCATAGTTGCACTATAGCAAAAATATATGGAGTTCTTATTAAAAATATATTATTTTAAATTGCTAAAAAAATCTCCTATTACATTAAACTTTCTCGTAATACTTTTTATATAACTGAAACATGATGAATCGTATGTTGAAGTGCAAACAATGTCCCACATCGGTTTAATATGGGAAAGATCAATGGTTTATAAGGAGAGGATAACACCTCCATTGGTGTGAGACCTTTTGGGAAAACCCAAGAGCAAAACTAATTTGGCCCGACCCAAATTGGACAATATTATACCAATGTGGAGTTTATGCTAGCCTGGCGTGACCCAACAATGGTATCCCTTTGTTAGAGGCTTGGTGCGCGGCGGCTCGATGAGCTCCAGGTGAGAGGCTCGGTGGTCCTTTGTGGGGTCCGATCTCTATGATGGTAAAATTCATGTATCTACATTTTCAGGACATGCCATTTTCCCGTATCACCGTTTTCGTGTCCGTACTATGAATCATTAGCAAACAATCACATTTGGAATTTTGGAGAGATAAGATAATAAGTATTTGAAAACTGAAAAATATATTATGATTAGAGCAACTTCATATCAAACTAAAAAACTACCACTTTGATGCTCTAAAATTAAAAAAATCCTTCTCCAATGGAGGCATTAAAGTGAAAATTATTTTGATACTCAACTACCCCGAGGTGCAAAAATACTCGCTGAAAAATGAGGGATCAAAAATATAACCACCCAATTAACCTATTACTATTTGACATATGACATTTAAAAATATAATTATTCATATACTAAAAATTTGATAATATATTTGATACTTGTGGTTGGAGTGAATTTTTGTTCAAAATGTATCAAAGTATTATATCAAACATCAAATAAATATTTAATGCTACATTTTGATATCTCCCATTGAAGTTGCTCTTATTAATTTTTTTGATGAAAATACTATGACTATTTTAACCTTAAACTGATCCGCAAAGTTCCAAAACCTCTTATATAAAATTTCAATATTAAATGCATAAAAACTAAAAATAGATTTCCGCTGCCGGGATTCGAACCCGGAATATCAACGCTCGATAGATTGGGATATTTGCCAAGTGCTACAGCGGAATGTTTGATAGGTTAGTCAATTTCCATAATTTTATCTAAATATTGGCTAAAATAACAAAAATAAATTTCCATTGGTAATACCAAAATTTGGCACCAAAAGACGAAATTTCTTGCATCTAGATCCCTTATTCCTTTGTCCGACATGTATTTGATAGAAGAAGTAAATCATGGTGACTAATATTCAGTTAATTAATAATCTTGCTTAAATAATATTTTTTTCCAACTCATAAAAAAGTGTTAAATTAATAATTTACTAAGAAAAAACACCCATCTAATATATAAACTAATAACACCTTAATACATAGCAATAACTCTTCAATGCAAAGTACATCTATATTAATCTATGAAAGCTTAATAAGTATGATAAGAATTGTTGGTGTAAATGTAATTTTGTTAGAGCTCAACATTAAATTATTAATTTTATTGTTGTTTTACAGTTATTTTAAGTTTTATCAGTTTCAATGCACTCAATTACATGTTCGTAAATCAACATCTTTGAAAATACATAATTTCTTTCTTAAGTCGTTCAAAAGATATTCAACATCCATTCATTCTATTAAGATAATTCAATTACATAATATTAGATTTTGGATTCTTTAATTTCACTATCTAACGGTTCATCCAAAGTTTTTAAAGCCATGTTATCAGTTGGTCAAAGTTTACAATGACGAAAATAATTTGGAATTGTATTTGCATAAACATGGCAAGGAGAAAAAAAAAACCGAAAACTCGACCCAAATATCAAAAAATCGAACCACTATTAACTGTCCTGAGGTACAATCAAAATCGTTGGTTTAGTTTTTCTACTTTAGAAATCCAAAATTTTCGGTTCGTAGATGGTTTTTCGATCAAACAATTGTATCCTTAAACCGAGCCGAACCAAAAGATAGTTCACAATTAATATATTATTTTTTTGAGCAGCAAAAATTATGTGTCTCTTGTGAGTGCCTCGCCTCCTCTTTTGTGCATGTTTTACTTTCACCATAACACATTTTATCTGGAGCCAAAAAAATAAATAAGCAACATGTTTAGAACCTAGTAAACAGTTATGAGAGAGGGCCCGGCCCGAATACTTACATGTTATGGCCCGCTTGAAAAAATAGATGCAGATCAAGGATTATCTACTGCCATTGTCTGCCATGAGAAGAATCCGAAAAGCTTGAAGACTGTAGGAATTAACAAGTAAAAGTTTTAGCTAAAAGAATTTCCCATAATTTCGATAACACAGTGCTCGAGAATTTTTATAATACCTGTAGTTTATACATAATGCAACAATAGGTCAGCCGAAGAATTCTTTAGCCTGCAGCTCTGTCCTAAATGAACATCTCCGAAAAGATACCTACAATCTTCGTAAATCATAATCCAATAGCCTGCATTCTTCTATAGGATAATGTTTTTTTTCTTATCGGAAGAAGAATTATACCTGTACTCACAAGTCTGGGGCAATGCACACCGAGCTTTTCCATAATCCCAGTAGCAGTCTTCGTCTCTCAAGGGACCACGAGTCGCTGTTTACGGAAAATCATTTAAAGGGAAAGAAGAAAAGAAAAGAAGATGGTGACGAAAGAAAAATTGCTGCGATAATTAAACCTTTTGTGACAAATTTGGATGTTTTATCGGGATGAGTATCGTGCCACATCTCAAGCCACAGCTCTCGCATTAATACTGAAGATCGAACAATGTTCCTGTGATTTGCTGAGAATAAGATCATTTTGATTAGACGGAAGAAATTACAGAAAATGAATAAACTGGAAATATGACAAGATCAAACTAAGGCCTCGTTTGGTTGCCAAGAGAAGCTTAAATAATCTAATAAACCCCAATTATATTATTGGACCTTCGATGATCCAATAAAAAACATGCCTACAAGGCAAGATAAGTCACCATAACATAATATTTGTGGATCGACCCGGCAAGTTATTGGGGATATCAAACATCAAACAAAGTCCAATTATTTAGTTAATCATGACTAATCTCCCCAACCAAACGAGGCCTAATGATATTAAACATAAGAGTTAGGACCTAAACAGCTGGATTACCTTTGTCAAGCTCCCAAACAGCTGTTCTCTTTCCCGGAAGACTTTCAGAGTCTTCATAATAGGTTATGTACTTCACTCTAGGAGATCTTTTCATGTCGGGAATTATATCCATTTCAGGCTCGTGTTCTACATTTAATTGCACTTGCACATCCGAACCATCATGTTCCGACTGCAATGTTTTAACACATCATTAGCTGAACTGGAGAAAAGCTTGATCACGATGAGTTGCATCCTTGTTCGATCTTTTATTTTATCATCTAACATATCGCACTTACTGCAATGAGAGGTATATATGTAGCAAAAACAAACAAAACTAATAGGTCTCGAGAGTAATTGAGAACACAAACTGCTGCTTTTAGGACTTAGGAGGCAGATAGCATAAGCATCATTTGGCTTGAGAATTAACCAATCGTTTAACCAAAGTAACACAAAGGTATGTAATCAGGAAAGTAGTCGTAAAATATCTACTAAACTCATTAGATTCAGTAGATGCTACAGAAAAAAAAAAAAAAAAAAAAAAAATATATATATATATATATATATATATATATATATATATATATATATATATATATATATTAACACCTGAGGAGCTCTTGTTATGTTTACTTTTGATCCAAGCCAGTTCTTGCACCAAGAGAGGGAATGATACGGTACCTAGATACGAGATTGGCCTCAGTAAGTGAAACAGACAAACGACAAAATGAACATTAGAACATTCTAGAATTTCAACTCTATGCTTATTATACCGTTTCATCCCCACTTGCAGCACCAGGGTTTCCTTCAACCAGATTGCCTGACCTAAATCAACGAAAATAACTCATAAAACCCGAGACAGTCTATAACAACAACCAGTCAATGCAAGTCAAAAGGAGTGCATAAAACGAATAGATTCAATAGTTGTTGCATCATAGAATGGCCGCAAGTTCTCAAACTTTGGGTTTCTGTTAATAGTTGCAGTGTTGTATCAACACTCTGTACTGCTCGTTTTCAAGCACATATTATCAAGGGGCTTCAAGAAAACAAATTGAAGTGCAAACAGTTAGTTTATCATGAATTATAATGAACTTTCACCCAAGGCAATCAGGATATCGGTCAATTCTTTGGTTTTCCCGCATGTACAAATCTATACATGACGAGATAACGATAAACAAAGGCCCAAACTTTTAATGATTGGGAAAGAAAAACAACGAGACAGCAAACACTCTATCTTTTGTTCTTTTTTTTTTTTTTTTTTTTGTGTGTGTGTATTAACTATTAACATAGACTAAGTATGCAACATTTAATGATTTTCAGATGTCAATTCACCTCGAGTATAAAGATCCTTCAATCTCGTAAATTACATCAGTTACTATCCAGTTATCAGGATAAGGCTTCCCACTTGGCGCAAAATAGTAACCCACCTGTTATATAACATGATAAGAAACACCAAAGACATCATCAACATCAAAGTCGGGCATCAAATGAGTTCATCTCAATAAGGGTCAATTCTATAAGACTTCATTTGGATTGAAGGTGAAACTTTCAAGTTCATAACTAATAAACTCGTTTGGATAAACTAATTTTATATTACAGTATTTAAAATTTTTGGATCTCGATTTGACTTATTTGTTAACTCTAAATCCTTCCATCCAAATACAGCCTAAATGAACTATATAAATACAAAAGTACCATTAAGAAACATGTATACCTCCGTTTTTGAATCTATTCCATATATGCAAAAGATGTTCTTCAACGGAGGTCTATCCCAAGGAGTCAAAGGATTTAGAACCGGGTCACCGTGATATGATCTGAAATATTTCAAGGAAGAACGTCAATACTGTAATAGATCACAAATATAACAATTACGTCTGCATATATATTTTGCTGCTCTGGTTGACATCATATTTATATCAACGAAATATTCTGAAATGGAAGCTCAGAGAAGCAAAAGAATGGTGGTAACGGACGATGGCAACTTACTTGTCTAACTGGTACATAAGTCGTTTACTGTCAGGGTCATAATCTGCTATAGCTTTGAAGAAGGTTCCATCTGACACTTCACGAGCAGAAAACGACAACTGAGTTGGATATCCACACTCCGTGTCGGTCTTATTAGCCTGCGCTACTTCCAAAAACGAAGGATAAGCTTCGTTTCCTGGCGAGTCGGTAAATGGAGCATGTTAAACCATTGAAATTTGAAAGTTAATATACCATGCCGTGCAAGGCTGCATCTCCTACCTCTAATTGTAGGAATTTCAATGTTGACTATATTTGTTGGCCATCCAGAGAAGTTAGATTGAAACTCGTGTTCGTCACAAACGTATGCAAAGTGAGCCTTTTTGCTCCCGCCAGAGAGATGCTTCGAGTAAGCGTTCTCTGTTCTACAGTGTTTTGAAAATGGCATCATCCATATTGAAGAGCCAAACGAGTTGAACATCAATCGAGCAGTTCCCTGATATTTGAGACTTTATATAAGCAGGAACGAAAAAAAATTGAAATACAGGCACCAAAAGTAAATTTATGGACCTCGGAAACTGGGAGACCGAATGTATATCCTGATAATGTTGCTTTGATAGTCTCGATTGAACCAAGAAGAGGAGCACCTGAAGCCAGTTGAAAGGAGCAACTTATGCTTAAATGCATGCTACAATAGTTCTAAATATTTGATCGATTAGTCAAAGCAAGTTACAAGTATACCAACAGCAAAGAACGCATGAATGTGTTCATCTAGCCATGCTATGTACTGTTTAGGGGCAATTTCCAGTTTCAACCACTCCAGAAAGTATCTAAAGACATTATTTCCCATCGAGTGAGCAAAAACTATGCACGGCCCACCACGTAGCTTGAGAGCCGTTTCAAAAGTCAACCTGCAAACTTCAATGCATATTTAGTTTTCAATTTAATCTAAATAAATGCATAGCATTCTCAGTAATAAATTTATAATTGGCCTAAGTTCGATACGATAAGACCTACTCTTCATAACCAACACTACTGATCTCACTTTTTTTTTCGTTCTTTCTCTAAGTATTATGTGAGAATTTTTTTTCTTCGTCAAATGACGCAGCAATAAGAACATGTGCTAACAAAAAATAGGAGATGTTGAACGTAAATACTTTAATTTATGAAAATAAAGGTCGCGCTCCTCGAGTTTGGATGGTGATAGTCGCCAGTCATACGGAACAGCAATAATAGCATTAGCCTCTATACCAAACTCAATGCACCACTTGACCCAATCTTTCCACACTGAAGAAAGAGGACCTGCAAAATACAGATGATCTTGATGATATCAACTAAATGAAAAATAAATCAAATCATTTAACCAGGTACAGACTATATATCTATTTTACGAGTGATGAAATCATTTCAAAAGAGATTAAATAGGTTCCCACCAATCAAACATCCAATTCCATATTTACGCCGCTACTTAGACATAAATGCACAGTGAAAAAGTAGTACAAACTCAAAACGTGAAGTACTTTAATTGTGAAACATCAGTATAGAATTCGAACTTCTTAGGCCTCGTTTGGTTGCCAAGGTAGGATTAGCCAAGATTGTATTATTGGACCATGGAAGGTCCAGTAAAAAAGTTTCTCAAAGGCAAGATAAGCCATGATCACATAATATATCCAGGTCGACCCGGGAAGTTATTGGGTCCAGTTATTTAGTTAATCATGGCTAATCTCCCCAACCAAACGAGGCCTTAATGGAAGATAACACGGATAATAACTTAACGATGGCTGCTTCTGCAGAAATAATTAATCACAAAAATTACTAATTAAACATACCTGTAATGTAGCCTGGGTCGATCTCTGTAATAGCGGAGAGACCGCTATCAGGACGCGACTTGCATTGGGGATGATCCGTTTGGTCGTAAGGATCTAACAACATGCATTTCAGCCAGCAATTTACAGCAGATAGGAGCTGAAAAATGGGAGAGATGAGGAACTAAATATTAATCATTATCCATAACATAAAAGAAAAGGATTAGACGCGAATCACTCAAGATAAAGAGGCTCCATTCATTAATTACTAAAGTATGCTAGCAATCCTTATGCAATAATCCCGAAACCCTCGATTAATATATATACTTCTTTCTCTTTGAATACTGCTGGAATCCACAGCCAAACTGCCTAATTATTGACGCTTTGTTCTATGCTACACCGAGTGAAAGTCACCCGGTTATATCCTACCATGCATATGTATACATACATATATATTTTACATGCATCCACACGTATATTTATGTAATAGTGTGTAAACAAAAAAATGTAAAATGACACGGTGTATTTGGCGCAACATCTTCAAGAGGAGCATTAACTCTCTTGGAACAACCATTTAATTCACAAAATTTAGTAATCATGCAATGTAATCAGAAGAAAATTATAAGAGGAAAGAAGATAAAACACACAGTTAAACCTCTATAAATCAATACAATCGGGACTAGCAAAATTCTATTAATTTAGCAAAATACTAAATTACCGAACTAATAATTTAATACGTTTACTACGACTCGGGACCAGGAGAAATTATTATTTACGCGAGATTATTAATTTATCGAGGTTCAACTGTATTTATCAAACAAATGAGCCAAAAATAAATAAAAATTGAATAACATAAGAAGGTTAGGAAACCAAAAAAAAAAACACAATACGCCACAAAATTTGGAGAAATTAGAGAACCATTGCATACTTTAGTGCTGTCGAGCCAAACCAAATCAAGGGGGTTAAAGTCGAGAGGAGAAAAGGGGCAGTCCAAAATTGACCACGCTCTCAGCTGGGTGGAAGCGAAGCCGGGTATGATTATCCCCGACAGCTTCCCATAGTTTCCGATGAAATCGCCGCCGTCTCTTCCGCTGCTTCCACCGTTCTCCGCCGTTGTCAGGAGGAGGAGGAGAAAGGAGGCGGTTAGGAGTACGATGAGACGCCCTCCCATTGGCCGGGGCGAAGGCTGCGTTTGGCGGACTGACGGTTGAGTTGCGCAAAAATTAGAATTTTTGAGCTGTAAATAATTTTGTTTTGTTTTGGGAATAAGATCGCTTTCTGACGTGGCGGAAAATAATTGGGTGTTTGACTGAGGCTTCCGAGTGCCTATACAAACTACAAAGTCAAGATGACAAAATTAAAGACGATAATTTGCATTTACCCCCATAGTTTCTGTAATTTCAAGAAACGGTAATTTGCATTTACCCCCCCATAGTTTCTGTAATTTCAAGAAACCTCCCACTCGGGTTTTGATAATTTCGATTTTTCCACATTTTGATGTTTATGTATTTAGAATAGGGGTGGTAAACGAGCTAAGCCGACTCGAAAAAAGCTGGAACTTAAACTCGAATTTTTTTAGTTGATGGTGAGCTCACGAGCCCTATTTTTTTATTTAAATAATTTATAATAATATAGAAATACTATAAAAAGAACATATAAATATAAAAAAATATGTATAATTACAACTTATTGTTATTTTGTAATTTATTTATTGTAATCGAAATATTTTTTAATAATAAAAAATTAATAATTATAAAAAAAAACCCTAAAATGAGTCGCCAAAATATATGAGCTCTGCTCGTTCACACCCTAAATTTAGAATGCAATCCATCTATATCTACAGTAGAAACTTGTTCATTAAATAATTGATTAGTTAACAATTTGCTTAAATAATATTTGTCATTGGTCTCGACCAGGAAAATTTGTGGTAAGCTAATATTTTTTTAAAGTTATAAGATAATACATTTACGAGATTTCATATAAACCCCATATATTAGTTTATATCGATGAGTTAATCCAAGTATAGTCAAGATGTACCCTTTTTAGAGGTATACGGTTTTTTAACCAAGAAAAACGCGTGTGGTTTTCTCTCAAATTAATGTGTGCTCTTTAATAGTAATATTTAAAAAGACTTATTGACAAATTCGGGTTTATACACTTTTAGGTAATAATTCCTTCGTTGCTTGCCTATACTGGATTAGATTTAATTAAACAAGACTAGATTAATTGCCTACTTATTAAATAATTATTTACTTATTAAGATGTTTGGTTCCTTTAGTTTAGATCTTGAATTAAAATTGGTAAATATTAGTATTTTAAGTAAGAAGTCTACAAAATATTTTACATAACAAAATTAAGTTATTATTTTAAGGATATATTTTTCTCCTCTTTTTATTTTAGGTTATTCTACTTATTTTACGGGTATAATATCTAGTATCTACAAGATAATTTAGTAAAGTTCCAGGATTTGATTTTGAAAATATTAAAAGAAAAGGAATGATTGGAAACTTTGGATTCGGTAATAATTAATTAGGGATTAAGTAATTAACGGGATGGTGGGCCCCACTGATTAGAGATACTACTATAAAGAACAAAAAAGGAAACAGCAACGGATACTAAAATCCCCCATCCATTATTAATAATCAAATTCTGTAACGGTCACTTCCTTTTTCACCTAAACCCTAGCTTGAACACCCACCCCTTTAGCATCTCCCCCTCTCTCTTCCATCGTCGGTAATTCTCTGAAATTATTGAATTCTTTTTGCTAGATGGGGTGTTTTCTTGGATGTTTGGGCGGTGCCAAGGATCAAAAACGCCGCCGGCAGCAGAGGACTCATCGCGGCGGAAGTCCTCGTGTCCAAGTAAAGACCTCTCTCTCTCTCTCTCTCCTTTCCCTTTATACATGATTGTGGAGCAGAATTGCGTAGGAAAGCGGTGAAATTATTGCGTTTGCTGTTTGATTTTATGGTTTTTTCAGTAATTGGATTGATTCGATCGGGGGGTTTGATTGTGTGGGTTAAATTAATGATGTTATACTTTTGATGCTTATCTGATAAATTCCTCGATTATCCGGAGCTGGACCAATTGCGTTATTTAATCGAAGATTTTACTCCTTTTCTGCTTGTTAATCTAGCCCTGTCTGTATGATTGGTTTTAGCGATGATGTTTTTTTTTTTTTCCTATTTTTTGTTATTTCGGTAAATCAATGAAAAGAACTCGAGAAAGGGTTTCCTACTTTCGTCTTTCCTTTAGCAAATTGTTTTTCTGGTCGATAATTTGACTGCCTTATTTTCTCTTGTTATGAAATTAGTGATGATAGATAAGCTGATATTACCCATCTTTTTTTTTTTTTTTTTTTTTTTTTTCTAAATTGTTTATATTGGTGCTTTATATTCTGAGGGGAGTCAATAATTAAATTTCTGAATTTGACACAGAGAAACAGAGTTCAAAGTGTTCAACAAGAAACCGTAGCCAGTGCCGAACCGACCGTCGCAGAAACACCTCAAACCAACTTGGTTTCGGACTTACAGTAAGTTCCTGCTCTTTCTTCTCGAGTCTTTGATTTGATTGAATTTTAGATTATTGCACTTTACTTTCAAGAAGGCGGAATTCATCTACTGAATATAATAGATCGTCTAGATATTTATGATGAATTTTGATATGTATTTGGTTTCTGAACTAATTTCTTTCACTGCATTGAGAATCGGGTCCGCTTCCCTATTTTATGTCCATCCAATAAATTCAAATTATTTTTTTTTGCGCAGAAGTAAACCGACTGGAGAGGTGCAACTGAGTCCTAGCCCCAGAAAAAGAGTCACATTCAATTCAAACGTCACAACCTACGAGCACGTCTCGGTTCAAGAAAGCATCGATTCCCTACCACACTCTAACGAAGATGTTGACAGAGAATCTGAAGATGAAAATTCAGTCGTAACCAAAAATGTAGTGTCATACCCACTGAATCATAGGTACCATAATGCAAGAGAAAGCGACGATGAAGCTGAAGAGTACGGAGATAGTGACTTGGACGATTTTGATGACTCGGATGATGAATATGATTATGATGACGACGATGATGACATGATTTCTGATGAAGAAGTGTGGAACGAATCGGTTTTAACTACATCAGTGGAGAAAGTCAATGCTGCGTTTGAGTCGAAAGATAGTGCTAGAGACAGAAGAGGTTACGTTAATTCAGTGCTGAACCCTATAGAGAATATTTCTCAGTGGAAAGCTGCAAAGTCGAAAGTGAAGCCACAGGAGAAATTTGCTGCACAGAAGAAAGAAAATCGAGAAATAGCAGTTGATGCAAGTCTTTCTTGGTTAGTGGTTTCACCTGTTGATGATGATAAATTAACATCATCATCATCTGGAAAGAACTTTCCAGAAGGTTCTTCTACTACCGGTTTCAGAAGCTTCCAAGATCGGCCAATTGAAACTGCCGAGACCCACTGGAATCACTCGGCTTCGACAATGCGCTATAACTCAGCCCCTTTTTATAAGAGAGAGGTATTCATGAAATGAGAATGTCGATTTGGATTTCGAACACTTCGAAACCACATACATACCGGGTGGAGCTTGTGAGATTGATTTATTTATCTGCGTCTAGTATTTTTTTATTATTTAAAGAGAAGGTTTGTTGTTGTGTGTGAATTCTACTACAGGGGACATCTATACAAAATTTAATTTGTTTGTTGTACATTCTATTCTATGTATTGAAGTTTATTTGTTTGTTGAAATGGATTTAAGTGTTGCTTTTGAATATGCAAAGCGTGCTTTACATTAGAACAACTTCTGCGGTAGCATAAAAAACAAGGGTAAACTACGAAAACACCCTGAACTTAGGCTAAATAACTAAAAACACTACTACCTATCCGTAATAACAAAAATTCCCGTTTGATTAATTGTTGATCGAGTCTATTATACATTCAGTTAAATAGGTGAGAAATAAAAGAAATTATCTAATATTGTATAAGGTCTATTTCTTGGAATAAAAAAAATCCGTGATTGGTGTAAGACGGTAACAACCTCAGGAGTTTTTTGGTAATTACAAATAGGTAGAGGTGGTTTTTGTAATTTAATCTAAGTTTAGGGGGTTTTCGTAATTAGCCCAAAAAACAATAATGTGCTTACTTCTCTTGCACACTTCTCTCTTTCTCCAATGAAACTCCAATGAGATTGGTTCCTTGTGGGCACCAGGTCCGGGTCCGCTACCTTAACAGGCCGTTGAGTTACCATGATTTACATTCCTCCATCAATCCTTGTCGGGCCAAGGGATGGGGGCCCTGGGGGCGAGGGATTTCGCCTTTTGGTGCAAGATAACTAAAATTCTGATATAGAGTATCTATGAAAACATTACATTTGTTTTTAGAAAGGACATGAATAATTTTTTTTAAACCTTTATATTTGAGTTTATTGCAAATCCATTCATTTCAAATCATTCAGTCCAAATGTGATATGTTTTTTAAATATTTGTTTCCTTCTAAAATTAAAGAACTGTAGCATAAAACAGTGAAATAATGTTACTAATTTATTTTAATGTAAGGCTTTAAATTATTAAAACTCTAATTGGGAAAAGGGGGCCACGGCCCCCTAGGAAAGACCACCAAAGAAAAGCCCAAACGGCTTAAGCCCAACCTAAACTCCCTTTGTCACGGTCGAGCTGACGAGAGGATTAGCACCCGAGGGGTCCGAGCAGGTCCGACGTTCGGGCAAGGAGGTGCAAGGGTCCCACCATGGACATTAGCGGCTGCGACAGACGCAAGGGGCACATTAACGGAAGGCCGACAATCATACTTTATGCTCCCACCGGTGCATTAAATGCTCTGACACCAGCATTTAATGCCTGAATGACTAGAGACCGCCGGAAAAGTGGAAGACGTGTGGATCAGGCTACTCCTAATAATACGGAGAGAACGGCCATAACTGTCCCAAGGATAATGATGATTCGGGTCACTCGGTAAAGGTATGAGAATGGCGGGTTACACCAACTCGTCCGGGATTTACGCAAGGCCTAATATGTCAAGGTATTATAAATATAGGTTTACACATACCAACATCCAGGTTCTATCCATCTCTTCTAAACTCACTACAAACACTCTACCACTAAAACTGTCTTTAATTCGCTGACTTGATCGTCGGAGTACCAGTCAAGTCATTTGACAATAATAGGTGTTAATAGATTAAATTAGTTTCACACTCGGAGTAAGTGTACTTGAAAAAAATTGTAGCATAGTTCATTCTCATTGACTTTATTTTTATTTTATTTTATAGTTGCATAGACCATTGACTTGGTCAATGCGAAAAGTCATTTGACAATAATAGGTGTTAATAGATTAAATTAGTTTCACACTTGGAATAAGTGTACTTGAAAGAAATTGTAGCATAGTTCATTCTCATTGACTTTATTTTTATTTTATTTTATAGTTGCATAGACCATTGACTTGGGATTTGTTCGACCCTACACCCGGTGATAAACACCGGGTGGGTCTTCTGCTGTCACGTGTCTCTTTTTTGTATTTTATAATAGATTCCCCGCTAGGGTTTACATTTAGGGGTTTTAAAAAAATAAAAAAAAAAGGAACACGTGACAACAGAAGACCCACTCCGTGTTTATCACCGAGTGTAGGGTCGAAGGAACGATTGACTTGGTCAATGCGAAATATACATGCTAGTAGTTTGCAATTTGCATGATAAAAAGTAAAAGTATAGTCAAGGAGATGGTGACTCGAAATCATCTCCGCACCACAAATACCAATGATTGGGGTAGGGATGTTTTCTTGGTGAATTTGCAAATTTTTGTTTTTTCTAATTTTAACTGAACAATATTTATTGATTATTTTAATAAAATACGATGGTGAAACTTATTGAAATTGGGATTGAACTTTTAAAATTATGTGTATTTAAAGTAAATATATCAGTAAGAGGGTTGGTAATAAACTTCTGAAAGTTGACAGTTAACTTCTTATTATTTATTAACCGTGACCTTAGACAAGTTTAATGACAAGTCCCCAAAGTTCCCAAATATTCAATTTAAACCACACCAAGTTCATAATTTATGATAGCTTGTCTTTTTGCAACTAGCACTGTGAAAAACATGGTAGCTTGTCTTTTTTTCATAATTTATATTCTTTATTTCAACAAGAACAAAGAGATACACTCAACCTAGGGGTGGAAATCGGACGGAATGGATCGGAAATACCTTATTCGGAAATTTTCCAATTTTTTTCGGAAGTTAAAAATAGGTTCCGATTTCTGTTCCAAAAAAATCGGAAAATCAAAATCCATTCCAATTTCGGAATACCACGGAATCGGCGGAATTTCGGAATTTTCGGAAATTGCATTAATTCTTAATTTTTTGTTCCAAAATCGGAAATAATGGTAATTTTAAGATTTTTTTTTTCTAATATTTTCGTAATTTTCCTGCAAAATGCAAGAATAAAAAACAAAGGTCAATAAGATGAAATGTAAACACAAGTAAAAACAACATAATCAATTTATGCAAGGAAACATAGTTCTTGCAAAATATGAATAGAAAAGTAATTCGAAAATACAAAATATATATATATATATATATATATATATATATATATATAGAGAGAGAGAGAGAGAGAGAGAGAGAGAGAGAGAGAGAGAGAGAGAGAGAGAGAGAGACCAGGAATCTAAACCATATAAGCATATATCATGACATTTATATTTTTTATATAATATATATCATACATTATATATTTCGGAAATAAAATCGGACCGGAAATCGGAATTTCTAATAATTTTATATGTAATTCCAATTCCGTTCCAAAAATAATCGGAAAAATCGGAAATCGGAATATCGGAAATTGGAATGAAAAAATGGGTTCCAAATTCGGATATTTTCGGATCGGAATTGGCGGAATTCGGAAATTCCGTTCCAATTTACACCCCTAACTCAACCCCTTGTAATGCGTTCAGACGGTTAACAACCATATATTTTTGGGTAAACTACGAAAACCCCCCAAAATTTAGATTTAATTACCAAAAACACCTTCTATTCGTAATCACCAAAAATCTCATGAGGTTTGTTTCTTTCTTACATCAACTCTCTTACAGTGTGACTTTTCACGGATTTTTTTTGTTTATTCTAGGGAATAGACTTTACACAATTTCAGATATTTTCTTTTATTTCTCACCTATTTAATAGAAGGTATAATAGATTGTACACATTTTCTATTAAAAAATTCGATCAACAGTTAATCAGAGGGGATGTTATTTGTTAGTTAGCCTAAGTTCAGGGGAGTTTTCGTAATTTACCCTATATTTTTCTATCCCAGAAGTCAAAGATAAGAGGTGTGAAATATATATATATATATATATATATATATATATATATATATATATATATATATATATATATATTAAACATGCTCTTTTTACAATTTGTTCAAAAGCAGACTCATCACTTCTTTCAAATCTTTGTAATAATAAAGCAAGTGTAGCAGCAAATTATTTACCTAAATTATCCCCAGACATGAAAACATACCTTTTCTTCCTTCATATTTTTCTGCTAATAACAACTTCTTTATTGTCCCCTCCAAAAGCATCAGCCTCAGCTACAACTGAAGCAACTGCTCTGGTGAAATGGAAGAACACTCTATCACCATCTCCTGTTTTAAACTCATGGTCACTCAACAACCTCAGAAACCTCTGCCGCTCATGGACCGGCATTCAATGCAACTCCGGCGGCTCCGTTTCTCAAATCAACCTCCCCAATTCGAATCTCACCGGAGCTATCAGCCACCTCGATTTCTCCTCGCTCGCAAATCTCACAACTCTCAATCTCAATGGCAATAGCTTCAACGGGACAATCCCAACCAGTATCGGAAATCTGACGAAGCTTGTTTTTTTCGACCTGAGCGAGAATTTGTTGGATGGCTCAATCCCATTGGAAATCGGCAATCTGAGAGAGATACAGTACATTAGTATTTTCAACAACAGTCTCAACGGAGAAATCCCTTATCAAATAGGCAATCTCCAAAAGGTGCGGTATCTGAATTTGGGTTCTAATTACTTGGAAACTCCTGATTGGTCTAGATTTCCGAATTTCCCATTTCTGACACACCTCATGTTTAATGACAACAATATCACTTTGGAATTTCCGGATTTCATAACCACTTGTCTGAATCTTACCCTTCTTGATTTGTCACAAAACAACCTCATTGGACAAATTCCCGAGTCTTTGTTTAATCTGGTGAAACTCAAATACCTTAACCTCGCTTTTAATTCGCTGCAAGGGAACTTTTCGACCAACCTCACAAAGCTACCGAAATTGAAAGATCTTCGTTTGGAGAGCAACTTATTCTCCGGCCACATTCTTGATTCCATCACCTTTTTACCGAACCTCGAAATTCTTCACCTGTTCAACAATTTGTTTCAGGGAGAAATTCCGCCGGAAATAGGTCAACTCAGGCGACTCCAGGAGCTAGATCTCCAGCAAAACGGCTTCAACTCCACAATTCCGGCCGAGCTCGGCCTATGCACTAACCTCACCTTCTTAGCATTAGCCGTCAATTCATTCACCGGACCTTTGCCTTTATCCTTTTCGAATTTGACAGAGTTAACCGATTTGGGAATCTCCGACAATAGTCTCTCCGGCGATATCTCGCCTTTCATCAGAAGCTGGACCAAACTAACGTCACTGCAGGTTCAAAGCAATCATTTCACTGGAGAAGTCCCGCCGGAGATAGGCCTACTCACAAATCTGAATTATCTGTATCTGTACAACAATTCATTTTCAGGCCAAATCCCACCGGAAGTAGGTAACCTGCAACACTTGTTGAAGCTAGACCTTTCGACCAACCAGTTTTCAGGCGAAATACCTTCAACACTCGGCAACCTCACGAAACTTTTGCTCTTAAACCTTTTCTCAAACAATCTTACCGGAACTATTCCATCTGCGATTGGAGATTTGAATTTATTAGAGACTCTTGATCTCAATACAAACCAATTGAGAGGTCAGATACCAGAATCCTTCTCCAACCTCACTAGCCTATCGACTTTGTCCGTATTTATTAATAACCTATCAGGCATTCTCCCACAGGATTTTGGGCAAAACAGTCCCCAGTTAGCCAGTGTTAGCTTTTCCATCAACAACTTCTCTGGTCAGATTCCTCCTGGAATATGCAGTGGCTTTGCTTTCGATCACTTTACGGTGAACAACAACAGGTTTTCAGGGCTTTTGCCTCAATGCTTAAAGAACTGCTCGGGCTTAAGAAGGGTACGTCTCGAAAACAACCGATTTTCGGGAAATATTTCGGATGTGTTTGGAGTTCATCCACAGCTCGACTTCGTTTCTCTGAGCAGTAATCAATTCACCGGCCAACTTGATGCCGAGTGGGGACAATGCGAACAGCTCACAAATATTCAGATGGATAATAATAAAATATCCGGACCTATCCCAGTTGAGCTCGGAAATCTGACACAGCTTGGTGTTCTTGTCTTGGATTCGAACAAGTTAACGGGCGAAGTTCCTGTCGAATTTGGAAAGCTAGAGCAACTGTTTAATCTCAGCCTGAGCAACAATCAGTTGAGTGGCGAAATTCCGACAGCTGTAGGCCGACTGACGAAGCTACAGCATCTTGATTTGTCGGGGAATAAATTCGGAGGAAATATTCCGGAAGAACTTGGAAATTGCGAAGGCTTGCTGAACTTGAAGCTCAGCAATAACTTATTGTCAGGGGAGATCCCTTCTGAACTCGGAGATTTGACGAGGCTACAAATCGTGTTGGACCTCAGTAACAATTCACTTTCGGGGAATATTCCGTCATCATTCGGAAGTCTGACCACCTTGGAGATTTTCAATGTTTCGCACAACAATCTTTCGGGCAGAATTCCTACAGCGTTGCTTGGAATGATAAGTTTGAGCGACTTCGACTTCTCTTACAATAATCTGTCTGGTCCGATCCCGACTGGCGATATATTCAGAAAAGCACCTGCAAAAGCCTACATCGAAAACTCCGGTTTATGTGGAACTGCAGAAGCATTACCTCCTTGTGATGTCATATCTTTAACTTCAAAGTCAAATAATGATCGGACAAAGATTCTTGTCGGTGTCATTGTGCCAGCTGTCAGCCTCGTAATTTTGGCAACCATTATAGTTGGATGTTGCATTCTCCGAGGAAAATCAGAGCAACTCGATGAAGAAACCAAAAGCATGACCAAGTTCGAGAATTCGGAATCGCTCATTTGGGAAAGAGAAGGGAAACTCACATTTGGAGATATTGTCCGAGCAACGAAAAATTTCGACGAGAAATACTGCATCGGAAGAGGAGGATTTGGAAGCGTTTATCGAGCTGACTTGGCGAGCGGACAGAGTGTAGCGGTGAAAAGGCTCCACGTATCGGAATCGAGCGACGTGCCACTGGCGAATATTCGTAGTTTCGAGAATGAAATCCGGACACTGAAGGAAGTGAGGCACAGGAACATAATCAAGCTTTATGGATATTGCTCGAGTAAAGGATCGATGTACTTGGTCTACGAGTACGTAGAGAGAGGCAGCTTGAGATCAGTTCTGTACGACGAAAACGGAGCCCTCCAACTAAACTGGCCCACGAGGGTTAGAATCGTTCAAGGAGTGGCGCACGCACTAGCTTACCTTCACCATGATTGCACACCACCTATCGTCCACCGTGATGTTACGATAAACAACATTTTACTCGAGTCGGAATTCGAACCGAGGCTATCGGATTTCGGCACGGCGAAATTGCTGACTTCTGATTGGTCGAATTGGACAACAATGGCAGGCTCGTACGGCTACATGGCTCCAGGTAAATTCTCGTAACTTCGCTTTCACTACTAAATCTGCATCACGAAGTTAGAATTTTTTTTCTGACAATTTACCTTTTTTTTTTTTCTGTGCGCTCAGAGCTTGCGCTGACTATGAAGGTGACGGAAAAATCTGACGTGTACAGCTTTGGAGTTGTGGCCTTGGAAACTATGATGGGGAGGCACCCGGGGGATCTCATATCTACACTATCGGCAAACTCGGCATTGCATAGTGAACCGGATGTGTTTCTGAAGGATCTGCTCGATCAACGGCTCTCATCTCCCGCGGGCAAAACAGCAGAGGAAATTGTGTATGTAGTCACCATGGCGTTATCGTGCGTACGGACCATCCCAGAGTTACGGCCTAATATGCGTTTCGTTGCACAAGAATTGTCGGCTCGTGATCGGCCTTACCTGCTGCAGCCACTGCAGACAGTAAAACTAAACGAAGCAACAAGTTTCTCAAATTAGGAGGAGTTCGTGATTTGCCGCGATAAGTATACATAGTCACATAATCAATGCTTGGACTCTGCATATACATAAATCCAGGGGAATTATGTCTTTATTGGAAACTAATGTACACAATATTTATCTGTACGGAAACTAATGTAGAGGAGGATTTGACAGTATTTTTTTTTTCTATTCTAAAAAAAAATAATTCTTCCATTGGCAATGATGCCCAGCATTCAATTAGCACATAAACATAATCAGCATGCATATACAATTCACAGAAATACTAAATAATTGAGAAATCAATCAGAAATGAAGCCATGAAAATTGAAACCCTTACCTGGAATAAAAAAAAAAAAGAATCAGCGGATCGGAGAAGAACTCCATGTGCAACTACAGAGCAGAGGAAAAGCAATGATATATGAACTAGCTATACGAGCATACGGAATATCGGTGTTGGGCGCCGATCACTTGTCGGATAGAACGATAACATAAGGGTTTATGGAACGGGATTCCGGCACCGGCGAGTGGTGAATAGAATTGGACGGTGGCGAGTGCGCATTTTCATTTGGGTTTGGCTTCTTCGAATATTTTATGCCCCCGTTTGTTCATCACGCGCGTTTTTGGAGCGTATACGATTCATCCCCATTTTTTCTGCTTTTGTTTGTTTTCTTACTATAGAGTATAGAGGTTGAGAATTTTATTTTATTTTATTTTTATTTTTTGAATTTTGGATTGAGGAACTTTTGAACTCAGAGGATAAAAAAAAAAAGTTAAAATATTATTTTGTCAAAAAATTTTAAATTAGTGAAAAAATTAATATTTATTAGTTTTATACATTATTTAATTAATAACTTATCATTACTTTGTGAAATTAGTTTTATTATTATTATTTATTATTATTATTGTTGTTGTTGTTGTTGTTGTTGTTGTTGTTGTTGTTGTTGTTGTTGTTTTCAATAAACTCAATCAAGCTCATAAAGATGATGAAGTTGAAGATGATAGTTCACAACAAAACCCGTTCCTCGGTCGAGAACTCTTCAAATAAAAAATATATTTAATATTTCTGTAAGTGAGTTACGACGAAATAAAATCGAAGTTCTTACAATGTTAAGATGAGGAATGAGATTCAAGTAATGTCAACTTCAACGAGAAGCAAAAGAAAATTAAAACATATTTGCTATATGTTTATAGATTTATGAAATTGTACTATGTATTATTTGAAGATTTATTTATATGCATTATTAATTTATATATTAGATGCATGATATTTATTAGAATTTTCAAATATGTATTATTTTATAAAAAAAAAAAAGAGAAGTATTAATTTAGTATGTTGTCCCCGAGCCAAAACTGATTTTTTATTTATTTATTATTTAAATGATGTTATTAAGTTATCGAGTATTAATTTATCGATGTTCTACTGCAATTTTAAAGATGCCATAGGAGTGGGGTGGGTGAGTTTGACCCTTTAAAAAATTTATGCTTACAGATGTGATGATGATAGTACTACTTGCTTCAAGTTTCTCCTTTTATTTTTTAATAGGGAAAATTAGTTAAAATCATTAGGTATTTGCAATTATTAATAAGAGGGACACGCTTTCAATTTTGATTATGTTTTTCTGCACAAATTATTTATTAGAAGTCTTTTGACTACTTTTCTATAAATATATTTGTGACTACTTTACCATTGATATCATCGTTATAACGAGATAAGGTCAAGTTTTCTCGTGAAATGGATTTTTTTGTAGATGCTACGTTCAGTTAAATACATTGCGTGATCTTACACTATTGATTTATACATAATAAATAATGACAAACACTCATATATATAATATATGTGTGCTAAGTGAATAGTTATTTATATAGATTAATAGTGCAAAATCGCCCGATGTTTTTCACCAGATATAGCATCTCATAGACGAGTTTAACGAGAATTGCAAAAAAAAATTGATAATACATGTCAAAAAAAATTTCAATCAATGTCGTTCTCAAAAAATGCCTCTCCGAAAAGCATTTCCTATTTCTTATAATTTTTAACCGTAATGAATTTTAATAGGAAAATCGACTTTTAGTTCAACGAATTAAGATGGTGTTTGCAAGAGTTTATTTAAAAACTTAAGTTAGTGATTGTGAATTAAGTTGATATTAAATGCTTATTTTTAAAAGTAGGGAATATTTGGAAAATTTCTCAAAATCAACTTAAATAGAAAAAGACAAGTCCAAAGACGCTTTTAAAATTATATTTGAAATCAACTTATTTTAAGAGACGTCAAAATAGAAGATCATTTTTGCAAACATCTAAAAACAAATAACGGTTGAAAAAAGCTCAAAATTTGTTTCTAAAAACTCTTGCAAACACGAGCACTTGAGTCACCATGATTTACTCCTCCATCAATTTTTTTTTTCTTTTAGTTTATTTTAATTTTAAATATGATTGTGTTTTAAATGAGTGGCTCCTTGGCTCCTTATAATAAGTTTAAAAGAAGGCCACTTTCTTTGAACCCAACAACCTATCCAATGTTTTATATGAGAGTTAAAAAGTCAACTTTTCACACACAAGTCAACAACAATTTGCTCAAAGATGACAGTCTGGACAGATGAAATGCCAGCCCTCATATTTGAAGTTCTTATTTTTCTTGGTCAACGCTTTATTAAAATAGGAAACTCACTATGGCCCCAAATTTCCCATAAGATTCAATTTAAAGCAATAGTAGCTGACTTATATTACTTAATTAGTTCCCATTGCTAGTATTGGATTCTTTTAGATATTTTCTAACAACCACCCATACAAAAATACTTCATTTGTCTCGTATTATATGTCTTTTTTAGGGTGTTTGTTTCTTTTTTACAAAATTATTTGTCAAGTTAGAGTTCCAATAAAGTACTAATTGCATTTTTATCAATTTTGCTCATTTATCACTTTTAATTAGTTAACTAAAATAAATTAAAGACAAGGATATTTTAGCATTTACTATGTTATTTTTTGTTATAATTTATGCGTATTTATTACTCCATCCATTCAACAATATCTGTCATTTTAAAAAAAAAATTATTACATATTATCTATCACTTTAGAATTTCAATAGTACATTAATTGCATATTTTTCAATTACATCCTCATTAACTCTTCAACACTTTCTCTGCATTAATTAATAAATAATACTTAGTATTTTAATCTAACAATATCTATTTTCCTAAAATTATTACATTTTTTAAGATTTGTGCAAATGTGAGAAACGACTATTATTTAGAAACCGAAGAAGCCAATCAACCTTTTCATTGTCTATTTTTCAAATTGTCAATTGACTCAAATAAGAACAAACAGAAAAAAAGTCAACCCTTTTAATGTACTTCACACTAGCAAGTGGTAACAACCATAAACATATATTAATACCACAAACCCCAAATCAAGAGAGTAGAAATAAATAAACAAAAAAGCAAACCCAGTTGTTTTCAATTCAAATGTTTGCAATAACAATCAAAGCAAATGTAGCAGCATATTAATTCACCAAAAAAAACACACACACAGACAATGAAAACATACCTTTTCTTCCTTCATATTTTTCTGCTAACAACAACAACTTCTCTATTGCCCCTTCCAAAAGCAGCAGCCTCACCTACAACTGAAGCAACTGCTCTGGTGAAATGGAAGAACACCCTACCATCACCATCTCCTGTACTAAACTCATGGTCACTCACCAACCTCCGAAACCTCTGCCGCTCATGGACCGGCATCCGATGCAACTCCGGCGGCTCCGTTTCTCAAATCGACCTCTCCGATTCGAATCTCGCCGGAACCATCAGCCAATTCGATTTCTCCTCACTCATAAACCTCACAACTCTCAACCTCAACGGCAATGCCTTCAACGGCTCGATCCCGACGAGTATCGGAAATCTGACGAAGCTCGTTTCGTTCGACCTCAGCGACAATTTGCTTGACGGCCCGATCCCGATTGAGATCGGCAATCTGAGGGAGATTGAATACTTCACCTTGCTCAACAACTCTCTAATTGGAGAAATTCCTCACCAATTCGGCAATCTCCAAAAGGTAAGGTATTTGAATTTGGGCTCTAATTACTTGGAAACCCCTGATTGGTCTAGGTTTCCGAGCTTTCCACTTCTAACGCACCTCATGATTAACTACAACGAGCTTACGTTAGGGTTTCCCGACTTCATCACAGCTTGTCAGAAGCTCACCGTTCTCGATTTGTCGCAAAACAAACTCACCGGACAAGTTCCTGAGTCTTTGTTCAATCTGGTTCAACTCGAGTACCTTAACCTAACCTTGAATTCGTTACAAGGGTCCTTTTCGACGAACCTCACGAAGCTGTCGAAATTGAAGGATCTTCGATTGTCGAGCAACTTATTCTCCGGCCACATTCTTGATTATGTCACTTTTATGCCAAACCTCGAAATTCTTCATCTGTTCAACAATTCATTTCAGGGGGGAATCCCGCCGGAAATAGGTCAACTCCGGCAACTCCAGGAGCTAGATCTCCGGCAGAACGCCTTCAACTCCACAATTCCGGCCGAGCTCGGCCTCTGCACTAACCTCACCTTCTTAGCATTCGCCCTCAATTCGTTCACTGGACCGTTGCCTTCATCCTTTTCGAACTTAACCGAGCTATCCAACTTGGGAATCTCCGACAACAGTTTCTCCGGCGATATCTCGCCGTTCATCGGGAGCTGGACGAAACTAACGTCGCTGCAGATTCAAAACAATCACTTCACCGGCGAAATCCCGCCGGAGATTGGCCTGATGACGGATCTGAATTATCTGTTTTTGTACAACAATTCATTTTCCGGCGAAATCCCACCGGAGATAGGCAGCCTGCAGCACCTGTTGATGCTAGACCTTTCGACCAATCTATTTTCAGGCGGCATACCTTCGACACTCGGCAACCTCGCAAACCTTTCGATACTAAACCTTTTCTCAAACAGTCTTACAGGAACCATTCCTTCCACGATTGGAGACTTGAGTTTACTACAGATTCTTGATATCAATACAAACCAATTGACTGGTCCGATACCGGATTCCTTCTCCAACCTCACTAGCCTGTCGACTCTATCGGTGTACACGAATAACCTTTCGGGGATTCTCCCACCAGATCTCGGGCAGAATATTCCTCAGTTAACCAGTGTTAGCTTTTCCAACAACAGCTTCTCTGGGGAGATTCCATCTGGCATATGCAGCGGCCTGTTGTTCGATCAGTTTACGGTGAACGGCAATGGGTTTTCGGGGCTTCTGCCGCAATGCTTGAAGAACTGCTCGGGGTTAAGAAGGGTGCGCCTCGAAGACAATCGGTTCTCGGGGAATGTTTCGGATGCGTTTGGAGTTCATCCGCTGCTCGACTTCGTTTCTCTGAGCAGAAATCAATTCACCGGCCAGCTCGATGGCGAGTGGGGTCAATGCAGAAATCTCACAAATATTCAGATGGATCACAATAGAATATCCGGACGTATCCCAGCTGAGCTCGGAAATCTGACACAGCTTGGCGTTCTTGCCTTGGATTCGAACGAGTTAACGGGCGAAGTTCCTGTGGAGTTCGGAAAGCTGGAGCAGCTGTTTAATCTCAACCTGAGCAACAATCAGTTGAGTGGCGAAATTCCTACAACTATCGGCCAACTGACGAAGCTCCGGAATCTTGATTTGTCGGGGAATAAATTCAGAGGGAATATTCCCGAGGAAGTTGGTAACTGCGAAGGCTTGCTGAACTTGAAGCTGAGCAATAACTTATTATCAGGGGAGATCCCTTCGGAACTCGGAGATTTGACGAGGCTGCAAATCGTGTTGGACCTCAGTAACAATTCACTTTCGGGGAATATTCCGTCATCCTTCGGAAGGTTGACCTCATTGGAGATTCTCAACCTCTCGCACAACAATCTTTCGGGCCGAATCCCAGCAGCATTGTCTGGAATGATTAGTTTGAGAGACTTCGATTTCTCTTACAATAATCTGTCTGGTCCGATCCCAGCCGGCGATATATTCAGCAGAGCACCCGCAAAAGCATATATTCCAAACTCCGGTTTATGTGGAACTGCAGAAGCATTACCTCGTTGTGATGCCCCCTCTTTAACTTCAAAGTCGAGTAATAATCGGACGAAGATTCTTGTCGGTGCCATTGTGCCAGCTGTTAGCCTCGTAATTTTGGCAACCATTATAGCTGGATGTTGCATTTGCCGAGGGAAATCAAAGCAACTCGATGAAGAAACCAAAAGCATGACCAAGTTCGAGGATTCGGAATCGCTCGTTTGGGAAAGAGAAGGGAAACTCACATTTGGAGATATTGTTCGAGCAACGAAAAATTTCGACGAGAAATACTGCATCGGAAGAGGAGGATTTGGAAGCGTTTATCGAGCTGACTTGGCGAGCGGACAGAGTGTAGCGGTGAAAAGGCTCCACGTATCGGAATCGAGCGACGTGCCACTGGCGAATATTCGTAGTTTCGAGAATGAAATCCGGACACTGACGGAAGTGAGGCACAGGAACATAATCAAGCTTTATGGATATTGCTCGAGTAAAGGATCGATGTACTTGGTCTACGAGTACGTAGAGAGAGGCAGCTTGAGATCAGTTCTGTACGACGAAAACGGAGCCCTCCAACTAAACTGGCAGACGAGGGTTAGAATCGTGCAAGGAGTGGCGCACGCGCTAGCCTACCTTCACCATGATTGCACACCACCTATCGTCCACCGTGATGTAACGCTAAACAACATTTTACTCGAGTCGGAATTCGAACCGAGGCTATCGGATTTCGGCACGGCGAAATTGCTGAATTCTGATTCGTCGAATTGGACGACAATGGCAGGCTCTTATGGTTACATGGCGCCAGGTAAATTCTCTTAACTTCTCTTCCTCTACTAAATCTGCATCGTGAAGTTAGAATTTTTTTTCCGACAAGTGAACTTTTTTATTTTGTGTGCGTTTCAGAGCTTGCACTGACAATGAAGGTGACGGAGAAGTCTGACGTGTACAGCTTTGGAGTTGTGGCGTTGGAAATTATGATGGGGAAGCACCCGGGGGATCTCATAAGTTCGCTGTCGGCAAACTCGGCATTGCATAGTGAACCGGATGTGTTTGTGAAGGATCTGATTGATCAACGGCTCTCATCTCCTACGGGCAAAACAGCAGAGGAAATTGTGTTTGTAGTCACCATTGCATTATCGTGCGTAAGAGCAAACCCTGAGTCGCGGCCTAATATGCGTTTCGTTGCACAAGAATTGTCGGCTCGTGATCAGGCTTACCTGCTGAAGCCACTGGCGACAGTAAAACTAAACGAAGCCACAAGTTTCTCAAAGTAGGATAAGTTGGCGATTTTGCGTAGATAAATATACATCAGATAATAATATATCATTGTAAATTTGTTTATAATGTATATGTTTTTGAATATTAGTCGACGAGATACAATAAAATGCAAAAGAATTCAGCGTATTTCCTTTGCTGTAATTATTTACTTTTGGTTGTTGAACCACGTCTATAAGAGCTCCAATTTTCATCTATAAGAACCAATGCATTCGATATTGGAGAGATCAACTACTCATTTCTTGACCAAAAGCCTGATTATTCAGGGAACTCGGTCAAAACACAAAATATGATAAAATTTGCGAATAACAAGCCAACGGCCACACGGGTTTCTTTCCTCTAACGGAAGAACCAGAATTTCAGTTCCTTCTCAACGTTATTCTGGTCCTTTACAGAATTGCTGATCCATTTATCAGTTCAGTCTTGCAAAAGCCCGAGAAACTTTTTAATTCTTTGAAAATCGCAGATAGTTAGAATAAAAAGGAAGGGGAACACAATGTGAATATTGATCATGGCCAATTATCTTCAAGAAGAACGACTACCCACCAAGAAAATCTTGTCCCGGTGAAAATCTTGAATATGGGATTTCATAAAGGACAAGATTTTCTTGATTGACAGTCAATTCTTCTTGAAGTTGATAAGCCATAATGAAGATTACTTGTATCGCGTTTCCCGTTTTCTAATTGTCTACATTAGCTGGGTCACCCTCATCCACTGGTCGTATCACCTTCTACACCATAATTCTCTTTGGCAGGTGAAACAGGTACTGCATGTGTCATCAACTCTATACGGGGGTTTTCCGTGGTAGGTGGTTCTTCTATTCTCAGCTGTAGATTTCTTTGAACTGAAAAATAATAATCAAGAATCAGAAAAATGACTACTGCATTGTAGTCTTAACATAACAGCATTGCAAATTTCAGCTGAAACCTGCTGCTAGGCTATATGGGACTCAACTCAATTGAGATACTTGTGGACTGTTTGGACATTTCACAATAATTCAATTTCATATCATATAGGCATATATCACATCGTTTTGCTTAGTGTATAATTCAGTATACATTTCGAACAATGAAGATGTAAAACAAATATTTTTTTCCTCTTTCGATTGAATTTTATCATTTCCTTCTAGAATTTGTCTGTTCGACAAGGCTTATTATAAATTTGCACAATTCTAAAATGGGAAGCAAACTGAAATCAGTTCTACTTGGTCTACAACACATAATAATATTAATCAATCCAAATATGATAAACGAAAAGTTATCTTAAAAATCCCCAAAAACAAAAAGTCGATATATAGCAAACTGAGAAACAAGAACAAAATTTCAACTAGTCGAAAATATAACTTCTAAACAATAGCATTAGCAGCACTAGCAATCCTGGGCCAGAGATCCGCACACTCCTTTCCGATCGGGCCGGTGATGGCAGAACCTACACAAAGTAACCAATACAAGAATGAATAATTATTAATTTGAAAAAAAAAACAACTGAAACAGTTGCAATGAAGTTTCTTGCAAGTGTAGGAAGAAGAGAATCTTGACATAAAATGAATGAACAAACATTATTACCTTTCATTTCACCCTTGGGATTCACAATGACCCCAGCATTATCTGCAGTAATGCCGAACAAACAAGAATTAGCAAAAAATTTGTATACTCTCGTGTGAACAAAATATTGAATGATTTAATAGTATAATTACGATTAATTTATATGATTTAAATGAATCAACGCAAGAACAGCAAAACCTAAAAACAATACTGAATTTTCATAATAGAATGAATATTACATATCTCTAGAACTATCATGAAGGTAATATAAACTAAGGATATGTTGACTGCCTAAGAAATAGATAGTGTAGCAATCAAATGTATAGGAGTGTCGGTAATAAGGAAAGTCGAATATGATTTGCTTAACAAAGCACAATACTAAAAGGTAAAACTTTTAACTTTTTATCGAGCTTCATACAACTCAGCATAAGTTGTTACTACGTCAAGAAAAGAGATGGAAGAGATTCAACATAGCATTTAGGCAAAACAAAGACAATGTTTTGTAGGTCTAGATTAATCATACATGTAATGATATACAAACATTTATGAATTATCATGTGTCCAACCAAGATTATACTACAATTATGAGAAGAGTTCTTACAACATTTCAGGCCCATTAAAGTTGGTAAAACGGGATTCTAAAACAAACATCTCAAAAAAATACGACAGGCCTACAACGGAAACCAAGATCAAGGGATGACCTAAAAATCGAACCAAAGGGAATACTTAACTCCAACGTTCGATTTGAAAAAATAATACCAATAAGCAATCTCCACAGAAAACCTAGCTACTTGCTTCACATAACAATATCCATCTAACAACTATTGAATTTCAAATTACGACAGGTACGCATAAAGAGCGTACACCTATACATCAATCAATTAATATAAAAAATACCAAAATAAGGCAGATCACAGTTCATCAAGTCAAAAACAAGTGCAGTGATAGAATGTAAAAAGTGAAAAAAAAAAAAAAAAAAAGAATGGTACCTTCGAAGTACATGAAAACACCGTCCTTTCGGCGCCATGGCTTGCGCTGACGAACAATGACAGCTGGCATGACCTTCTTACGGAGCTCCGGCTTTCCCTTCTTAACAGTAGCCATCACCATATCTCCGACGCAGGCGGAGGGAAGCCTGTTCAGGCGACCCTTGATCCCCTTCACTGATATGATGTACAGATTCTTAGCTCCGGTGTTGTCGGCGCAGTTCACCGTCGCCGCCACCGGCAGACCCAGCGACATCCTGAACTTGTTACCCGCGGATCCTCCGCGCCCTGTCGCACCACATACATTTTTTCGTTAAATTAATACTTGGAATCGAAAAAAACAAAATTGAATCTGGATTTGGAAGAGTGTGATAGTACCTCGCTTCGACATTTTCGGCTTCTCTCGCTCTTTGCTCTGGACTCTGGTTCCTTCCGATGGAAAGAAATGGAAGAAGCCGAAAGCGGAGGCGCTAGGGTTTTATATCAATGGTGAGAAGAATTCGTAAGATGGGACTAGGGTTTTGAGTATGGGCTTACGCAATTTTAGCCCAACTCTATAATATAAACACAATAAATAGCCCATCGCTTTTTTTGTTTGGAAGTCAGGTTATTTATTTTCATTTTTTATTAATGCTTTCAAACTTCAAATTATGGGTGAAAATCAAACGTATCGAATATGAATAAGAACATTTGATTTTTATTTTTTATTTTTTATTTTTTAGGAAGTGTGAAATGAGTTTCAATATCGTTCCGGAGAAAACAAAAAAAAAAAAATGGTATGAAAAAACTTGTTTTAAACTCGAAAAATTTATGAGCGGAATTTGAATTGTTACCTGTAATACAAAAATACATAACAACAATATTTTTTTAATAAGTGTAATTTTTGAAAAAGAAATTCATTTCGCAAATATTTTGAAAATTGAAATAGAACTAGAAATTGAAAACTAATATGTATGCAGATTACGTTCTGAAACAAAAAGGGAAAAAAATAGAAATCGGAACTTGTGAAATTCAGAACGGAAAATAATTATCCAAAATAAAAAATAATATTCAGATCGGAATTGGCATAAACCAAAAATGGTGTTAGAACCGAGTAAACTAATGAAGAAATATAATTTAGGATATTTCAAAATAATGAAGAAACAAAATTATAGTATTCAAATTTCAGATAGTTCAGGACTTTATATATATAAAATATATATATAATTATTTCATGAATTAATACATTTATGATTTATGTGTGAATTTATCAGTATAGATACCACACACATCTGATGTGTCTGTGTACAAGTAGCAAAGCAATGCCGAGCTCTTCATTTCTCGGCAGCTTCCTCCCGCCGTCGTCCACCGCCACCACCACCTCCAACCGCCGCCGTCCCCACCACACAATCAAAATGTCCCTCAACCCAAACCCCATCACCACCCTAACAAAACTCCTGTGGGGCCAGTCCCTCCCACCAAACCTCCTCATCTCCGCCGCCCGCTCCGCCTGGTCCGCCACCTGGCACCTCATGATGTCCCAGCTAGCCCCCTCCGACCCCACCGGCCGCTACACCCGCTCCGCCTCCCAATTCCGCCTCCCCCTCACCAACATCTCCCGCCAAAACCTCCACCTCTACGTCGGCCTCCCCTGCCCCTGGGCCCACCGAACCCTAATCGTCCGCGCCCTAAAAGGCCTCGAACAATCCATCCCCGTCTCGATCGCCGCCCCCGGCGCCGACGGCTCCTGGGAATTCACGAATCCCTCTCTCCAAAACAAGGATAGTAGTACTACTACTCTCCTCCCCACTTGGGATAAGGCCAACCGCTGCAAAACCTTGAAGGAGGTGTACAACTCCCGCAGCGGAGGGTACAACGGCAGGTCCACCGTACCAATGCTGTGGGACGCTGATAATAAACAGGTCATCTGCAATGAGAGCTACGATATCATACAATTCTTCAATTCCGGATTAAACAATCTATCCACTAATCCAACATTAGACCTTTCTCCTCCTCAATTGAAGGCCAAAATCGATAAATGGAATCGAATTATCTACCCCAACATCAACAACGGGGTCTATAGGTATATCTAATCACTACTCCCTCGTCTCGAAAAAAAAACGTCGAATTTTAGTATAAATTTCCGATAACGGGTATTTTGGGTGATTAGGTGTGGATTTGCGCAAAGTCAAGAAGCGTACGATAGCGCGGTGAATGAGTTGTTTAGTACATTAGATATGGTAGACGAGCATTTGGAACGTTCGAGGTACTTGTGTGGAGACGAATTGACACTTGCAGATGTGTGTTTGTTTACAACTTTGATAAGGTTCGATCCCGTGTACAATGTCTTGTTCAAGTGCACTAAGAAGAAGCTCATCGAATATCCGAATCTTCATGGATACATGAGAGACATTTACCAGGTACATACATACATACATACATATATGTACATATATATCATGTGTGTATATGTGAAGCATTTGGAGCAATTTTCTTGAAGTTAAGTAACATAATGTTTTTGTACAGATTCCGAAAGTTGCAGCTACTTGTAACTTAGGAGCAATTATGGATGGGTATTACAAAACCCTTTTCCCGTTGAATCCGGGTGGCATCGGACCCGCCATTCCGTACGCCTGTGAACATGAAATGCTGTCCAAATCCCACAACAGAGAGGGCTTATCAGTGGTTGAACAAAATGATGTAAATGCACTCATTGTGTAGAAGCTTGTGTGTAGAACATTACACTGTATTATATGTTAATATTGAATATTATACCGAATTTCAAGTTTTTCTTGTTGACTTACGATTGCACCGGTTGGCTAGATAATACGTTTATGCGTAAGAAATACAGCTAATTTTTTGCATAAAGGAAACTACATAAATGCAAAAGTATCAACATTAGAACAGGTCTTTCGGACAGGTTTCTTACACAAATTACATTAGGTTTTCTTACAAAATCAATAACCCGGGAATTACATCCAAAACGAAGTCAACCGAAAATCTTTAGCGATGTCTTGCTATAGTATTCTGGACAAGGCTGTAACTACAGCAAAAACGACAGCCACTGCCACACGGTCAACTTCTTCCAATTTTAGATCCTACACACAAAACCTCCTGATTAGGAGACATAACGGCAGCTGAGAAAGTAAACAGGCTATTGTAAATCTGCTAAGATTAATTTTTAAACCATTAAAAATTAAGTAGACAAATATGGTTCAATGTGGATAGATGTTCTGCTGAACAAAAAGATGTTGTCTTTATATCTTGTTTGAAACAAAGTGTGGTCGAAAAGTGAGAGATAAATGTGATGCCCAATGATAAACGTACTTGAACGCTTTATGTTGCGGCAGAACTTGCTGCCACATTGACAACGGAATGGCTTGATAGGATGATCGTGGTCATCAAAATCAATTCCATAATCCTGCAAGGGTGATAATATGAATTTCTCAGCAAAGAAAATATTGAATCGAAATACATATTTCATGCATGATTTATTATCTTCACGTGGCTGCATTATGCAAGCTTGGAAGGAAATTGAAAGATTAACTAACCAACCCTAAACCTCCCGACTCTTAAGAGTTGAAAATTTCTGCAATTTAATATTGAATATATATTATATAAAAATGATTAGTTCCATAGAAACTTTAGCCTTTACAGAAAGGTTGTTTGCTTAAACTTAGTTAACGAGTCGAATAAGGTCCTCTGATGCTCTGATATGCCAAAAGAAAGTAGCTGCCGCTGAATAACTAAACAAACTATTTCAGCAAGATCATCATTTTTATTCATCATGATTAATCATCAAAAAAGATTTTGTTCTTCTCTGTAATAATATCTCCTGATTGATATATATAGCATTTTCAAGGTGTTATAGAATGTGTGCTGACATATTAAATCATAGAGCTAAATTGGGGTTAGCTTGGATAAATTAGGAAGCCAATAAATAGGGCTAATTTTGTCGAACCTGGTTCTTTCTTTTTTAAGCTAATGTGATTTGTATAAATTCCTCGCTCTAAAAATTGCATAAAGCATGAACAACACTGTACAAACTTACCCAAGTCAGTTCTTCCATGGCCCTCACTGCTCTTGTTGTGAAGAAGGCGAGCTGCATTTATTTAAGTAACATCCTATTAAACTTTATGCAAAAACTTGACTTCGAACAACTTCGAAAATGGAACATGGTAAACTATGTATAAAAAAGCATGTGACTTCTTACATGATAATAGTGGTGATCCGGACTCTCTAGTTCCACTGGGATCTCGACCAAGTTTGGATCATAACATCTTGCATGGTTGCAGACAAGGAAAAAAAAAACATTAAGAAAATTGCATATTATATCAGAACAAGGGTCTCAATCTTTGAACATGGGATCGTTTTATTTTCCAGCAGATGGACGTTAGGAAGATATATTAGATTATCATTTAACAAAGGAGCTAACATAATGGAGCAAATGCAACTGTATGGCAATTAAATTTGGTAAGGCACTACGACTAGAATTAGCCAGGGATGGGAGAATGAGGCTCAGTATAAGAGGGCACAATCAGTTTAAAAAAGAGAAGAAAGCTATTTCTTATGGTCTGAAATCCATGCCAGAACCTAGTTACTACACACATCGCACTAGATATAAAGAGAAGGATTGCCCAACTGTGAATCTAAAGCAAAACAACAAAGTAATGTACCAAACACGTTATACTAACTTCAGATAACCTTACCTATGATTAATAAACCTTGCAATATTTCCGTAATATGTGGTATCTAGACAAAGAGCTTCTTCATCTTTCAGTGCTTCTTTAGCACCCCAACCAGCATCGAGAAGTACAGGATAAGAATGTTTTCCCGCTTTAGGGCTGCGCAAAACACGACCAACGAGCTCTCTATTGGTTAAAATTTCTCCGACATACTCGCTAACAAAAGCACCTTTTGGGAGATCCTCCAGAGTACGCAGACCCCAACCTTTTCCTTCAGGGGTCATGAACACCTAATGACGAGGAAAACAAAGAGAGAGTGTTAAGTAGTTATTATCAAAAGCACCACGATTCTAGATAACTCCAGAATAAAGTATAAGAGTTGGGGCTAGATTATGCAGTACTTGACAGTAAAATCCTACCTGTAACTTCCGAGTTATTCCTCTTTGTACCACTCGATTGCCACACTGTGAGGTACAGTCACATCCCAACCAACATTCTTTGATGAACTTCCTCATTATATGTCCTTTGCATGGTTCAGTGATATCCTCACCTTTTGATCTTTCAAGAGGACATTCCTTGCAGAAGAACTGGCAATGCTTGTTAGGATTGTGGTTCATCGAAATACACTCTTCAAGAAATTCCTCCTTAACAAGGCCATATGTTGTGTACGCAGTTTCATTTGCACATGCACAAGGAGTAGACGGTGACAAACAATCCCCAACACAAGTAGAGCAGTTGTTATCTCCAAGCCGAGCGAGAGAGAATTTCACACAAGCGTTTTTGAAAACTGTATTTTGGGTTATGTAGCGAAAAGATGGTGGAGTCTCACTACTCATTTCATTCACAAGTGTAATAACATTTTTTTCTCGTCCCTTGGCTATGTCAACAACACCATACAGAGGCAATCCAGGTAGTACTACTACCTGGGGCTGAGGAGAAATCACCAAGCTCATTTCATTCGGGTTTTCTGCAAAATTCTCTATGTTCTCTGTATTTGTCCCGTTTTCATCTCCACCATCCATCTTTTTCAAATGAGAGTCATCATCATCTATGCCATTGCAAGGATGAAGTGGTGAGGTCTTGGGCAGAGTTGCCTCGGCATCGAAATGAGAAGCCACTGATCCACTCAAAAGGCCTCTAGCACCAACATCATCTGTTGAACCAATGGTCTGACCCGCATTTAAGGTTTCTGGAGACTCGCTATTGGAACCCGATCCCAATTTCAGAAAGCACTGACAAAATTCTTTCATAACATTCATCACGGAGAAGTTTGGGTCTAAGGTTTTGTACGTTCTCAGACATTTTTCATCCACTGATTTCAGGACTGTTTCAAGGGTAGGCATATGGAAATCAGGTCTTCCAAGAGCCACATCGCAGCTCAAGGAAATTTTCACTTCCCCAAAAGACGAGGAAGCGATCTCTAGGTTAGAAAAACATTGACCTGAGACCAATGCCAGCTGGTTGTTGTTCATCGATACATTTGGGGTGGCAGCGCCGTCAGCCCTTTCTTTCTCATTGACACAGGGTGAAACTGAGGGCTCAAGACTGTCATGTTCTCTAACTGTACCATTGCTGCACATCGAGTCTCCTCCATTATTCAGACCTGCAATGTTTCAACAAGGATTATGAGACTGAATATTACAATAAAAACGTCTGTGATAACTAATTTGTCGAGTAACTATAAAATAAATGGGCATGGCCCATCTCCAAAAGTGTCCATTCCCCACATGTGCGTTGTAAGAGCCAACAAATTGGTGATGTGGGACGATACAACTACTAACACATCATGTTATAACTACGCTTGCTGAGAAGTTTTACGAATTCAATTATGCATCTCAAGTAAGTCTAAATCCACGCAATAACATAAAAAGAGCTATAAAACAACCTCATCCTTCAATGCTTAGCTAAAATCCAGAACAAAATATACAAATTAGTAAATTTGAATCAACATAGAATCTTTAAAAACTAATTCCTACACCCAGTTAATCGAGATTTACAAAGAAGACTAGATTAGTAGCTACACTCAATTGATTGAGATTTCAGGCATAGACAATCAAACCAAGAATTTCTGGGAATCAAAAGGGGAGATTTCAGTTTTCCATGTGTTGTCTGAGAGGCAGCTGCTCCATGAACAAAATGTTGAATGCATACAGCTAAATGTTAAGATGATTAATGACGGTTCAATGACTCAAAGAATCCATTCTATGGATACTAATGGTTTTCAGTCACAAGACGGAAGGCATACCTGGACAATTGACAGCGGTACGAACCTCCAAACGTGGCATGTCATCAGTGACTGGCTCATCTTTAGGCGTAATTAATACATAACTTGAATTGCTCTTCTGTTTAGATGACAGATCATTGCCAGGCCCAACCTTTGGCTCTTTAAGACATACCGCATTAGATGCTGCACTTGCTGGAACTAAAGTCTTTTCACTCGATGGTATTTTAGGAGAGACAGATCCTTTTCCTCTGTCTCTGAGCCTCATTGGATGGGAAGGAGATCTTGGTTCAGTTGCCTTTTGCTGATTCCTGCCTGTGCCACTGGGAGAAATAGGTCGTTTTCCTTTATTTTCAGCATTCGGTTGAGCTGTCCCCGCTGTGCCTTGTGACGCATTCAGTTTTGGGATACTGGTTTCAGGTAGTTCACTTGGTTCTTCTTTAGGCCTGATAAGAAGCATCTTGCCACCACTACTACTATGAGGCGCATCTGAGGCGGGACTTTTTCCATCTTGGTATTTAAGTCGCAATCTTTTCAAGGGCCGTTCAGGCTCTTCATGTGCCTGAGCCTCTTTCTCCAAATAGTCCTCTTTCTATTTAAAAAATTAGCCGATATGTCACAACATTGAAATAAAATAAGAGCGAAGAAAAATATTAGAACAAATTTATATTCTCAGTCAAATATTGATGTATAAAACATGACTGCAGTAAAAAAGATCACCTCTTCATTATTGACCATCTTCTTTGGATGCTCAGCTACCTGACAGACAGATGGACAACAGTCAAACTCTAACCACTTTACCTTCTCTTTCTGTATAATTGGAGAGAATAACAGTAGAAGCACAAATATATTAAGAGATTGATATACTAAACACAATTATCAAATGTAACACATACTGCTGCATTCTCCATGATCTTCTTTGAATGCTCTTCTGCCTGTACACAATAAGAATCAAATCCCAAAACTTTGATCAAAACATCTAAAAATTAATGAAGACAAAGAGAAGAGCAGAGATATTAATTTACAAGAATAACATATATACGGGAAAAGGAGGCACAGAAAAACTTTTGACAGCAAGAAACAGGAATTTGTGCCTGGTTATGCAGCCCACGGTACTTACTTCAGATTCCTCTCTTTCAAATATAGCATCTGCAAGGGCTCGATAGTTTTCCTCTTCAATGAGCTCCCAGTTTTTATCGTACAATTTCAGCAATTTTTTTAGTACTGGCTTCACCTTATCTTCTGAGATCCCAATACCCTTCATAGCACGAAAGGCATTTGCAACTCTCATTTTCGTTTCCTTGCTGCTCATTTCGACCAATTTTTTATGTCCACCTAAACGTTCCAAACAAAAGAACTGTTAGATTTGTAAGCAAGCAGAATGAGTTTAGCCATGATCCGAGATTGAGCTCAACATTAATTGTTCAAGAGCTCATGAGCTGGCTCGTGTGAGATTTTTTCTACATATTTTTTATAAATATATAATAAATAGTTTTAAAAATACTAAATATTCAAATACTAAAATAATCTAGATATTTGAAATAAAAAAGGTTATTATAAATTAAAAAATAATAATAACTTAAACTTAATAATACTATAATATTTTACTATAAATATATATAAAATAGTAATAAATAATAATATTTAAAATTCAAAGATGAAACTTGCAAATGTTTTTCAAAATTCAGGCTCGAGCTCATAAAAGTTTACTTGAGCTCAAGCGAGCTTGACTCAATTTCTACTCATTTAGACCCCCTAGGAAAGAACACCATTTCTTCTAAGATAATATGTAATCTAAATCCTAGGTAATCAGACAAGACAGTATGCAACACTTTCTACCCCTATTCAAGGTTCCTTGTAAATTGTTATAATTGTCTAGCTTGCCAACCAAATACGCAATTTTTGCCTGAGAAGACAAACAAAAATGTACGAACTGAGACAGACACAAATGTCCTAACTAAGATAAATACAAACTACCTAACAGCAATACATTCTTAACCTGATATAAACTCCTAAATATAACTCTATATTCTAACAGGGTCAAATAAAAAATTCTATCCATTTATAACTACTGTCAAGTATCATGAATGCAGATCAGTAAATGCAAATTAAGCTCAAATAAAAATGAATATGCCAAAGTTCACGCATATTGGAACAATCAATCAAGAACAAAATCTATGAGCAAATATATATAAAATATTTAAATAATATAAAGGATAATATCGATAAGACTTACTTGATTTTGCTGTGAAATGACAATCCCCGAGAATCTATCTGCCTGTCCTACACAATTGGATTCTAAGAACAGAAAATTACATCCACGGGAGATCAGTAGAGCAGGGGCAGGGGCCGGCCTGCATATAGGAAGAAATGGCAGCTTACGGAAATGGAAAAAGTAGAGAACACTTAATAATTAATATCTCTGATGTTCAGTAATGAACTGGTGAAGAAGGTAGAGAACACTTGACATTCCTAATGTTCAGTAAATAATTGGGCATTGAATTCTCTTTTTCTGTAAGACGTCAATAGTATTAAAGCACAAAAGACAAAAATTTACAGGTGCAATATTTTCTCAACACTTGACACGTACTGAGCATGCAAATGGGGAAACAATGCTCGCACACATGGATCGTGGATGATGCAGGGAAAATGTGAATCCATAGTGCTCATACAAAAGCACGTACTGGTTTTCATTTATGGAAACCGTTAATATAATCAGATTAAAAAGTGGGAGCATCTTAATTAGAAATAGGAATGAGTTCTTGGGATAAGATTATTTTATTTAAACAGAAAGTAATTGAAGTTAGCGGTATAAATATATAGAAACAATAAGAAAAGTTTCGCTTCATTTAAGTACTAAAAAACAGAAAGATCATTAACACGTAATCCAAATCCACTAACTCAACATTTTGTGGCCACCAGAAAATTTCAGAGCAACAGCGGTGGATAATAAATTGTAACATGAAAGATACAATAGTTAAGTCCATATATGTGATAGTCTAAGAAAATATGGTTAGTAACTCAGACTTCAGTCAGAATTTAGTTGACAAAATTGAGTTAAACTCTACCTGTAATTACAAAAACATAAATAACCAGAAATATACACATATATACATACGTTACCCACTTGTGACTGTATGCATAAAGTATGTGATTATTACTAATCTACGCATACGCTCTATATCTATGCAATACACTGTATACATGAAAATATATGCATACACGCAAAATAGAGAAAGAGGGGGGTGGAATTCGGAGCGATCACGGCCATGTGTTCTCAACTCCACTACCAACTCCGGACTTAAAAGCTTGAATGAAATTCAAACAGATTACATAAAGGAGCAGGACGGGACGGAAGTATGCACTTTTCATACCTTCAGACCTATCCGCGCAATTAAGATAATTGTACCAAACTCTCATTAGCTGCAACAGAATGGAAGTATTTGTTGTAGAGCCATGACCTCCTGCATCATTTAAACAGAAAACAAGGTTTTAAAGCTTATTAAAGTCTTTTCGAATTATAACAACTCAACTAATAATTCTGGCAAATGAACAATCAATCAAGTTAAATAGGCCTTACAACTCAGACTAACGTATATAAAGAGAGATTTAAAAAATGAAATAATAATAAACCATTAGGTTTATATTCATCCGGCTGGACTATGGATTTCTATGAAGACTCGAACTTATCAGTTCAATGAAAATCAAACTTTAACAATCTCATAAACTATAATCCACTACTAAGACAAATTCGGTTTATTCCGTAGAACATCGGGTGAATTAATTGGGTAGATCTTAACCAATCATTCACACACAAAAACACACATTCATGTTGGTGTAGCATAGATTTGACCAACAAATTGATATGTTAATGTTGTAATTAATTAGAACAGAGCATTGAATGTGTGGTTCCACCCACCACCCATGCAACACAATGTCAGACAAAACAAGAAGAAAACATGTACTGCAAATCCTTCTCATAAAAATAGGGTACATGATTTTTCTCCACAAATAGGGGAAGAACAATCGACTGAAGTGTAATGCAGGAACCAATAAACCCTAGAAAAAACCCAAATAAATACTAATTTATGCAAGAAAAAAAATGCTGCCAAGTAAATTAACATAAGAAACGTCATGCAAGAAAAATCCCCTTTTAGAACAAAATTGAAAGAAGCATACGCTAAATTAAGAGAAATGGTGGCAAAATTATTTGAAGGGTACAATCGGAGGGAAGGATGCCGGAAATATTGACGCATGTGTGTACGATTATTAACAAATAAATAAATAAAAGAGAAAAAAAAAAATTAAAACTATAAAATTCTCACCGGCATTGGAGAAGCGGGCTTCAGTTTGTGTGTGTTTGAGAGGGAAATGAGCTCTGATGAAAGTTACAGTGATGAGAGAGAAAATTGATGAGAGAGAGAGAGAAAAGGTAAAGGGGAGTTGTTTTTTTTTTTTTGAGAGAGTGACTGTTGTTCTGAGTGTGGGTGAACTTTTACAAGCCGGAGTGCGGAAAGGTGTTGACCACGCGCGGATGGAGCGGCGGAAACAAGAAAATTGAAATATTTGGTGCTAGTTTTGTAAATTAAATTTGAACGGAAAATTAAATAAAAAAAATTATAAAATCACAAAATTATATTAGTGTAAGAACATCTTCTATGGTGCACCAAATCTCGTTTTTAGATTTATGCACTAAATTTATTGAATGAAATTTAGGGATGACGATCGGCACGTATTAATCGAACTCGTGTATGCTAAAACTTAAATACTATTTAATTTTACGACCAGATGTTCAAACGCGTACATCATCGAATTTTACAGTTGTGCACTTAAACATGGCTCAGATCGAATTTATAACATTAATGTATTTAATCGTTGGAGAAAGAGTTACAATTTTTTAAGTATATATGTGTGATTTGTTAATGACCTCGTTTTATTTAATGGACTATAAATTATAAATTTGATACATGTAGGGCATAGTATAAAATACTAAATACAGTAAATAATACTTCAAATGAAAGGTCGTGTTGTAGAGATATGATACCACTAATTTAAGTTTTAAAATAGTTGTAACTTGTAAGATAGCATAAAAATGATATTTTTATGAAAAAAATGTTAAATGACTATTTAGAGACATTTTAATGAAATAATTCAACTATTTATTATGTTTAAAAACTTGGAATTCATCAAAGCAATTTCAATATAAGTTGGAAACTAAGTAATTTTTCATATATATGAAATAAATAAATAATAAATATCGGGACTTACTTTTTACAGTTGAAAAATTGCTATTTGTAGTACAAACCTAATGCTATTTGTATCTGAACGCTCAGACCGGACTCCCAAACCCATACCGGACGCCCATACCAGGCGTGAAAAATGCTGGTGAACGCCCGATTCGGGCGTTCACCGAGGCAATTTTGAAAAAAAAAAGCAGTCATACAAATCGATTTGTAGGGCTGTTTAACATGAAACTACAACAGAAATTTCCTACCCAATGCATTAAAACGTTTAGGAGTTGAAAATACATCATAATTTCAAGAATTTTGACTTGTTTTTGCTTGAATTCGAATTTTTTGATTTTTTTTTTTTTAAATGTTTCGGTTTTTTGGGAGTTGGGTGGGAGTGAGTTTGTAGTTAGAAAAGTACTCTTGAGGTATGAACTGCAAATAGCAAAATTCTAACCCGAAGAAGCATTTCACTAAGTATTTCCAATAGTAAACTAATAATAATAAATATTTAAATTATCCACTTAATCGGGACTATTAACCATGGTGGGCTTAAATAAGGCCCATAATTTTGTTGAGATTAATAAAATTGCTCATAAATTACAAGGGTGATGTCTCAATGAAGACACCAGTCAAACTAAAAATTATGATCCATGGTGGAAAAATCGGAATTTTGTTTTATTTTCGAAAGTACTATTTTGAATCTCAATCGGCCGATTTCCCCCCTTATTATTAGTGTATTTATGTCATATATATACATATAATATATAGATGATTAACACATAAGTATGTATTAATTAATGATTTAAAAATAGTTAAATGAAACACCAACACTTACACTTATAAAAAAGAAAAGAAGACAAAAAAATAAGGCAATGCAAATGGCATGGGAGCGTATAAAATTGTACTCCACCGTACGTATATCAGTTTTGTTTTTCGCCAACTGTGAAATTTGGCAGAGCCCTGAGCAGTTGTACGTAATAAAGTAAAACCCTCTACAAAACACGCACAACACACACACACACACCAATTTTTTTTTTTTTTTTTTTCGATTCTTCTCCAAGAAATCATTTATTTATATATATATATATATATATATATATATATAAATCTCCATTATTATATTACTCGCCATGGATTTTTGAGTCTTCGTCTTCTCACAAAAAATGGGTCGTCGTCGTTCATCTCAATGTCAGCTGATTCTCTTTGTAGTTCTAGCTCTCTTTTCCATCGGCGGCTTCTCCGCCGCCGACTACACGAACCTGGTTTTCAAAGGCTGCGCCGACCAAAACTTCCACGATTTTAATGGGCTGTACAAGCAGACACTCAAGACTCTCTTTGACGACCTGACCTCCAAATCCTCCGCCGTGAAGTTCTACAAGACCACCTCCGGCGACGGCGCCGCCATCAACGGTCTCTTCCAGTGCAGAGGGGACCTCTCGAACGAAGACTGCTACAGATGCATGAAGAGGGCTCCGGAAATGGCGTCAAAGCTCTGCGGGGAAGCGCTCGCCGCGAGAGTCCAGCTCACCGGGTGCTACCTGAGGTACGAGATTTCCGGGTTCAGGCAGGTGAGCGGGACCGAGTTGCTGTACAAGGTTTGCGGGTCGACTCGGGCGAGTGGGGACGGGTTCGGGGATAAACTGGACACGGCGTTGGCGGAGATAGCGAAAGGGGTGGCGGCGAGCGGGAACGGCAGTGGGTTTTACGCCGGCGAGTTTCAGTCGGTGTACGTTCTGGGTCAGTGCGAAGGCGATTTAGGCGGCGGCGACTGCGTGAACTGTGTGAAGCGTGCGGCGGACACGGCCAAGTCCGAATGCGGCGGCGGCGGCGGCGCAGTTTCGGCGCAGATGTATTTCCAGAGATGCTACATCAGCTACACCTATTACCCCGGCGGTGGGGTTCCCGGCAACGATCAGAAATCACTCTCATCATCATCAGGTAATTAATTAATTAATTAATTTAAATATTAAAATAATAAATAATTAAAAATGTGTTTTTAAGGGTGTTGTACTGTGTGCATCGGAGATTGTACAAATTAAAGTTAATTTGAAATTAAATAAATTACAAGGAACAGGGAAGAACAGTACGGAGAAGACAGTAGCAATAGCAATGGGAGGGCTTGTGAGCGTGGGATTGGTAATGGCGTGTTTGTTATTCACTAAATCAGCTTTCAAGAAAAGAACTCCTTCTTACAAGTATGGCGGATAATTAATTAAACAGGTTAATTAATTATGTTTCATTCTGCACACACATGTACACACACTGCTTGTAGTTCTTTATATATATATATATATATATATATATGGTAAATTACGGCCACCTCTGAGGTAAGGTTAAATTACGAAAAATATTCTTATGTTTGGGTAATTACAACTACCTCTCAACTATGAATTTTCTTCCACGTCCATTCTTGCGGTGTCAAATTTTAATGAAATCTTCTAGATTATATGGAATATTCTCAAGTTTGTATCCGTTTTATGGCATTCGGGCTCAATATTTTGAAGTAAGATGATCATAATATGTGCGTTTTTTTCTTGTATATATCAGATTGTGATACATCAGAAACTGCATTTCTGCACAAAACTTAGGTGGTGTTTGCAAATTTCGCAGTGAACGCCTTTATATTTTGTAGCCCC